GGGGGGGGGGGGGGCAGGGAGAGGGCTTACACTGAGAAAGAATCATTTTTGATAAACATTTATTTACTTGAGAAAAGTATTTATTTCTTCAAAATCGTATTTCTACAATCGAGTCATTCCCAGACGAGCCTGATCAGGTTTTAATTACGATAATTATGTTGCTTTGGAGGATGACTATGTTGCTTATGACCTTGGATGAACTACTACAATGATTATTCATTTTTCCTACATTTCTCATTTTCTAGAGGGCAGAATTTTGGTTAATTTTTTAATGCTGATAATTAGGGTCATAACTAACATGATCATCTTGTAATGTAATTGTTATAATTAAAACTTAATGAGGATTGCCTAGCAGTGACTCGACTGGAGAAATACGGTATTGAAAAGATAACTACTTCTCTTAAGTCATCGGATATTTGGCAAAAATATATTTTTTTCTCAGTGTAGATGAGGTACTGGGGAATTATTTTGTTTGTAATTCCTCGAAATGCAACAGCGCAGGGACAGACAATTTTTGGAGGAGTTTAGGTTTTCAGGATTGAGGATGGGGATTAGGGGTATTGAAATTGAAATTCAGGGGTCGGGCATATCGCTGGCGATTAGGGGGGTTTTATATTGCCGAGCATTCCGGGGCTCAGTCGCATGTACGTGGGGTGCATTTATGGAATTTTTTATTTTCTGATCTGGTGGGGAGTTGGAGATTATGTTAGGGGTGGAGGGATGAAGCGTTAAATGTTGAGAGTGAATGTTGTCGAAAAAGAAATTTTTCTGTGAGAATGGTTATTGAAATTGGAAATGTTTAGATGAGCTATTGGCGAGGTAAATTTTTTAAATTACGCAATTATTTTAGTAATGAGTGGTTTTGGAGCAAAATGTCATTAGATATTTTTTGTTGAGGAGAAAATTTTCTACAAAAAATGTCTATTAAGATTTCATCCTAAAACTCAAAAGAGATAACGAAATAACTCATTAAAAAATCAAGAAAAAAAATCTCATGCAAATTTTGATTAATCAAATCCAAATAATCCCAAGATGACTGGTTTTAGGAAAAAAATGTTGTCAAACATTTTGTATAGAGAAAATTTTCAACTAAATTCCATGAAATTTTCATGATAATTTTCATTTTGAGAAATTAATCTAGAACTTGAAAAAAATAAGTTATTCCTTTAAATTAAATGTCCTATCGACCTAATTAATCAATTTCATATTCAATAATCTATACAAAATTCCACATTTACGGTTTATCGCTTCATCCCACAATTATTTTTCCCAATCGTCCTCCATCCACAATCAAATTCGGTGAAAAAAATGATGAATCAACATCCAACGCCTGAAACCAACTGTACATAAGTGACAAAAAACATAAACTATCATTCAATTAGTTCTTTATTCACGTCCATAGAAAATATTTCTTCGCTACACGAGACATTGATATTAAGAAATAACTTGTCACTATAAATGGTTAAATTGTTCGTACAGCCCTTCCCTCATTCTGTTCACAAATATTTACATCCAATGAAAATTGTTCCTTGTGTATCCGAAATTTAGGGAAAATGAAATAACGTAACATGATTATAATTATTTATGGTGAAATAAATGAGTTGCTGAACAATTATAACGATAACAAAGTGCATTGCTTTCTGTCGCCATGTGCTTTTTTCATTTTTCAGGGTGGGAAATGCTTATTGAAGTGGTGATACATGAGGGAATTTCCATAATTACCACTTCAATGCAGGAATAATAGAGAAACTAATGAACAATTGCGGTAGATTAGGTAAATTAAATAGCCATGGTATTCATTTTTCTATTAATTTAGTAAATTATGAGCTTTGAAATAGATTTTCAATTTAAAAATTTTTTTTTCCAATTAAAAATTTTTTTTAATCTTTAATTTGTAGAAAATATTGATTTTATAAGCTACTGGGGAATAAAAAATCCAGGGGGATTGATCTAATATTTTTTGGAATGCGCTTTATCAGGTTGAAAAAATGTTATTAAACATTTTAGTTAGAGAGAAATTAGACAGCCATGGTATTAGAGTAAATTATGAGCTTTGAAATCAATTTCAAACGGGAAAAAATAGTTTTTTAAATGAATAACTGAATATTTAATTTGCTATACAATTATTGATCTCTAACACATAGAAAACATTAATTTTATAATCTAATGGTAGAAAATAAATCCACGGGAATGATCTAATCTTTCTTGGATTGTGCTTTGTCAGGTTGAAAGTATGCTCTGTAAATAAATGCTCCTAAAGCCCCATGGAGTACCAGTACTGCAACAATTGCAGAATAAACATTGCTTGGAACAGTGTTCAAACCCAATAGGCCTGAGAACAAAAAAAAGATGCATTCATTGAGAAGTTCGAAAAATAAACCAGATAAATGAATCGTTCAGTTGAATAAGAAATCATCAATATCGATCCAACGATGCGATTTAGATGAATCAAAACTCATTTTAAAGTTTGAAAGAATATCTTCAAAATGAAAAAAAATCAGTGAATTTCACTCTGCCAGTCTCGAGCAATTGATGATTGAAAATGGTTCATTTAGCCTCAGCCCTGAATAAACTATATGAATCAAATAAATAGTTTTAAGGATATGCAAGTGCTTTGACTATTTTTTCTCCAGTGAAATGCTTTCCTACTTTTGTAGTCAAATATCAGAGCTCTCATTTGAGCTCCATTTGCAGATCTGAATTTGAATCTCGATACTGAACCGTTAGAAAACATTTTAAATATCTGAAAAAAATTGCAATAATTGAAAATTACGAGCAGTTTTTATGAATAATTTATAAACAATCAATTTTCCACCATAAAAATAATTTATTTGGAATCGTAAAAAAATTATTTATATTGAGAATTTTACTCGAAATCGATTTCATGGCTGAAAAGATCTGTTTTCGAAGGTTTAAACAATTTCAATTATTTCTTTATAAACAAAAAATGTTTTAAAAAATGATAATTCCGTGTAAAATGTAGTTTTAATGACGCTGAATATTCGCAATTTTTTAAAATTTTCTTTACGCAATTTAATTGACAAATTTGATGATTGAAAGACGTTGAACCTATAGTGTGGTCTGTATCAAACTGAAAAAGATACTTGGTTATCCTTAAAGGTATAAATCAGTGTTTTCTTGATTCTAATGAAGCATGCACATAATCAAAACATTTTCATTGGAACAAATACATCAGTTCTTGAATTTCCACCGAAAATATTGTCGAAACGACTAGAAAAATGTAAAGTAAAATTTTTTTTAATTCAAAAGCATCATTTCTCCGAGTGCAGCACTAAACAGAAGTAAAAAATAAATATCCACGAATTAATACGCAAATAGATGATGAATGAGTTGCGCTTACCATCGAAGATGAACATTTTACTCAGAAAAAATGACAAAACTGGTAGGACGATTATAACAACGCAATGATACAGCACTGTTCTGAATATTTGTAACTCCGGTAGTTCCTGAAGAAATTGTTGAATATTATTATTGTATTGTTTCGATTAAAGTTGACATGAGTGAAGATAAAATGATTAATGCACCTGTATAACCTTTCCCGAAGACATCTTCGTGTATTTCTCGATCTATTCTACTTTTTTGGTCACAAATTCTGACTTCTCCCCTCGAATTTCGAGTTCTGAGGTGGAATCACGTGAAAATATCCGAGTAAAATCAGAAAATCGAGGATTTCACGAAGTTTGTGAGAATGTACTTTACAAGTTTTCTCGCTGACATCGTCACTAGGGACGTAAATTAACGGTCGTTTTGACGGGCGTCGAGTCGATGGCAAAATTGACAGTTCAAAGAATTTTACATTCCATTCGCGCATGTTTAAAAACAGCATCAACACCCCGAGACGACGCTAGTGTTAAAAAAATCGGTAAAATGACGGTAATTTTTGACAACCAACCATCGTCGCTCCGGATCAGAGTGGGGAAAGTCGGAAGCCGAAGAGAGCCGAACGGTTTTCCCTTTCAGTCGGGTAAAACAATCGCAGAGACCGGCCGCATGGTCCCGCGTCTCTCCAAAAAACAATAATAATCCCTAAAAAAATTGAAAACAAGCCTCCAGGAACAGACCACTGCCATCACGACAGCCCCCAACGATCCCCGATCACCCCGACATCCCCTTGACCCCGATAATTTCCACTTTATCACGATAATTCATCTGCCTGACCCCATCGGACGCTCAACAGGCCCTCAAACAGCTCAACACAACAGCAATTCCAAATTCCTGACCCCTTGATCCCTCAATAAAGCGTAAACAATGTCGGGGATGAGTGGAACGAAGGTTCTTTGCAGTAATATTGGGCCTTCGCACGTCTCCTCGAACGGTTATTACGGTTATGTACCACCGATCGGTGAATTTCCGATGTGTCCGACTGATTCACGAGGTGAAAATGCAAGTGTTTGTGTTCAGAATTATCACAAATCTGACGACTTGGGGCTGACGACGATTGGAGGAGTGGAGAGAGCGGTGCACAGCTATCAGGAGAATTATTACAGTACCATGAGCATGGAAATGGAGACTGAGGAGCATTGTAGTGGTATGGGCATGTGCTGCCAAAATAACCATTACGTGATTCCAGAGATGGCGAGTGGCGGGAAGGCGGTGCTGGGTGGTGGAGTTGAGGGGATGAGTTTTCATGGCAGTCGCAAACGAAACTGCGAGGATGGGGGAGAGCCTGGAGGACGGGAGCTGCTCATGAAGAGGTTCAAAGGAGGTAGGGGAGACTTTTCGTTCGGGGAGCGGAGCGTTGAGGGTTTTTTATTTCAGAATATCCAAGTAGCTTTTACAGTTTTCTCTTTTACATTTTCAGTCATCAAATTTATCAATTAAATTGCGGGAGAGAAATTTGAATAGAATCATGCATATTCAGCGGCATTAACATTACATCTTGATTTTTAAATATTCGTTGTTTGTAAATAAGTGATTGAAATTTTTTAAACTTTCAGCTACCTTACTTTTTAAGGCATGAAATCGATTTCTGATAAAATTCTGAATAAATTAGGAATAAATTTGTTACGATTCCGAACAACTGATTTTTTTGGTGGAAAATTGATTGTTTATGAATTATTTATAGAAAATGCTCATTTTCAAAAATTGTAATTTTTAAATTATTCCATTAGGCTTTCTTCAAAAGTAAACTTTCCAGGTTTTTCAGATTTTTTAATTTTTTTTTCACGGTTCAATATCGAGATTCAATTTGAAATCTGCAAAGTTTACATAATGAAATCATTGTAAAATGTCCGAAAAATGAGCTTCAAATGAGAGTTACGAGCGTTTTAGGGGAAAATGTGAGAAGAGATTTTTTGTGGCAAATTTCGAAAGCCGTAGAAAAGGTATTATGACATTTTTCCTTAAAACAACTCCCTACGAAGATATTTCCAAAATAACAAAATGAAATTTTTTGTTCGATATAACAATAAAATTGATGAAGCGATTCCCTCCATTTGTTGATAGATTTAATGTTCTGGAAAATACCCATAATTTTCCAAAAATAGCAAATTGTAAATGATATCATCAATCTTCCTCCAAAAGTAAACTTTCTAATTTTTTTCTCAATTTTTATTGAAATAGATCTGGAAGTCACACAGTATGCGAATTCTAATAAAATGATAAAACAGCGGCTTTCGTTTCAGAGGCGGTGGTAACAGCCGCGTTGACCATGGTCCCAGAAATCCCCGAGAGCCTAGATCACCACAGATGCACAATGACACGTCACCACTATATATAACGCCCCATCCACTGACTCTGACATGTCACTCAATGCTGACGAACGATCGCTGCACACAGGCAGCAGGTAAACCTCATAATAGTCATTTCGTTAATAATGAAATTATTGATTGTGAGAGAGTGAGCGACAGATGCACCAGTGCACATGGCAACGAGTATGAGACAATGCTCATGGAGACACACGGTTGCTCGGTCTACCATCATCAACGTCAGCTGCAATTTGATAATGGTACTATTGAGACTGAATTCTGATAGTCTCGTTCATTAGCATAAGTCCCTTTTTCACTACTACCTGTGTGCTGCAAGGCATTTATTGTTAAATAACTTAACATTGTACTTTAAATAAATATATACTTTTCTATGAAATTGAAGGTGATTTTGTTTTTCGATTTTTTATTTATTGTTCATCTGGCGTTACGTCTCTCGTCAGGGGGATTTGAACCCACAACGTTCAGATAACTGAGCTGATGCTCTTACCAGTTGAGCTACCACGAATTTCCACTTCTATGTTTTATTTTTTATGAATTATTCTTCACTCAACAGAATAATTGATTAATTAAAAATATAGAAATGAATGGATATTTCGTTTTCGATATACTTCAATACAGTTTATTACAACGATTTAAGAAATAACGTTACAAAGAGTTGAACCGACAGCATTATCACGAAGAAATTAATAATAAGTAGTTTAAGGCTCACTGGCGAGAACAGGAATGAAGGAGAGGGAGGGAAGCACCGCTAGTGATGGAGGAGTCTCGTGGGAATTCTATCCAGTATGGGGCTGTCACCGAAAGCTTCTTGGTCATTTGGATCCTGACCAGGGAATTGTTCTCTGTCTAGTTCTACAGCTGCAGCTCCTTGAACTGGGGCCATGTGGGAGAGCGGCTCATTGTCCTCTCCTTCGTCACTTCCTTCATCGAAGGAGTTCTTGAAAGCAAATAATTCGTGAGGCCAGAGAATTGTGAAAAAATGAAAATGCGATGAACTTTTCAAACGTGAATAACTCGCAATATTGGAGAATCGACAGTCTCAAGTTTCTCATAGAGTGAAGCTGCAAGTTTGCTATCACATCATCATTATTATCCTATTTAAAAATTAATTTCTTGCATTTGAGAATTGCATAATCGAAACAAAAAGCAAATAGCAATCTCGTGGAATGATTAAAACAAATTTCTCGAACCAAAACTGTGGGTTCGGTCCATGTTTTCCTCAAACAAACATTTTTCTAGACCAAATATCAATTCTTAACACCCAAATCCATTTTTAAAATCGATTTTTCCTCTTAGAATACTTGAAATTTTCACCACAAAATGTTTAACATTGACTTGGTTGACTCGGTAATCATCAATCACCAAACTATTTGAATATTCACTACCTGTTGATCATTGGAGGCGTCCGGACGGGATTGATCAGCTTCAGCCAAGTCCTCGTTGTACCCAGCGGAAATAGAAGACATCGAGGGAAGAGCATTGATGGTCTCCAGCTGCATTGCCCCCTGAAAAATCATTCATTGATACCGTGCAAATATTGCAAAGATCCTCTATCATTCTTCGTCCTCAAACATTACCTCAAAATCAAAATTCTCAGGGAATGGTGCAGCAATGCTCTGTGGCACCTGCATAGAAGAATGCATCGGCAAGAACATCTCCGTCAGGAGCGACTGACTCTCAACGTTTGAATTCATCAACGAACCCCCCCGTGCACCAACATCAGAGTCATCATCGCTGGATTGACAGCTCTCACTGGCTGTCTGATCCGGGACTTCATTCTGAACCGCAATTGAAATTTTTTCAATTAAAAAAATTGAAAAGATAAACATTTCTCAATCGAAGATCTCGCAAAACTCCAAAACTATCAGGTTGAGACGAAAACCCCATAAGACCTTTTTTGTAGAGAATGTCATAAGCTACAAAAAGTTCCTGTCACATTTTTCTCCACAACCAATAGTCCCAGAGAAATTCCCAAACAACTAAACCCATAATTTGAAAATTAATGTCAAATCAATCCTGATAATCACCAGAGGATTGCTGGAGGTCTGCATGTCCTGTAGAGCCCTCAGGGACCTCAGGAGCCTCGGTCGCAGTCTCTGATCCTCGCTGATAGCCTTGATCTCCCTCAGAATAATGACGAGGTAATCTGGCCTCCTCTTGTTGGCAGCAACCAGGGAAACTAGAACGTCTCGCATTTCTGCATTGAGATGACGAAGGGAATAAATGTCTTCGTTGCTCTCTGGGACCAATCGGAAGGACGAGTGTGCGTCCTCCCAGAAGTTCTCCACCTGCTGCATCTGTGCAGCCTCATTCGATAAAATATTTGTTCTCGATGCTGGGATCTCTCGCTCGTGCGACTGAATATTAGACTGCATTTGGAGGTTTAGGGAGTACTGGGCGTCTGAACCGGTGAGAGAGGGCAGGGAGAGATTGTCAGCAGCGTGCTCACGATTTCTCTTGTCTCGCCTTTGAATTGAAATTAAATTGGAATTGAATTGAAATTGAATTGAAATTGAATTGAAATTTTATTTAATTACTTACAAATGTGAAATATGAAGTCCACTTGCTGTTGTATTAGTCGTTGTGTTAGTATTGCTAGACGGTCCTGGCATTGAATCACTCAATGTTTTAGGGGTTCCAGACAAAAGATTCTGTCTGGAGTAACTAGAATCCACAAAACACCAGCAAAAATAATTAGTATAAATCATGCGGATAATTGTCAACCCTCCAAAAATCGAAACCAAAAAACACTGATATCTGAATTCTAGTAATGGCAGGAAACAATTTAATTGTTATTCACGAAAATGGAGATGATAAAACCACACGTTAGGAAGAGAGATTTGTCTCGATTACACTCTTCATCAGGCAATGCTCAGAGGCTTTTTACGTACCTATGCGAGGTACCTACCGGCTCCGTCGTTATTTACGAAATGTTCTGCCTTATTGAATGTTTGGAATTGTAGAAATAGGAAAGGGATCAATGAGGAAACGGGATAAACAGTAGAAAGGCTTTGAGAGGAGACGGAGAAGTGAATGAATGAATGGAGATTGAATCCGCGATTCGAAATACAGATTGTAGACATTTTATTGATCGATGTGGTATGAGGTACATTGAATTGCCCATCAATTCATCATTAATCATTCAATTTTTCTGATTTTGTGGTCAAAGGGATGAGTGAGCTTCATTTTATCTTTAGTTTTCGATGAATTTGTAGAAATTTTTTAAACGACATTTCTTCATCTCATCTCTTTTCCACACTTCAGTAATGAAATTGGAATTCAAGGGGGTAATCACTCATGAAATCTAATGTACAGGTCAAAAAATTCCAGAAAATCCTTCAAAATTGTTGAAATTTCAATGCAAAATCTTAAAATCTCACGAAATTTCTCTGAAGTCTCTACATTCTAAAAAATCCTTATAAATTTCTTGAAATTTTCGAAATGTTTGAAAATTAAAAAAAACAACTGTACATCTTAAAAACTCAATTTAATTTAAACCCTTTAAAATTAGCCTTTAACGTTTTGAAAGGTTGATTAAAATATAATTAAATTTATTCTTTAAATTTTTAATTTAGACTTTAAAATCTTTAGAATTTCCCTTCGTGATTACTCCCCCGCAAAAACCATAATCCCCCAAATAACAACAAATTTTACCTTCGAAAATTGTCCCAGTAGTTGTTGGCCCGATTGCCAGGTGGTACCTGATTGTTCAACTGCTGATGATTATGATGCTGATGAGAATTGGCTGAAGCTATTATCGGAGGATGAGCAGGTGTCTGTGAAGTGGTGGGTAGTGAGACTAGATTCGGTAGAGATGAACTAGGTGGAAGTGTTGAGTCCAGAGTGTTCTCCAGATGATGAATGGATCGACTCAGATTCGAGTAGTCCTCACGATTCTCGTTGACCCCAGGTGCTTGGGCCTGCCGAAACTGCTGCTGGAGTTGGGTTATAGCTGATCTCATTGACTGGAGCTCACGCTGCTGGGCCCAGAGGAGTTGGCAGCACTGCTGCATCGTTGTACTCATCATCTGGAGCTGTTGGGCTTGCGAGCTCATCAGTAATTGACGGTAGTACTCGGTCGAGTGGGCTGGACCTTGGGGTTGGGACACTGGAGGGGCCGACATGTTCCACCAGCTCGGGGGAAATCCATTCTCAATTGCTGGGACGTGGGGTCCGATGTCTAAGAGATTGTCCGTTGTTGATATACCGTCTACACTTGGCTCGTTTGAACTTCCGACTGTAATTAATTTAATTACGTGAGACATTCATTGGTGATTAATTATGAAGGGACGAATATGTAAAAGACAAAAAATGTATTTTTCAATCTGTCATAATTCGAGATAGATAAAGTAAAATTGGATGAGCCTGATGTTATTTTGAAAATCTTTCAAGAGGTATTGGTAATTGAAGATTTACTAGATCTGTAAATTTTCAATTACTTTCTCTCTGCTTTGAAATTGCAAATAAAAAAATATTGCATTTGTGTAATCAGTTTCATAACAATTAAAAATTACGCAGAATAGTGCATTCAACGAAAAAAGCCTGAATATTTTCAAGTTATGATAGTACATCTGTATTGTTGGAATAAAAAATGTTTCGTAATAATTTCGTCTACTTGAAAATAATAAAAAAATTAACGCATTTTTATTATTTCAGGGATTACGAAAAATGTTAATAATAAACCGAAACAAGATGGGCTGCTGGAAAACTAGACCCAATGCTGATGACAATGACGATGATTCAATAAGTAATTAAAAATAACACGCACCAATAGCACTAGGTCCAGGCCAAATATTAGCAGGTGTACTAGTGTGGCTCCTGTGTGAATTTGAGCCCCTCCTACTCCCCCATCCAGCAGCTCCAACGTCTCGGTTCACACTCGACGACTGACTCTGATCTTTACGTACCAATTCCTCCAGCTGACGTTTTTTATTCTGCGCCCTAGTCGCCTGGGACGCCTGGCCCTGATTCTCATGACCACCTGGTGCCTGTGGCACATCCACGTGGGCATTATTGTTGTTATTGTGATTGTTATTGTTGTTATTGCTTTGTTTTTTATCGGAGGGAGTGAATGCAGCGAATGAGGAGGGGGACGTTGTGCCTGGTAAGAATAGCATTGGAGCTGGAACTGGGGGAAATGAGGAGGGATTCTTCAGACGCTGGAGCTCGGCTCTGGCTGACTGGAGGAGGACTTGTTGCTCTTTTAATTCACGAGTCACTGCCTGCAAACAAAATCCAATTGAATTCTAATTGAGTCGATGAATTTATTTAATTGAATTAAGTAAACTTTACGTTTGTTTGTGATTTTATTGACATTTAATGGATTTTTTTCTAATATGAGCTAATGTTTCTTTGATTTAACTAAAGAAATTACTTGTTTGACGAAGCGGAGAGTAAATTTATTGAGATGTAATGTTTTCTTATTTTGGATATTCTTTCAATTTTGACAGTTTATTGCAGTCTAGGATAATTCATTTAGAATTGCTGAATTTTCACTTCAAATTCTCTGATTTCTATCAATTTTCATAAAATAATTGACCGAAAATCTACTATTTCCATTTACTCTTCATCAAATTATGAATTTTAAATGACGAAATTTCTGGAAATTCTAGCCAAAAACCAACAAAAGTCTTCTAATTCGTCTGTAAAAAACTGAATCAAATTACATAAAACAAAAGAAAATAAGATGTAATCAAGTAAATTAAACAAATTGAATCGAGAGAATTTCCAACTCAACAGACGTGAAAACCATAGATTTCCGTTTCAATAAATATTAAAATGACAAAAAATAGTTGAATAAATTGTACCTGAATTTGTTCAACGGTCAGTTGCTCCTTAGAATTATTAAACTTCCCGGGACTCTCATCAGTCTCACTGTTCCTGTCAAAGGAGTTGAACGACGCAGCAACATCCCCATCTTCCTCCACTTCCCCATTCTCGCAGCACCCATTGATTGCCTCAGCATCGGTTTCAGATGTTGAATTGAAGGCATCCCTGACCCTCGTGGCCTCCTCCATAAGCCCTTTGAGGTGGGCCAACTGGGCCTTGAGGACCTCCAACTCAGCAACTTTGTCGCGTTCAGTGTGTTTAGAGTTCTCTGAACTGCAGCTGGCCCTGTCAGACAACTCCGCAGCCTGCAGTTCGGAAACAAGAGTGTCCATCTGCTTCTTTTTGTTCTGAAGCTGCGTTAATTTCCCTCTCAGGGCAATTGTCTCAGACTCGAGGGCGTCTGCATCGTTCACCAGCTGCTGCTGGGAACGATTCCCATTGTCATAGGGCAGGGGAATAGCTGCATTGGCTTGCTCGTTCTCCTGCAGGAGCAGCAGCTGTTGGGCCTGACGAGCCTCGTTCAATCTCTCACGAACTCTCAACTGCATCCCAACTAGGTTCGCCTGGTGCTCCTGGAGCTGCGCTAATTTACGCTGGGACGCCTCCATCTTCTTACGGAGCTTCGCCTCGAGGGGCTCTTCTCCATCCTCTCTATCGATCTGCGATAATTATAGTATTGTTTATTTGCATTGTTTATTTTTGTTTGATAAATGGATTTGTTTGAGCGGTGCAGAAAGGGGAGTGAAATAAGGCATCTTCAAGCGATATCTCCTGATCAAACAATGCGATTCGGATGAGTCGGAGGTCATGTTTAAGATTGAAAAAATATGTTCAAAATGGAAAAAAAATCGGGGAGTTTCACTCAATCGTTGTAGAATTATTGAAGATTGAAGATAATAAGAAATGAAAAAAATTAATGTACAAAAGCAAGTAGAAAATTAGGAATTGTGAGGGTTTCTGAATTAATGAACGTTCATTTACGTAAATCAGTGATTTTAGGGACTCTTCAATTATTTAACTTCATTTATTTGTTTAAATAATGAAATGAACATGATAATTGAAGAAACGAAGATTCGTTGGGCTCAGAGATGTGGGAAGTGGAGTGAAACAAACGAATCTTCAATCGTCAGTAACTTCAGATCAAATGATACGATTTGGATGAGTCAAAACTAATTTTAAAGCTTGAAAAGTTATCTTGAAAGTGAAGACAAAACTGGGAATTTTACTCAGCAGTTCTGGAGTTATTGACGATTGAAGACAGATACTTTTCTTTTCCTCCAAAAATAATATTATTGATTGGTGAATGAAATTTGTTAGTAATAAACGCACCCTCTGATTAATATTAGATATGACAAAATTATCTTGAGAGCCAAGCATGTCTAGCAGTTCAGTGAAACACTTCATCTGGCTGGAGCACTGGGACTGGCGGTCATCGGGCTTTAGCTGGAATTCATGCTGTTCGTTAGTGAAAACTCGTCCCATGAATAATGTAAAAATTAAAAAAATTGAAATTAAACAAAAGCAAAACGAAAAACATTAGTGATCGATTTAGCGGATATGAAATGTTAATATTGGTATTAGAGTGCATATTAATGTTATGATATGACACCTCATCTGGCAATCCACGATAGTCCTCCAAGAGTTTAGCCAGTTTCGTCTCACTGTCACACAGATCCTCCACCATTTTAGCTAGTTTATCGTGTTGAGCACGTGCACGCTATTTAAATATAAATATGGGTAAAAATAGGTCTACGGTGGAAATACACTGGTGCACACCCAGAGAAAAAGTTCATCTGAACTAAACAAAATTTGTGTCAATCAAATTCATGCAATTGATTGATTTTTATTTGAATTTTTATTCATATGAGATAAATTGTCCTTTTAATAAAAAAAAATTTATTAACAAGTAATGATCCTTTATTTGGATCAAATAAATCGTTCATTTCATTTAGAAATTTTCATTGAAATAAATATATGAATTAATAAATTTATTGAATGTATAAAATATTGTTTAAATTAATAGAAAAATTCATTTGGATTGAGTTAATCTGCATTAAAAGAATTATTTCTTTCTTTCGAACGAAAATATTGTTAAAATGAATGAAAAAAAATCGAATAGTTTTATTATATTCAAATATGTCTTTTCTCTGGGTGCAGAAATGACAAATTGATCATTTAAAAAATAAACACTTACTGGATCAGAGGATTGGTTCAACGAGTCCATCATGGTTGATGTCACTCTGATATAGTCTCGGATCTGATTCAATCGGCTCTCCACCTGACGACGATCTGGCTGAGGATCAAAAATTCGTAAATTTGTTAATTTTGATTTATGAATCACTGAGACGATGATTTATTACCATTTTGTCGACATTCGTGGGTTTTGAATTTTGAAGGCTTGGAGGGGACTGCGCGCGTGAGTCCATCGGTTGAGCCATTTCCTGCCAGGGGATGTAATCCTCTCCAGTGTAATTGTACTGTCGATGGTATGAAGCTAAAAATGAATTTTAAATTTATTTCTGTTTTTTATTATTTCCGATTTATTTTCACATAAATACAACAACACGACTCCAATTGCAGGATTAAATCTATAATGACAATTTAACAATTAATTCAATAATTTCAGTAATGAATATATTTACGATTTATTTATTGCTAAAATCCCACTTTATTTCAATTAATAATTTTTTTCGTTACATAATTTTCGTCTTTTGTTAATGTTTACTAATTTTTTTATGAGATGAAAAAATGTGATAATTTATATTTTCTTTTTCTCTCTGTCAAATAGCTTATAGATCCAACAACACGAGCTCAATTATAGGATTAAATTAATTGATGACAAAATGTATTTATGATCTCTCTATTACTCACATCCCATTTCATTTCAATTGATAATATCTTCATGTATTTTTCATTTTCATTCTTGAAGTATTTTTGTCCTTTATTTATATTTATTAATCTCGTTAGGAAATGAAAAAAATGAAATAAATCATCTGCTTTATTTTGCCATGAAAAATAGTTCATACCGATATCAGCAAGGTCCTGATACGAAGTCGATGGAACTGACGATGTGGACCTCGCGTTACTATTCTTCGTGGTTCTGCCAGGTTCCCGGTCACTCACTGGCTGCCAATCAAGCTGGAAAATTTACCATATTTAATATTCAAATGGAGAAAAGAATGGACTTACTGCAGAAGGGAAGTTATTTTTTAAATTCTAAGAGTTGAGCTCTGAATTATTTCGCTTTGTGACACGAATACTGTCCAAATATGAATTTATTCGAGGGAAAAATGTAAGATATTACATGGGCGATTGAATTTCAATGGGTGAAGTGAAGAGACTGGTGGAGGAGCTGGTCCTCAAATGAATCGACTTAGAAGTCTCTGGATATGTATTCTTAGATAGAAATCCTCCCCACTGTTTTCATCTTCTATTTATAGGTGTTTCATTCTTTGGGCACTAACTAAAACTATGTTATTGCTATCTAACGCCTCGTCATCAGGGGTATTATTGTCTTTGATTGTAGTTCTTGCATTAATATCAACATTTATTCAATTTCAAACATTAACTTTAAAACTACGAAAGATGTTAACGAATTGTTTGTCGATAAAAATAATTGAAAACAATTGGTAGAAATAAAAATGAAATGGAGAATAATCATAAAGCAATCGGTTTAAGATTATTGTTTATTCCATTTCCATTTCTACCAATTATTGTTTTAAATCTTCGAAACAATACATCGGGTTGAAGGTACTAGTAAAAGTAGAAAAAAGGTAATTAAAATGTAAATGAATCTCATTATGATTAATTAATTATAGGGAAAATAAACGTCATTTTTGAAAGTATTCATTAGAATTATTATTTGTTATAATTTTGTTTTCAAGTTGAAGATAAGGTAAAATGAACTTTCTTAAATGATCAATATCTCCCGACCAAACGATGTGATTATGATAAATGAGGACTCATTTTGGATCTTGAAAAAGTATATTCAAAACGAAAAAAAAATTGTTGAATTTCACTCTACCATCTTGAGTTATTAATGATTAAAGTAGCATGAGTAAACCCCAGTTGAGTCGTTGAGTGTAACGAGGAAAATTAAATCCACAAAGTCAAAAAAAATGATTTATCATTGATAATTTTTCCCATGAATTCGAACTTTGACGACTGTAAAAATTTATCCATCAAGTCCATTCTTCAATTATTTTTAAAAAATAATATTCGCTCGTTTGACTAGGGTGTATCGACATAACAGGCCATTTCGGGCACGCAGAAACATAAATTATTTATTACGAAAGTTTGACACTGACGATAATTTTCATATGGGGCACAGAATTTTTATGAATTTTGTCTGACATTTCGCGATTTTTTCAAGATTTTAATTATTTCCTCACCTTCAAAAGTGCATTCTCTCATAAGACGCTATGTTAATTGTTCACTCCTAGATAACAAATAATTATCGACAATACCAGACTGCCAATAGAGCACAAATTCAATCAGAACCTTTCTATTCATGTTAACTTTCGTTTAGAAATTATTTCCGATTTTAATCTCCAAAATTCAAGTTGTGTTTATGCCACTTTAACAACGCCTCATTTTGCGCTATTTTCCCTTACGTACCAGGTTGTTGGGATGCAGTCGTCTGTCATAAGCAGTCCTCCCAACCTGCCTCGTCGCATTAGCAACATCTCGGTTCCGATCATTTCTCCTATTGCTTTTGGGGAGTGTTCCAGTCTTTCGGGGTCCATCATTAACCCCAGGAGACATAATGACGAGCTCTCTTCCTTCTCGCACCCCTAACTCCGCACAAAGATCATCCTTCGTTCACTCCGATCACTCTAACTCTCAAAGTCACCAACTGTGCACTTTCAGGATGGACTAATTGTCTTGAAAAAATTATCTACAGCCCCTCCAACGAAGCAATCTCCAAAAATTATCGGACAACCTTCACAATCCAGGATAATACCCCCTCACAACCATCTCCGCAGCTCCAACCCTTCGCGATTGCGTTATGAACTCAGTTGCTCAATGGAAATGTTAATTACTCAAGTACTATAAATAAAAATACCCGTTGACATATTTTGGACGCGTAAGGCGAGACTATTTGCAGTCAATTTGACAGACGAGGGCGAGAAAATGCAAAACGAAATTCTGTCTAGTTTTGTGGCCATTTTTAAAAGCCGCAGACACCCTTGCCAACATTAAAAATCACTAGGGTTTTGGCGGCGGCAGGGGGGGGGCACGGAAATTCGTGGACAGTTGGACACATTCGCTTAAAAAGGGCTCGGTATTGGAGATATATTTAGGAAATGTCTTACCAGTCGACATGCTTAGAGCAGCGGCACGGTGACAGATAGCGGGATTATTCTCACTTCAAGTCCTTCAAGTGGAATTACACCTCTACCAGGGCCGCCAATATAACCGAACAAAGAAATGCATGCATAACGCAGAGCTGATTGGCACCTCATCGCTTGGTTTGCTTCTCGCTTTCGTTCATTTCCGATCGAGCAGCAGAGAGAAGCACTACTGGCTCCTGACGCTCTCCAACCGTTCTCTTCAAGGTAAATTCCACATACGCCACATTTCGGAAATAATTTTGTTGAGTTGAAATCCACAAACATCCATTGATTCATCACGTTTGATTGAATATTAATGCGTGATGCTTATTCAATAATGTCTGAACCTTCCATTATCGATAATAGTTTTTTTATTTTGTTTGAACTTGTTCATTAAAATCATTGATTTTATGATGATAACTTAGTCTCGTTCGTATGATATTTTCTATGATTACGACCATTAAACATCACTGACTGTTCACTTAATAACTTAGTAGACTTATTCAGCATTTTATGTTTAATAATTTTCGGTGATTTTGCGATTTTCAGACGACGCTACAATGCACGTGGGACGCTTTGATATTTCGAGGTTAAAGCTGGATGCACTTGTGAAACAGGTAAATTCTCTCTCATTTTATATCCATTCTATCAATTATTCTCAACATAGAGAACATTTGATCGTTCAAATTAAGCGAATTTTTAGAAAGTTGAAATAAATTTCAACATTTGAATCTTGGAATTCAGAGCTCTTATCCTTCGGAACTTTTCATAAGATCAATTTAATTGATTTACGAACACGAAAAGAACTATCTTTTACGTTCAACGCATTTTTTAAAATTAACAATTTTTTCAAACGAAAAAAATTAAAGTCTCAAATTGCAAAGTTAAGATCTTTCTCTGCTAAATAATTTGTGTTAATGTCATTAATTACACCTTTCACATGATGCTACTTATACCGCCCCAGTCTGATGTTTTTCATGACTGATTGGTTTACAATATCTGAAGAATTCTCATAAAAATTCTTTATTTGATCTGAAATTATTCAAGAAAATGCAAATTCCATTGAATAACATTTGGTTTCAATTATTGTTCATAGAGACTTTCTACAAATTACGTGAAAATGGACTGAAACTGAAACTACTCATGGAGCTAAATTGATGTAAGTAAAAGAATTTACCTAAATACCATTAATTTTTCAAAATGATGCTAGTAATACCGCCCCAGTCTGATGTTTTTCGTGACTGATTGGTTTTTTACATCTGATGAAATCTCAAAAAAATTAATTGGTGCCTTCAGAAAGATAAAAAGAATCATTAGCTTCAATTCATTCTTGACTTTACTTACAGACATTCTTCGCCAATAACGTGATCATGAGGTGAAACTGAAGCTACTGATGGCGATACATTTATGTAAGTTGAAAAATTTCACGTCAAAACGAAAACTTAAAAAAATAGCAAAATGACTATTAAATTCAAAAGTTTTTTCATCTTTGAAAATTAATATGATGAGTACCACAAACGCTCCAGTCAATCAGAAGGAATAGTGGCGACATTGTTTGTTCTGAAAAATCAATTGAAAAAAAAAATTATACCTTTTTTCTTCCTTCAATTAATTCCTTTGTTTCCTTTGTATTGGCGGACAATAGGTTTCGAATTATCACCCTGAAGCCCCGAGCCCAGCGCTACTGGCCATTTTACCACCAAAAGTTTGTTGATGTAAGTACAGCGATTTCTGAAATTTTAATTTTGCATTAAATTCCCTAGAAATTAATTTACTAATTGAATAAAGTGGAGCTATCTTTTTGGAGATCTGTTTTTTCCACGAAAAACTCAATGTAATTCTTCGCTTAAAATTTTTCTCAGAAATCTAGAATTTTCTTTTTCTTACATGATGAATATTGGACTTCGACCAAATCCTCTTTCGAAGTCCCAATTTTCGAGATTTTCTTTTTTATTTGACAATTTGTTTTTTATTTAATTAACGCACGCGAACGGAGGGATGGGGGTGGCTCAGATATACTCTGCAGACTCCTCCCCTTGTTGAGTAAAATTTTCCGCCCTCTATTATGCATCCCCTCTCCACACCCTCTCGAAGTCCAAATGATCTAGAATTTTTTTTTCTTACATGATGAATATTTAGTTATCCCTGTCATACATATGCACATGGTGAGATTTATTGGTATCTGAAGTTAATTCAACAAAGAATACATCACCAATTATTTCTCTTCTCCTTTACTAATTATGCATATTCGACTAATGATTCCAGATTCAATCCAAGAAGTCGATGAACTCTAATGGACTCCAATAAAATTCAAACGATGGTAAGTAATCTCTTAGTTAAAATTAGCTAAACTTATTTATTTATTAATCCATTTGAATTTACATGATGTTTACAATTGACAAGCATATTACTGAAATCAGTCTTGATGTTCACTAGGACTCTGATAAAATCTTGAATCAATTTTTTCGCTATTCATTCACCATGGGAGGATTATAAAATTATTCCTTTTCTCGTTACAGCCGGTAGTACCCTCGGCTATTCACGAGGAGATACATGTTGAAGAGCTGACAATGGCTACAGACAGCAGGTAAATATTTAATAATGATGGATTAATTTTATAGCGATTTGGTCAAGAAAATACGATGATTCCTCGATTCTAGTTTTTTTCACGAATATTTCTGGAAGGAATAGGTTGAGATGAAAACATCAGGAAACGTTTCTTGTTGTCTAATAATTAATTTTTTTCAAAAAACGATCTTCTGCTGCTCTTTCCCGACATTACTCAATCGCAAAACATTTCTAAAATTGATCATTTTTGGCTACAATAATATAAATTCGATAAGGAATTCTCCACAAAAAATCAACTGTTTTTTCTCAATCCTTTCATTCCGAAGATATCCGTAACATGTTAGAATTTATTCTTTAGTGAGAGAAAAAACAACATTCTCTCGAACAAGTCTTGTTTGACCAAAAACAAATCTCAAATTGAAAATTATCAAGATAGAAAAAGTTTCATTTGAACAAACAATTTCTTTTTTTTCTCTCACTGTTACTTGACCACTTCAGTACTAAATTCCATCAATAATAACTGTCTTTCATGATGATATCAACATATACGCTATTATGACTTACCAAGTATGATTAGTACTTGCCCTCACTGAAGTTACAATAAACATTTATTCTCTCATAAAATTCCGTAGCAATTCTTTTACAATAATTTTTCGTTCATTTACAGATCACACCGAAGGGAAATTCCATCAATTCGGAAGTTACGACGAAAATAAGCAGGATAATAAATATTACATTGTAAGTAGAGAATAAGAAAAAATAGAGTTATGAATGAGCTTTTTTTCTATTGAAATGATGTTTTTTTAATATACGCTATGAAAAGAATGAAATCAATCCATGATCTGAATAAAATAAATTAAACAGATTAAATACAGTTGATAAAAACATAAATACATTTATTTCTTAAATTGTGATGTTTCAGGTGGGAGACAGCTACCAACAGACGTCAACGTAAAGTACTTCAAGAATTGATTGATTAACAATCCCAACTAAATTTGTAGAAATCTTTGGTGAATGCATTTTTTAAATAATTGAAAACCATAATTATGTATTTTTTGCTTTCCTTACTCTGAAAAAAAAATTAAGATCCAAGGGAATTAATCACATTCACTGGCGTATTTGAGTATTAAATGCACCGATCTGACATCACATCGGTGATAAATAATTTTCGGTGAATAAACCAAATAAAAATTGACTAAGTTCTTTTCTCAATTTTTGCATTCCTACGTTTCGTGGTTCTTGTCGTTATTCTGTGGAATGATGTTAAGAAAAAGGTCCAGACTGACCAGGCACTTGGGCGTACATTTTACCTCACAAAAACACATTGCTGATATCAGAAGCCAAAAGACTCCACGCCCCTCAATTCAAAGCGATTCGACTATTTACAATTACCCGGTGAATGGCTGCAGATGAAATACATTGTACTAGCTGCTGAGTTAATTATGGACTTCTGAGGAAAATGGATTAGGTGAAAAGGTGTGAAGTAGTAAAGAAGTGGTAAAAGTTGTTGGAGTCGATTTAGTCGTTTCGTCATTGGATAAATTATCCCGGGAATGAGAGGGATAATTTATCAAATAACGAATGAGGGGGTACGATACATTTTCATGAGACGCTTTTTGGGGAGAATTTAAGGCCTTTGGATAATTTTTCTAGAAATTGCTCTATTCACGAAAATTTTCCATTTTGTGAATTCTTGTTGATTAGTCAATTATCTCAATAATAAATGGTGTGAAAAGGAATTATCAGACACTTGTATTAAAACAAAACTATAAATTCGTAATTTCCAATTAAATTCAAGAACGCATGGTATAGCAATTTTATAACAAGCCATACCAGCGTTTGGCGTTACCCAGGGTTCGCGACGTGGACGCAGCTGGTATGTGAACCCCAAAAAACCAAAATAATATAATTAATTTGACTAAATCACGAAGGTGCAACGAACGCCAGTCTTCGAAATATTACCAATACTTACCCAGAGAATAATTTTTTTTTTTAAAGAATCTACTTTTGCAATAAAATCCATTTTTTATAATTTATAACAAACGATTTTTTTGGCACAAGTAAGACTTGTTTGCGAACTCTGCTGTTTTTCGCTGAATGCAGTAATGAATATCGTTGAGAAATTATCACCAAACAATAGAAATAGTTTTTAGATTTTTTGTAAAATGGCTCATTCCCAAGATTATTGAATTATCACAAAAATGTGATATTTGTTATTATCATGTTGACCATTCAATAATTTCAGTAAGTGCTCTTCTTGGAAGGAATGAAAAAAAAATTATTCCGGAAATGGAATTTCCTACTAAAAATAGTATTTCAACCTTTTTTCACCAACTCGTTATCCTCGTGATTTCCCAATTATCTCGAGCAAGTCATTGAAAGGCCTCTTCTATAGACATCCGATTTACTTAAAAAAACGTCTCTTGAAATTTTTCGGTTCACAAAACGCCCCATTTCCTTAATAATCATTCAACCGGCGAAAATTGCCGATTGAACTTGACTCATTCGATTACTCAACTTCGATATCGAAATAATTCGAGCAGAGCTGAAGCCCATAGAGGGAAAAGAATCACAATATGAGTTGATAATCCGTCAGGGGATTGAATTCCTTCTGATGTGTATCGTTCAAGGCAAATTTGTAGCCCCACAGTCTCATTGCGTTTGAGCATACACTCTGTATCTCCTGGACCTCCTCGAAATCCAAATCATTTCGCCAGTGAAATGGTGCTGCCTTTGAATTACGAAACGTACTGGAAACACCACCAACGTCACTTTTCGTATGGGTCTCGAGGAAATGTTGGACATTTGGGTGAAAATCTAGGCCGTAGAATTCGTAGAGTTCCTTGGCATGAGCAAATGGATCTAGGGACAAGTCCTCATATCTGATGACTCTGAAAGATCAATTAAAAATTAGCAAATCTTCGTTGAGGTGATAGCGTATTAAAAACAGTACGGTCCAGTCTTCAAAATAGCCAACGGGCGCATAAATATTCAAATTTTAAATACGACACTGCACTCGATGGAAAAAAGGGAAAGATTAAGTTATACACCTAATACATTGTGTGAGACAAATTTTTAAAAAATCATGAATATTCAGCGTCGTTCAAATTACGTTTTTTAACATTCATTGTTTATAAATGAGCAATTGAAATTGTTTAAACTTTCGGAAACCTCATTTTTTAAGCATGAAATTGATTTTAAGTAAAATTGTGAATATTAATAAATTCGTAACGAATCCGAAAAATTATTCTTACAGGGGAAAATTCATTGATTATACATTCTTTATAGAGAATGCTCATAATTTTAAAAAATTGAGATTTTTTAATTTTTCATCAATTTTTCTCCAAAAGTAAAACTTCAAATTTTCTAATTCCCGGGAATTCTCGAGTTTTCTAAATTTTTTTTGTATGCGTTCACGGATCTTCACTCATACCAAGGAGATAATGAGCTCTTCAAGTTGACAGTTGTACTCACTTGAAATTTCGTGGATATTTCTGAGTCAATTTAACAGCAGATTCAAAGTCTGATACCATATCAGCACAAACTCTAGCTGGCTCTGAGCAATCTGGACTTGTCGGACACCAGTCCCTGTGTTTTCTCGACTGAAGTAAACCCCTTGGATCTCGAACCAGTAAAACCAGTCGAATTCCCAAGCTAAAAACAGATCAAAAACATAGTGTCGTATTTCTTGTTGTTTATATGGCCTCTCAATAGTCTAGACTGAAGTAATTATCCTACCTCTTATCTTCGAGGAGAACCTCAGCGACACTGAGACGCAGTCTGACGAGTTTCATCGACTGGAATGGAAACAATCGACAAAACTTTGACACAAACTCTGGATTCCAGCAGATTTTTTTATGGCCTTGACACTGTCTCCATAAATGAGTATTGTGGTTGAACACCCATGGATGTGATTTACCGAAATTCAAATAATTATCTGTGGAGAAAAGAGAAGGAAGAAACGTGAGGACAATTCGAGAATTATTTTGTCAAGTTTTTGGAGAAAGGTGAGACTTTTTCGTGCAGCAATTTTTCGCACTAATTTTATAAAGAATGAAAGCGAACTATTGGTTTAATTCAATCATGACAAGATCCCTTTATTAACATTTAGATTTCTGAAATTTCATAGATTTCATAAATGTCAATATTGAATTCATGAATTCAACAAATCATTGAATTCAATTTCAAATTCATATTATTGTATAAATTCCATTCGGAAGCAAATTCCTAACTCATTGACGAAAGCAATTTCCTACTTTTTTCTGAATCCACGAGTTCAAGTATTAGTTCAAGTAAAAGTGCAACATTTCAAAGGTGAATTCACTCTCATTCTTTTCTGATTCACGCGATAAGAACCCACTCTTTTTATACTTCAATATAATTGAGAATGTGTCCTCAAATTCATGCATAAATCATACAAACCCATAAAAACATTGGAGAAAAATAAAATAAACTCCATTTGGTAAGGAGAATGATCAAAAAAATAAATTCTACAACTTGAATTGCTTCACAACAATTTTTTTTCTAGCTCGTACACCTTTGAAATATCAATACGACCATAAAAATAAATTTCACAATCAAATGAACTTACCAAGTTTATGGTATTCACAATCAAATAACGCATAAATATTATAAATTGCCTCCTGGGCAAGTGGGGGTCCCCTGACTTGTACGATACCAAAGTCCAGCATTGGCTCGTAATGATAAAAATTTGCTGGATGAGCATTAATCACGTCACCGACGAAGGTACTACCACTTCTCCACGTGGCAACTATCACACTTCTCATCGGTCTTCCACCTTTTTCCATCGTGAGCTCATCCAAATTGCTGAAACGATGAGGTAAACAGTTGGAGAGAAAAAAAAGTCAATGAAAATGTGTGGTACTGGGGAGAATGCAGAGGGATACATTGAGAGAGGTCGTCTACCTGATGTTTATCCCATATTTTCCACGCGGGTAAACGTAGTCCTCCATATCTCTCTCGATCATCCTTCGCTGCTGATCTATCACCTCTTGCATCTCCATGTATGTGAGATTATTACGCGCTAAAAATACCTGAAATAGGTAATTGAGTAATTGAAACTACAAGATAGGATTCGTGTTTTTTTTTGTGAGTGAATAATCCTCTAAAAGAGGAATTATCGAGAGAATCACTGGAGAGCTTCATTTAGCAATGAAATCCATTTTCCACGAGTGTTGAATATTCCATTATTTCGCTAATGCAAAATTTCAAAGGAATTGACAAATGGTATTTCTTGCTGGACGTTTTCAGGAACAATCTCTGGTTTTCGAGGTAAATGCGAGGTAAATGCAATTTCGAATAATTTACAATTGAAAAAGTATTCTTTTTTCTATTTTTCCGGTCAGCCAGTTAATGGCAATTGAAAAAAAAAAATTTCTCATTCATCACTATTCTTTTACTTATTACCGACGCCGATGACACAATCGACTCAAAAAATTTAAATGACGGTATCGTATTTTTTCACAGGAGATTCAGATAAAAATTACCTAACGCTCTGGAAAAATTCCGTGACAGCTCCGTAAAATTTCCTACAACCACATCTCGCTCCGGAATTACGGAAAGGATACGTAATTTTCGTTGAATATTTCTCTTCGTATACCATATAACCAGTTTTATTTGCCAATTCCCGGTCCCACATAAAGACATAAGAAACGTCAAAGACGCATAAAATAAAAAAAAAATAACAATGGTACAAATGAAAATAAAAACACCAGTACTAAGATGCCAAACGAGCAAAGCTCATGAGTAATCTTCATTTATCCTCAAGATCCAGACAATCTACGTTTTCTCATGCTTATTCCGTAGTCTATAACACCAGCAATGTTCTGCGCAATTGTAATACTTTTCTTTGGCTAAATAAAGATGTTTATAAAAAAATTGCAGGCGGCTGTATCTTCGATACAGCTGTAATTGTACGTGAATACGTCCATGGTCTTTCCTTCTTTCTCGAATTTCCTAGAAACTCCTTGCATTCCCTTGAATTTACTGGAAACTTTGAATTCTCTCAAATTTTTTAAAAACATCTCGAATTTTTTCGAAATTTCAAGAAACTTCTCAAATGACCTCGAAAAGTCTCGAATTTTCTAAAATTCCGATAGATGGCGCTGCGCATAAGGACCGTTTCCCAAAATGATCCCCCATATTGAAACCATAGACGTATCCACGTCAAAAAAGTAGTAGAGTGTGCGATTGGCGCGGCCAAAATTTATGACACTCTAAATCTCACGGTTTCATTTGTCGAGCGGGCGTCCCGTAAGAGACGACCATACCTGGACAGGTTTTTTTCCTCAAGTGAGGTTTTCCCTTGTCCTTCAGCGAATGCGGTACAGTGGATTGGGGGGTGGGAAGGGAGAAAATCGTAAAAACTCGAAAGGGTATACAAGAGAATTTTCTTTTACTTTTACTTATTGCGCACACACTCACTGTAAAAAAAAAACATGTTTACGATCAAATAAAAATCTCATTACATTTTTTTTATCGTTTTGTCAAAACTGTGGAATTATATCACTTGAATGTGAGAATATGTGCAGTCGGAATATTCAAACAAAGCATTCCAGAAATTGAAAGTAACAGTTATTACTTGATTGGTGGATAATTTAAAGCAAGCGTTCACAGTACACCACCAATGACACGTATGTTATTGATAACGACCTGCACGTCGAAATAAAGTGAAGCATTTAATATTTGGCGGTGATAAGAAAATTGAGAACAACTTCTATCGTCAATTGTCATATATAAGGATTTTTTTTATCAATTGAAATTCTACTACTTTTGACAATTTCGCATGTATATCTCGAAAACCGAATATTCGCAAAGATAATTTCGAGAGAGCTTGGATAATTTTCAAAGAAAAAAATAAAGGTTTCATCCCGGTGGACGCAAAGCACACATTTTCGTTCCGCTCGATTCCTTTATTTTGGAAATATACCATTTCAACATTTTTTCTTGCAACGACTCATTCCCAAGATAATGTCATTTTCGACATGAAAGATCGGCTTGGTCGCCATGCTCTATCATCCTACTACATATTCTGATAAATCAAAACACATTCGAAAATTCTGAAACGGTATCACTCACCATGAAAGGATCCTCGTGTTTACTAACAGTCGGTCTCGTGTCGACGTCCTAGATTGAATAAATTCAACGATTCAGTGTGACTATTTCTATTCTATTTCTTTGCACTAGCGTCTGGGACACGCTACGCGCGCCTAAGCTTTACAGGGCATGCATTTGTGTTGTTTCAATGGACAATACCATTCTGGTATTCTCAGTAAAAGTTTCATAGACACTAAGTTTTACTGGAGTTGTTGCACTTTCTGCTGTATTTTTGGTAAAAATTTTCTAAAGACGGAGAGAAATGTTCAGTAAAAATTACGGAACGCAATTTTTCAATAAAAATTCCCTACAACCACATTTCGCTCCGGAATTACGGAAAAGATGCGTAATTTTTATTGAATATTTCTCTCCGTGAAGACGGAAATTTAAGGGTAATTTTTATTCGATTTTCTGTCCACATAACTGACATTGAATCATGATTTCTCTTCACAAAATTCTAATGTATTCTGAGATGTTTACTCTGGAGAATAGAATATTTTACATTGCGGGGCGATAATAGTATATTACACAAATAGGCGGGTATTGTATATTTTCGAATATGAGGTTGCAGCCCGAGCCAAAGGCGAAGGTTGCAATGATATGAGCTAGAAAATTTTTTTAGGCCTTGTGTCGAATAATATTTTCTAGTATAACTTCCGAAAAAACTCATTAAAAAATATGAAAAAATTTGTATGTCTCACTGATTTTGTGTAAAAGCATATTGTGCTATTTCTAATCAAGGCCAAAGCTCCCGATTGGAGAAAATTCACTCCTATTCTAACTGGATGAAAAATACGGCGCAGTGCCGCGCCGCGACCGACCGTGTCACGGAAATATTTCACACGGTGTTGCCATAATTGCGGCTACCGGAAGATCAGCGAGTCCACTCTCCCATTTAATCGTGGCAACGGCGCTCAGATTTACATTACGGCGCGGCGCCGCCGTACGAGTCACCACGTTAGTCAGTTTCACGCATAAAAAATGAGTAATTTGGGCTGTCACCTCTCGCTTAGACTTGAGATAAAAAAAATAATATAAGTTCCCTAATTAGTAATCTCTCCCAATGGGAAAAGACCCACGTAAGAAAAAAACCACCGGTCACGTCCAGTGCAACAACTCTAGTAACAGTGATGATTAATTTCCTGGATTACTGATTATTTGTTTGTGTGAAAAGCATGCACGTGGATCGGCCAGAGATAGTGGACATAGTTTCTTAATTACGATTTAATTGACTTACCGATATGACCGGTTGGAGACGGTGCTCGATATAATTGGTGTATCGTTGGTTGAATACTATGAAGAATATACAGAGGGAGGCCAGTGCAACTAGCCCATAAAAGCTGAGTCGCTTTGACATTTTTGTACCTTCGGAAAAATAATTAGAAAACGTTGAAGAGATGCGATTGAAAAAAATTACTGCAGATGAACTATTTAGAACCGAAAGTAAATGAATTCTCTTGTCAACTTATATCTAGTAATTAAAATAATTCAATTTTCAAATTCCTTTTAATTTCTAAAATTCTTCTTCGTGTTCGATTTTTTATGGTAATGATAAATTGTCTTCCGGCCGATAAAGAAAAGCTGAAATTTAATTAACCCTCTCAAGAAAGACACCTATCAGTTGAACCTGTCGGTGTGCCTAGCGAAAGTTAAGGTCCAATCTCGCGTGGTCTAGCTATGTGTTAATGCATGACTTTACAGAAAGGCTCTCCCACTCTCGCTGGCCCAAGGCTGAGGATAGATAACAGGCGGTGCGTTGCTCTTCAAGGGCGGAAAGTCAGTATTTTGACGTGGTACGTCTACATTTTCATTATGGGGCGGCATTTAGGGAAAAAGTCCTTATGGTTCCTTATCGGCAGTGGTGCCATCTATCGGAATTCTAGAACATTCAAGAATTTTCTAGAACGTTCTAGATTTTTCTAGCAAATTCCAGATTTTTCTAGAGAAGTTTTGATTTTTCTAGAAAATTCTCCAGTTAAAAAAAAATTAAATTAGATTACCCGCGGTTCCCATTTAAACGACTGCTAATTTTTGCTTTTGAATGGAAGCATTGTAATCGTCCAATTTTCAAGGCTCACTATCATATGGCGCGCTGTCATATGCTCGCTGCCCCCTGCTTGTTTTCTCAATGACTCAATATCGACAAATTATTAATGATTTTTTAATGATCCCGGATATGAGTCGTGCCGGAAGAATTTATAGAATACCTATCGTATTAGAATTTTTCATATCTAACAGAAAGATCTCTCTCACAGTTTCCGAGATAATCGCGAAAAACGAAATCCCCAAAAAAAATTAATTTAATTTATCTTGTATGGGGTGTAGAACGTGAAAAAACGCAATTCTGAGCCGTCCATCTGCTTATAGGCCACCCAAAAGTGGTTTTAAGGCTCTATCTCTCATAGTTTCCGAGATAATCGCGAAAAACGAAATCGCCAAAAAAAATTAATTTAATTTATCTGGTATAGGGTGTAGGAAGTGGAAAAACGCAATTCTGAGCCGTCCATCTGCCTATAGGGAACCCAAATTTCCTCAGGAATCGAATGGAATAGGTTTTAAGGCTCTATCTCTCATAGTTTCCGAGATAATCGCGAAAAACGAAATCGCCAAAAAAAATTAATTTAATTTATCTTGTATAGGGTGTAGGAAGTGGAAAAACGCAATTCTGAGCCGTCCATCTGCCTATACGGAACCCAAATTTCCTCAGGAATCGAATGGAATAGGTTTTAAGGCTCTATCTCTCATAGTTTCCGAGATAATCGCGAAAAACGAAATTGCCAAAAAAAATTAATTTAATTCATCTTGTATAGGGTGTAGGAAGTGGAAAAACGCAATTCTGAGCCGTCCATCTGCCTATACGGAACCCAAATTTCCTCAGGAATCGAATGGAATAGGTTTTAAGGCTCTATCTCTCATAGTTTCCGAGATAATCGCGAAAAACGAAAGTGCCAAAAAAAATTAATTTAATTCATCTTGTATAGGGTGTAGGAAGTGGAAAAACGCAATTCTGAGCCGTCCATCTGCCTATACGGAACCCAAATTTCCTCAGGAATCGAATGGAATAGGTTTTAAGGCTCTATCTCTCATAGTTTCCGAGATAATCGCGAAAAACGAAAGTGCCAAAAAAAATTAATTTAATTCATCTTGTATAGGGTGTAGGAAGTGGAAAAACGCAATTCTGAGCCGTCCATCTGCCTATAGGGAACCCAAATTTCCTCAGGAATCGAATGGAATCGGTTTTAAGGCTCTATCTCTCAGTTTCCGAGATAATCGCGATAACGAAATCGCCAAAAAATCTTGCCGTACTTTTGGACATTTGTACCAACACCTACTCGTCACTAAACACCAATAAAATTCAGAAAAATGTTTGTACCATTTTTCTGAATAATCTACGACTGTTTTTGAAGCTCTGAATGGTTTGTACTTGGTCTCATGATCATGTACAGTAAATTGTTCCGTTTGTACTGCGATGGGAGTGGAAGTACGGAAGATGAGACGTTTGTACCCACATCAAAACTTCACGAACTACATATGGAATCCATTACGATGATTTTACGGTTGATAAAAATGGAATCAGGTGATTTGATGAGAATAATAATAATAATAATAATAACAATGAATAATTTTCGTTGGTACAAACGAGTGCTAACGATTTAGAAGTTATCTGTATGTTTTCCTGACGTCCTTCATACATTTAAGATTTTAGAAGCGGGTAAAGTATTGAAGGGGTTGATAAATGAAATGGAAAAATATAGTACATACAAGTACTATCCATGCTGAATACTTGCTCATGAAAATTTTTTCCGTACCTTCATTTCCGACGCTGCACGATTTTTCCCGCACCTCTTACGTCTAGGGGTGCGGGGTACAAATGAAAATGAATGTAGTACACTCAGGTACTCACTGAGTACAATCGATACTATAAGAAAGACCATCGATTTTTCAAACTTCGACTCCAAGTTCACACAGCTTACAACGGATCGTAAAGTAGTCCCTTTTTAGAACTGTTTTCCCAGTATGTCATAAATCTTTGTCGAGTAGTTTTTGTACAATAATAAAACAGCTGTGCTCGAATATTCCAACAAATGGTGCAAAAATATCATTTTTGTTAAACCATTCCATTCTTGAACAAGTGGGCTGTCATGTAAAAAATTGCCATACGTTTTGAAAAAGAAAAGAAGAAAAGAAAAAAAAATTGAGGTCCTAGGACTCGGTCAAAATTCATGAATCTTCGCGGCACATGAAAAACGGGTTTTATCGTCTTCTTATCATAATAGCGCAGAAAGCATCGGATTGAAAAAAATGAAACTCTGCATTGGAGTGGAGTAATATTCAATCTAACGCACGGTCGTACGATTTTTTTTCGCGAAAATGTAAAAGTGAAAAGGACAGTAGCCATTGGGCAGAAAAAACCCTCGAATAATCAACAACAGACATTCAATTTCATCCCCACCAATGCGGTTTCTCCGATACCGCCACCAACCACAATGATACTCGAAAAAGCCATTAAATCATGACGTGGATCTCATAATAATTCATAATGAACATTTAATTACCAACTAATCGCCTCCGGGCCATGACATTCCATAGATATCCCTCAATTAAATCCCCAACGCCGCCATGTGTCTCCCCTCATAGCGGTCTCACTTCCTGGAACCCCGAAGAATCCCCATCATTTCAACTTTTCCACAAACACTCCCCACTGCCATTGAATAATTACCACAGAAAACAATTGATTGAGATTTCCAGTGACAACCGCATTGCTGTGTCATCAACCAATTTCTCCACACTCTCCTTATCCCATTAATCCACATCAGCAAATGAAAACACAATCTTCACTCTGATCATTCTCACTGAATCACCACTAATTCGTGAGAGGAAAAAATCACATTTTATTCCCTTGATTTATCGTAAAAAACTACGTGTCGTTGAGAGGACAGGAGAGTGTAAACTGCATGGATATTTATTGAATACGCGAAAGGGGGTGGTGCCGAGCCAGAGACACTGCCAACTTGATGCAGCCATTGTACATATATCCGGTTAGTCGCGAACTAGTCGATGTTACCATCGAAACAGGAGAAATCAATGGAGGACAATATTCTCCCCCCGAAATGAAAACATTTGGCTTTTCCACTTTTTGCATTTTCCTTGGATTCATTTTTGATGCAATTCTCAGTGACGAAGGGGAGACGTGAGAGATTCTGGTTGTACGGAGGCTGATGTTGGTAAAGTAAATTCCTAGATAGCGTTTTCCTATGAAATGTGAGTGGGAACGGGTCAGTCCTTCGTCCGTTTGAATGATTTTTCTGGAATATTTCGGGTGGTCAGTGGGCGGGGTTGAGTGTTTTGGAATATTGTTTTGGAATATTGGTAATTGAGAACATTAAAATGTTGCTTTTGGGATTAGCTGGAGCGGAATGGGGATGAGAAATTGAAATCTTTGTTTCTTTTGATGGGAGATAAAGCGAGGAAATTGATTGAAATCAAAAGTTTAAACGTTTGAAATTTTTTGAAAAATGTAGCGACAGATATTTTTGCATTTCTAACATTGGGGTAAAACAATGGCGATTTTAACTAGTTATTATTTTTCTCAATACAGATTTTTTTCAGAATAACTAGAGGCTCCGCAGTTTTGAAGGGAAGATAAACACGATAAAATTGTTTTTTTATGATTTATATTCTTATAATTTTTTTTTCAACGAACAAACAAATTTTGTGTTTAAAGAACTCTTTTTTTGAAACATAAGAGTTATAAACAAAGCACTATTGATTACTCAATTATTATGAATAATTGTTAAAGTGCCCCATAATCCGGGAAATCAAAAGAAATATGAATCAATCCAAAATTAATCTGAATGACAAACAAAAAATTATAGTCCACAATTTCTCTGTCCCCATTTTAAACCGAGATATTAAAACCATATTCCCCTTTTAAATTCATTACAAAATTATTTATCATAAAAATGCATTGCAGTGTTTCCTCAATTTTTCTCGATCGAAATTATAAAATTTCAAAAACCGAAAAAAGTGTCAAATTTCTTATTTAAAATCGCATTTTAATTAATTTTTAAATTAAAAAAAAATAATGATACTCAAAAATTTATCCTTCCTCATTTTAAACCGAGAAATTAAAACCATTCCCTGCTTCTCACATTCATTACAAAATTATTTATATTAAAATAATGCATTGCCGATTATATAAAATGCCAACAACCGAAAAAAATGTCAAAATTTTCATTCAAAATCGCATTTTTCAATTCTTCACAATGCGAAATTGAAAAAAAATCAAACCTCCCTAAGTAATCATGTAATAAAAATTTATTACATTTTGATGTGAACTGTTTCCGAAAATCGCCATCAGGCGGAAGCATAATCGCGCCTCTCGGAGCTCTACATCAGTCACAGATCGAATTCCGTTATATACACTCGCCAGTCAGTCGGGCACGTACACACCTCGTGGAGTGGTTCCACGAGACCGACCCAACACCAGACAAGGGTGGCAAAAGGGAAAACCAGAAACCCGAGAATTAAAAAATAAAAAATAAAACTGAAGTGAAATTTTCAAGTGACTCGGCGACCCCTCGGGCTCGCACAAACCCATCGGAAATATTTGCTCAGATAATCTCGCGGGTTCCTCGGATTTCGGTGCCGAATGGACCAGAGTTTGCCGCGATGTCAGCTGTAACACTCGAGGTACGAAGTAAATCCCATTTCACTCCGATTCACTCTCGCCTGATCGCTCATTCCTCATTCAACCCGTCCCAATGCCCCATTCGACAGTGCAATCGCTCCACAAATATGAGATTATCTCTTGCCGGAGTGATTCCAAAAAGAACTCCCAGAAGACCTTTTTCATTACAGATTTAATCATCTTCTAAATCCGCAGGATCATTATTTCATTCCACCCACAATCACAGCAGATATTTTTAAAAAGTCCTCTGTCATTTTTCCCCGTCCTCGCTCCCGAGATAACGAAACAATCAACGAAAGCGTCAATCATCCCACTTGCAATTCTATGATTTTGTAAAAAATTTGTCACAATTTAATGGAGAAATTGTGATCAACATTTCCTCGAGCAGTCGAGTAGAAGTGGAAGACACCCTGTCCGTCAGGGGAATGCACAGGGGTCATTTTAATTCCCACACCCTCAAAAATCAATAAAAACGGAAAACCCATTTTTTCCACACATGCAATAATTTTATAATGCCCAGTAGAACCAAAACATCGATGTCTACTTTTAGCGACACGTGTAGAGGCGCTTAGTTACTTCAATTACAGCAAATAAAATATGAATTCATGGCCACAGTAGGGTCACTCGTGTGATGAATTCTTTAAAAGGTATTACATATGATCGAACAGGTCGGTGGGGAATGTTTTATAGATTAGGTTTCGCTTTCCTGTAACGTGGGTATTGTGGAGCTAATGCACTTTGCATGGAAGGACTCGGGGGGGAGTTTGGTGCATTATAGATCACGCACATGCGCCCAATTCTGTGGCAAGTATTGCATGGGAGCGTGCATATGAGTGAGTTGCGAACGTTCTTGGAGGGATTGGAGAGGAAATTAATTGCGGATTGACGAATTGAGGATTAGGGAGGTTCGAGGATTGGTGGAACTGGGAAAATTAATAGTGAAATGGGACGATGGGGTGAGGACGATTAAAATTGTCGTAATAACTGATTTTGTAGAGCGAATTGAGGGCTACAAGAAAGGTCATGAAAAAAATTCGCCACCCCCCTTAGATTTCGAGATATTCATTGAAAACTGGCCAATCGTCAAAATTGACTAGAACCGTTTTACCGCTTCGCTACCGAAACGATGACTTTGAAAATTTGGGAGAGAGGCGAGAAACATCGGTTGAAATTTAATGGTTCATGAAAAAAAAACTTCTAGTAATTTCTCCTCACTTCACGCGTCATCAAGATAATTCAACGATTGATGAGAAATTGAAGGAAACTTTTAAAGGTTTTCATTCCATCTCTAGTAATTGGGGACTGCAAGAGCTTAAACCCAGAAGATATTTTCTTGTGGATGAGAAAATATGTGACGAGAAAGTTTTTTTGATGGTATGACTCGTTATCCAAGTAGTTCAGTGATAACAATTTGGAAAATTGGGTTGAATTCGTAATTTTTAATGATTGTATCACTATCTCGAGAAGTTTACCGAGAAAAAAAAAATCATTTCATCAACACGGAATTTTTTCACGCCAGTCATTTCTAGGTGATTCCAGTTGGGCTCCAGGTGTTACAATTATATCGAACTACAGAATGATTATGCTGTACATAATCGTAAATGAACTCTGCCGGAACTTATTAGCGTTTAAAATTATTCGAAATTAATTTAGCTCGAAGAATTCGCAATTCAGGAAAAATAAATAATAACGTAGGCAGCTTCAAGGTCATGTGCAACGCACCCATTCTATCATGGATCATAATTATAGGTCATGAAAGTTAATTTAGATCATCTGGATATGACCGATATGCTGGAGAAATACGTTATTCGAAGAGTCGATATTAATCTCGAACAAATATTTACTCAGCACACTCTAATATTCTCTCAAATCTTGTTTGTAGATAAGAGAATTTTAAAGATGTAGGAAGTATTTTAATGAAAGGGTATAAACTTGATGAATTCACTCGCCAAATAACTTTTCAAAAGAGTGGATATTTGTCCATATATTGTAGGATCGCCTTCTTTACAGAGTCGTCATTAAAAATGCAAACAATCTAGTATTTGAATAATTATATCTCAGTCGGAACAGTGCTCTTGCCCACGGCCCAGGGCAGACTGTCCACGGTCCCGTTCCTTATGGGGACCTCAAACCCAGGTTCGTCATTTGTTTAGACTACATCGTCTACATCTGCGTCGACAACGGATCGATTGCTGAGAGGATGTTTACGCTAAAGTACGCCAGCACCTCTCCGAACAAAGCCATTTCAGTCCCGAGTTATGATCATTCGGTTCCAGTATTTTAAGCGTGAAAAATCTCTCCTTAAAGAACAGTTTTATTGTCATTATTGGATTTATGGGTAGGATTTAATTAATAACTCTGTGAATTTAATTTGACTGACTCTTTATTCACTCGCACAGTATAAACACAGTTTTAAGACCCTCAGTCTGAAGAATTTTATCTGGTGACACTGAAATGTGTCGAGCTGTGTAGAGATTGATTTTTGAATACTATTTCGTTCCATGAAATCCAATAGTCATTTAAATGGGTTCTCGAGAAACAAACGAAAGATAACTCAGGAAATTGAACTTATCACTACCTAATTAACGTGTCGGTTAATTCACTTATTTGGACGATAATTGCGAATAATAATATAATATAATTGTGAATAATAGCGATTTTTGGTCATTTCCGAACTATAATTGGCGCCAAAATTCATGACATTTTATTGACAATTTTTGGTGAAAATTTCATCTGTTTAAAAAATTCGTTCTTTGAGTAATTAATGATTTAAAAAAACATTTTATCGTATCAACCCCATCAAACCGAAGATAGTGTTATGTCTGATGTCTCATTTTAAAGGGGTTTCCATATTCTTTGAGTGTGTCAAAGGGCGATTTGGTAGCTTGAAAAAAAATTTGTTGGACAAAAACTAGCAATTTTCAAAAAATTATAGTTCCCTCAATTATCCATATTTTTGAATTGTTGTTTTTTTCAAAAATTTTCTCTAATCGTAATTTTTTTCACAAAAAAATTGATACGGAAATCGCCTGCATCTACTTTGTGTCCTGCTGATTTGGCGCGGATTTGCTCACAAATAGTCGATTATTCTCATTTGAACACAAAATTGGATCAGTCTTACCGATAGAAGAATTCCTACAGAAAATATTCCGTACATTAACACAATTATCACGTTGTGTTGATAACTTTTCTAACGAGAATGTCGAAAACTAAACGGAAGTATTGTTTACAAACTCGGTCAAGGGAATTTGTAATCGGTCTCGCCCTCTGGCAGTGTCAAGAAACGCCTCAGGGTTTCTGAGTGATAAAAGTCCGTAATGAGGGAGAAAAAAGCCATTCCAAACAGACTGTGTGTGCCGTACGGTGTACATGGAAACTTCAACGCTTAAATCGAAAGATATGACCTTGTAGAAATTGAGGTGGATAACCGTGAGAGGCTGAAAGCGAAAGAAACTCAGTGAAAGCCTCACCGGCATAAAGAAATGTCTGATTATAAGTAAAATGGTTCAAAATCGTGTTAATCGCTTCATTACCATGAGAATACGCAATTGATGATGATTATTTCTATGGAACCACATCAGATGAGCCCGGTAATAACGATCCATTGGGAAAGATGATAATGATTATTCATTAATATTAATTGAGTTTGAGATTTTTTTGACTATGGTGAGATATTCATAATATTATAATGAATGATTGACGGTTTCTGGAAAAGGGAATGATTAGGGAATGATTATGAATCTTCACTGACCTCATTAGAAAGTCGAAATTTTTAGCGTGAAGTACAGAAATAACTCCCGAGTATTGGAAAATTCGTTTTTTTTCCCATTTATCTTACCCAGACTGTTTGTGAGAAGTTCCATCGGCTACAGGCAAGGCCCCCTCATTTTTTTTCAGAATCATCCATTTTCCAGATGATTTCTGAAAATTTACGGAAATTTGATCCTTGAGAGAAATTCGTTCTAGTTTTCGAATTAATGAGATAATCATTAGCGCGCCATTTTGTACGTAAAACCATTCAAAACCTTTTCTGTAGGGAATTTCATTGTGTCATAAAAAGGGGTTTTCTTGAATTGGTCATTCTCGAGGCGATTGATAAATTTGATGAAATTCTTACTAATTGTTGAATTATCTTGGTATTGGAACATTCCACATGACGTTATCAGAAAACTATTTTTGTAGATAATTTTATGGGCTTTATGAAAGGTCTCTTAACGTTTTTCCATTGGATTATCTTCGAAGTGATCAACGAAAAGGAAGAAAAGATGGATAGTTAACAGAAATATTTGCGCCTTCTCGAACTTGACAAAAAAATTTTAATTTCGCTGGTTTTCCGTTGCAATGGTTAATTTTCCAATACGGTCATCCCGTAAGGGCCTAAACATTCCAGTGTTTCATCCAATCTTCTAGGCTATCTGGAATTTTGCAGGGGTTTTGAAAAAATCATCAATTTTTTGATTTTTTTCGACCCCCCTGACCACGCCATAAATACCATTTTCATTTACGATTCGGGTACGAACTCAGCATCCCGAATTCTCGAGACAATTCAGCAAAATCAACCAAAATTTGATATTTCAAATAATTCTGAGTATCTGTGGGCATCGCTCAAAAAATGATGACCCTATGGAATTTTAAACCGGTTGCATACGTCAGGTATTAAGCGTTCGTCGAATATATTACCATCACTTGCTTAATTTTGTTTTTGCTACCCATTTCATAGGCTTTCGGAAGTGTCTGTACTATCTATGTAACTAAGGAAATTAGAAAACTTTTGATTTCAAGAAATTCCATTTGCTGAGGAATTCATATTCCGAAAAAATTGTGGGACATGTATAGAGTCGAAAAAATGAACGTGACATCGAAGAAATTATAATAGTATATTTCAGGGCGAGTGCCATGGGGATTTTTGATCGCGTGGAGTTGGCGTCCGAGGCGAAGGCGAGGACTGGCCAACCACGCGAGTAAAAAAAATCCATGGCAATAGCCGTGAACCATATTTTTCCGTGGTGAATTTTACTTTTACGAGTTTGGGGAAGGGTCACTTCCCCGGACGAGGAAAAGTGAAGATCAGTACGCAAAAATCCTTTTTTTCTTCGTACATACTATTATAGTAGATTATGTCTTAAGGCGTTTCATAGAAAAATTCAAAATAATGAAAAAAAAATCTCCCTCCCTCTAGAAAAGGAATTACCGTATTCCGAAGGTCAGTTATTGGCAGTCGCGTGTCTCCAGCGACGTCTGAAAACGTGGAGATGAATTCTTGAGGATTCCCAAGTGCCAATAATAAACCGTTTGGAAATAATCCCCCACAAAACCATCTAAAGAAATAAAGTGAAAGGTAGAAAATAAACTCGGTGACTCAGAAGCATCACCAGTACATCCTTGATACGAAAAAAAATTCATGATATTTCCGCCTTGAAAACCTCGTTTTTTTTCTCGAACAACAGAGTAACAAAAAACGTTGATCACAACACGTAACTGCAGGCTTCTATAATCAATTTCATTTTATCTATTTTATCTTGGAAATACTTTTCTGGTATCAGGGTCGCTAGTTACAGCGGTTTTGTATCATTGAAAGGGTTAAACATCGAGATAAGATTTCCATGTGGAGAATCACGAGATAACGGCTGAATCGCCAGTTTTAAACATGAACAATCATTTCTTTCAGGGATATACCGATCTTCCAGATGTTGAGGAAAACGTTGTTTCAAGTTCGTAGAAATTACCGCAACTCTATTGGTCAAACTTTTTTCCTGTATTAAGGGGTAACGAAGGTTCACCGTTTCCTCGAAATTTTCAAACAAATTTTCTGCTCAAAGTTATTAGTATTTTTCGAACCCGAAGCACATTGATCTTCATCATCGCCTCCTGACGATTAATGTGCTTCGATTAGTAAAAATGTCGATCACTTTCGGGAGTAAATTTGTTTAAAAAAATTGGAAAATTAGCAGCATTCTGCTATCCCTTAAGAGGAGGTTCACTCCGGAAATTTCCTCAAGAATCGGATTTTCTTCGTCAAAATTGTCTCCGGCCACTCAAAATTAGGGAGTCCAATTTTTTACATCGAAAATTCAACTTCACAAACATCGTCAACGTATTTTTTTATAGGTTTTTGAATGATTACAAATTTTCGTTCCTTAATTATCAAAAATGCGCGCGTTGGGATTAATTTTCAGCGTCACGGGAGGTGATTTCATGATTTCGAATGATTTTATTAGTTCGAAATCGTATGATTTCAAAATGATTTCGGAGAGCTGAAATCCCTTGATTTCAGTGATTTGGGTGATCTCACGTGATTACAGAGTGATTTCAGAATGATTTCATGCCGGAGTGGCGCCGTGATTTCGGGAGTGAGTGGCCCCTCGAACTCTCTGTTTCTTTTTCGTCATTTCAAATCCTCCCATTAAAAAAAATGAAAAAACGTATTTCAATAGTTAGAAAGTAGTGGGTCGTGGAACTCAGTGATTACGGACACATTTTTTGTTATCGAACTCGGTCAGTCGCGTCCACTTCCGGTCATCGCATCCGCACCGGATTTTCATATACACGTGCTTGTTTCTCTTAAATCAGTGCATCGATTTTTATTGTTTTCATTTCACATTTATTTGTCTTTCCAATGCCTGGACTAGAGATTTTGTGGAGGTTTTTTTTTCGTCGGTTCAGTTGTGAAGAATAGCCGCTTCATCCTGCTGGATGAATTGTTGAGAGATGATGACACACGATTTCACCTCCGCTTTTCCCTTTTCGCTGTTGCCCATTGCTCAAGCCACTCACCATCGTCATTACTCACCGTCTGTCGTTTTTTATCTCGAATTAATTGTCCAACTGCTTCTGTGTTTAGCGTCTTTGTCAGCGGGTCAAACGTTCCAATCTTGCGGTGGCATTGCCACTCACTTTATGGCCATTTTTAATGATGAACAGGATGAAAGTGTTGAAACAATTCCAAATATTTTATTTTATTATCTTTATTGTGTCACAAATAGATATTCAAATATTGGGTGATTCCATTGTTCTCAAGATGATCTATTTCAACAATTTTTATTAAGGATGCCTATTCGGAACCGCAAGTCTATGCTTGCGGTTCCTGATCCTGAGATTTTTTTAACGATTATATTGCTATCAATTTAAAAAAATAATGATAACTCTGTGTTAAATATTTTGAATTTTCGCTTTCAATTGAGGGAAATTGTATTCTAGAATAGTGACAATTGTTTCTTGTGAGTGACGATTGTTCTTTTTCCTCTCATTTTAATTTTTCCAAGAAAATAACACCGAAAATCGCTCACTTATCCTCCCCCATGCATTTCACGAAGAAATACTAAATCAACATCCGTCACGGTAACACCGGTTACCATTATTTATGATCAATAACAGTGCCAGCAGTCGTTCTACATAACTCAATACCTGTTAATTATTGTATTCAGGGTCAGCCGACGGTCTCTGCATTCCACGTGCGATGATGTATTGGCGCTAAATTCACCGCAAAAGACAAAACATCATTTCAACGAAGAAAAAAGAGAAAGAAGAAACAACGAGTGAAGTTGAAATCATGAACTATCCCTAGCATGAATTACAAAGAGATGAAATGAGCGTTATGACAAGACGAAATTGGGCCCTGAGGCTCTCGATAGTCCTCAATATCTGCGTTTTGTTGTATGTCTGTGCACATTTTGGATCTTGGCAGGAGGAAGGGACCAACTGGGACACTGGTGGTGCTGTTGTTCCACTAGTGTCGAATAACATCTTTGGTAGTGAAAGTACTCAAATTAATTCGAGTGTGAGAACAGCTCAAGAGGCTAAAGCTACCAGAGTCACGGGGGTGGATAGGTATGACAAGAAGAATGCCGTTACGTCAACTATTGGATCTGAGGGTGGAACTAAGGGGGCCGATGCCACGAAAACCGCTGGGAAGGAGGAACTCGAGGGACAAGCTGTAAGTCATATTGTTTATTTGATAATTGAGCAGACTGACGCCAAATCAGCAGTTGTCGAATAGTCAGAAAGATGTTTCTGAGGAATCGAGAATATATTTTTAATATTTTGATATAGGATAATTTTTCTGGCTGTTTCACACGGATGGTGCAACTTTTTACATTAAAAAGAAAAACGAAATTAGCTGTGTAGGGGTCGAATTTCAAAAAATTAACTCGTAATTGCTGTAGTAGACATTTTTCCAAAAATTTTGAGAAAACCTCTCCCTTTTAGAATTGATTAATCATTTATTTCATATGATGAGAATCAGGGATGGTCATCAATATTAAATTTCATCAATATTAAAAGCATTTTTAGCACTTAGCTTGGTAGCGGTTTAAATATACTTATCAAAATTTAAAAATAGTTTAATATTGTTAATTTATCATTTCCGATTAATGATGAATTAAATATTTGATAATATGGAAATTAACGTTTTCATTAAGTAAATAATTCTAATATTTTAAGGGGGATTTTCGATTGACCAAATAATCGGCAATTTTACTACCTAAATTATTAGTTAATAAAATATTTCAAAATTTGAGAATGATATTAACCAAATGAAGGGTTCAAAATTTAACAGTAATTATGATTTATAGATATGATTATCCCTGATTAGAATGGTTTTATTGAAATCAATAGATAAATTGATTAAATCAGTGTCAAATGAAGAATTTTATTTAATTCAAAATACCCGATTCCTCTGAGTGCACCGAAACCCTATTCCTCTAAAATTTATTTCCACCCAAAACTTCCAAAGGAAAATTCTCCTCTTCCCTTTATCTCTTATAAATCATTTCAGATCCTTCCTCCATGAAACCCGGAAGAGTGAAATACCTGCGACATCCTCTGGCCATTTCTCGCTCCCCACTTCCTCCCCCTGACCATTTCCAGGCGAGTCCACAATTTTTCCTGTCATATAAAAGCCATCCACTGTCTCGTAAAACTCATTTTCCATTCTCTCTGGTTATAAAATTCTAATAAATATCGATATTTCAGAATTCGCCACTGGCCCAGCCATCATTAAGCCTGGAGGACATACTGGGATGCAAAGATAAGAGCCAGGAGCCTCGAAAAGCTCAACGTGGTGATTACTGGGTACTTTACAATTACGTACCAATGACAATGGCAGTTAAATGCTGGGAAACATTAACATACACGACACACGCTGATTACACATTTCTGGACAATCTTGAGCCACTTTTGGAACGATGGAGGGCACCGGTATCGATTGCAATGCATGCACCGGGTTACGACTTTCAGACGACAGTCGACTCAATCAAATACTTGAGAAACTGTGGTAGTGAACTTGTCTCTCAACTTGTAACCTTTCACGTGTACTTCAGCAGCAAACACGTGCCTAAAGTGGTTGGTATCATCTTCAACACTCCTTCATGTTTGTTTACATGTGAAACGATGGTTTTCAACTTCAGATCTGGGTGGATTATGCTTCGAATGTTATCTCGATTGTTTTTCCATCTTCATAATTTATTTATTTATTTATTTATTGTATATAGACCAAACAGCGCTTAAATATAATTGCTTAAATAAGTGTTTAATTACATATAGTATACACATAGTAGGCGAAGGCGCGATTGAATAATGGTAGACATAAGTCAGTAAATATCAGAGACAAGTTGCGAACGCAGGGATTTTATATAATGTAAAATATAGCACAATTTCCCTTGGATTTGACATCACGCAGGAGTCAAACAAAAAGAAAAAAAAAGAGAAAAAGAGTCAATAAAAGTAGCAAAAAGTTAACATTTTCAAAGAGCGTTTTTAATAAAGATTGAGAAATAAGTCCGATAGAGAGGAAATAGTGCATGGATAATTTATCATGGTATCTAAGGATCTGACAGCCATTGACTACTGTGGCAAATGACGACCTAACAGCCATTAGATACATCAAATTATCAATTTGCAATTCCCTTCCTATTGGGTTTATTTCCCAATATTATTCAAAAACGCTCTTTGAAAATGTTCAGCTTTTTTCAACATATTTTTGATTGTACAATACTAAATTTTGGGGACTCGAGGGCTATGTAAAACTGAACAGCAATTGGAGATCATTTTAGATTATCAAAATAAAAAACACAACCAAGAGCCCGTTTGAAAGATAATCCACCCGAGCATTAAACTTTTTTTCAAAATGTTTGTTAGATTCCATCAAATAAAACCAGATATTTTTTCCAATTATCTGAATTGGATCACAGAAAAATTGATTTTTTTGAGTTTTGTGGTTTCACTGTTCGGTATTTATTCGTTTTTAGACATATGTAATCTATCTTCAATGCATGAGAAATCTCATTCCAACAGTCTGCGACTTCTAAAACTCATAGTGGTCTCTCCTTAAAATTCGCTGAAATTTGTTGGCTGAAACAAAACTTGTTTAAGAACTTATTTGTTTTTCTTTCCATGTCGTAACAGTTTCTGTGATATTCTTACAGGTTCCCACGAGTAAAGATGTCGTAAACGACGTATACAACTGCAGTCTAGGCCCACCATGGGCAAATCCCCAAAACAAGAACAAGATGTACAAGAATGAGAAGAACCTTTTGTATCCAGTGAATGTTGGTCGTAACATAGCTAGAGAATCAGCAGTAACTCATTATTTATTGGCCAGTGATATCGAGCTTTATCCGAGTCCTGAGCTGCCCGCGAGATTCTTGGAGATGATCAGGCGACGTGATCAGCCAGCACTGCTAAAAGCTAATCCTAAAGTTTTCGTTCTATCAATTTTTGAGGTGGACGAGAAGAGTTCACCCCCAAGGAATAAAACTTCACTGGTAGGCATTTTTCTTATTCTTCAATATTCGTTGTGAATGAATGAAAACTGTACAAGTCAATTTTGACTATTGACCAGTTTTCAATGAATATCTCGGAATCTAAGGCGGGTAGCAAAATTTTTAATATAACCTTTTTTGTAGAGCCGATTGAGAGCTACAACAAATATAATTACAAAAACTTCGCTATCTCCCTTAGATTCACAAATATTCCTCAAAAACGCAATTGGGAGATGAGTTGACTTAAACCGTTTTACCACTTAGCTACTGAATTAAAATTATTGAGGTACAAGAATAATCATTTCTGCTTTTCAGCTCAAAATGCTAAAATCAGGATCAGCAATACCATTCCACAAAAAAGTGTGCTCGGCTTGTCACAATATACCAAAAAGTAAAGAGTGGCAAGAAGCACCAGAAACCGAGGGTCTGCACATATTCCACGCGGGGAAGCGGACAGGTGCCTTCATCCACTGGGAGCCAATATTCATAGGAACAAATTCTGACCCTTGGTACGACGAGAGACTGAGCTGGGAGGGTAAGAGTGACAAAATGACACAGGGCTATGAACTCTGTGTCCTCGACTATGATTTTTTAATTCTCGACAATGCATTTCTCGTTCATCGACCTGGCATTAAATCACACAAGAAAGATCAGAAGAGAGATATGATAACTGCTAAAACAAATCTTTTTATAAAAAAAATCATAGTACCAGAGCTTAAGATCATGTTTGGAGTGAGAAAAGGTTGTGCTGTGTGAGAAGCAAATTTTTTTTCTGTCGTATTTTTTCATATTGACTGATTAAATGATGGGAAAACGTGATAAATCCCTGGAATATTCAACCTCACTATTTGTCACTCCTGTTTGTTATAATTAATTATTAATTACTGTTAAGATGATTCCTGGGGACTCGATTGGACAAATTTAAGATCAATTTATGTTTTTTTTATTTGTTTGAAGTCGATCGTAAAGTGATTTTAGGGGAAAATGACGAGAGACCTTCCTTGCGGGTTCCTCGATATTGTTCGTTGTTTGTCTCGTTATTAAGGTAATTCGGGAATTAAAGAGACGTGAGAAGTGGAATTTTCACTCTTTATCACTTTGCGACTGCAGTTTTTTTAATTTTCTTTCGTTTTGTTATCTTTTTGTCACACTTTTCGTGAATACGCGGAAGTATTTCAACGCTTCCAGTCCACGTCACGACGAGATTATAACGTGAAAGGGGAGCTATTGTGATTTTTTTTTTCGATTCATTTAGTAATGTAAATGTTCGACTACTTTGAAGATGAACGAAATTATTGGACGTAATCAGTGTGACACATTATATTCCACCACTTTACTACGAATTACGATAATAATTATGTATTTGTTATTCTGAGGAAGACGAAAATGGGCCAAAATAGTACTTAAAAGAAGTTGCGAGAGTTCACCAAAGAGTCGTGAAGGTCCAATCGAGTAAATAATAATTCTGAAGTGAATTGATGAAGAATAAGAAACGTTAGAGAAATTCATACATATATTTTTGCGAATATCTCTGCGAATAAGTCAAAATATGGGGAGATTTTTTCGTGAGATTTTGATTATCTGCAACAGATGTAATTGACAATTGATAATTGCCATTTAACGGTGTTGTAGCGGAGTCCATTAAATCAAAGAATTGAATAAAAAATTTTCAATATATTATTTAATTCATTTGAACACCGTTTGCAAAATATCGAGGACTGTGTGTGTACATAACAACAATAAAAAAAAAATTAAATTGTCAATTGTCAATTATTTAATCATCTTTGCGATGAGTAGCTTCGCGGAAGAATAATAAAAGATGTTTGCGGAGAATGGAAGTCACTTTGAAAACTATCTCTTGATAAATCCCTGTAGTATCTCTTGATAAATCCCTGTAGGAATTTTCTTTCCAATTACATTAACAAAATAATCTTCAAATTTGTTGTTGGACCATGCAATTCACTCATCTTCCAACTCTTCATCATTCAACAACAGAATTACCTATTATTTTCTACGTAATCTGTGACTCAAGTAACCGAGAAGAAAAGTTTGTAAATAATGTACACTTGTGCGTCTCGCGCCTTTAATATTTAGTGAAATTAAGAAAAAAAGATGGAAAACTACGAGAGAGTGAAAGAATCATCTCTTGCTCCCGCAGATGATAACTGTGCCTTATCGCCTCTGTCCTCAGTATGAATCGTTGTAAAAAGAAAGAGATATAAGGATCGGCTGAAATGCTGACGTGACTTTTATTGTATGAATGTACGTGTAATCTATTGCCAAGTTATATTTTTCAGTATTTGAATTAATAAAGATCATCGATGGATAGGACAATCGAATAAAAATCGAAATATTTGTTAGAATCCCCTGATTTTGTGGCCGATATGAATGATTGAATTCAGTGGAGAAGTTGTAAAATAACCGGAGTCGTATTTCCTCTTATTGATTATGAAATTTTATTGGTAATTACCCCCTTTTGACATTTTCTCCTAGAATCATCCCACTCTATCCCTTCTCCACTGAATTAATCCCAAAATCAGAATAAGATTTTATCGAACTACAGTAATGAACAAATGTATTCGAAGAACCACTGTAAATAATTACTCTTAAAAAACTAATGTCTGAAGAAATCAAAGGAAAAGGAAAGAAGACGTGAGGAGAAAATAAATGCACATTTTTTGAAATAAACAAGACAAATAAGTATTGACAATTTATACTTTTATTATTAATTATTCTTCACCCCAACTCTGAAGCCTCTTCATTCCATTAAAATATACAGATTTCAATGCTTCTGGTGCTGTTTCCACGCATCAATTAAATCACATGTTTTTTTTCTTGTTCGAGTTCACTTACGCTTTTTCAATTCATTTATTTATAATTGTGGGCCCACCACATTAATCTAAAATCCTCGAAAATAAAAACAAAATGATGAATTCTCACAATCTCTGATTGTCCTAATACTAATTTGATTAATTCAATTTTTAAAGCGAATCAACTCGATAATCAAAAAATACTTGATCTCATTTTCTTCTACTACAAATAATATAGATTTTAATCTATAAATCACTCTATGATAATTAAATCTTAAGTCGTATATATAATTTGTTCATGTGCACAACTTGCACACAAAATAATTTTTCAATCAATCAAATAATTTGTTGAATCCAGTATTGAAATGAAAAAACGTTCTTATTTCGAGAAGTGATGTTGCGAGTATAACTGATACATGACGAGAAAAAGTCTCGAGATATTCTTTGTTGGAAATTCAATTCTTCGCAAAGAATTCCCTTAAGATAATTTAAAAATTCATTAATTCCCGAGCCAATTAGATAATTTATAAGAAATTTTTTATTTTGAAAAACTTCCAATTTTTTGGATCATCTTCGAAATTGTAGAGTTTATAAAAGTGTCAACAGACATTCTCTACAGAGAATTCAATTCTCTAGACTGAACACCTCTTGACATTTTCCCCTGAAGCCATTCATCAGCGAAATAATCGTATAGTTGATATCGATGTCGGTCATCAATTCCGTTTGACCATTTCAAAATAAAATTCCAAAATTTATATTCCAATTTCATTACATATACGACTGCCCCAAATTTTCCAATCACTCTGTTCATAAATTCACTCATCTGTACACGTAAAACACTATCGAGGTATTATTTATATCTTTATACTCTTTATAATTCTCAATTTCACATTTTTTTTCGCTTATTAGCCACTCAGCTTGGTAACTTAATAGGCACGTGTCGTTATAAATCTTCTTTTTTACATTTTAGGTAATTTTAGTATTTTTGTCATTTTTTCTACAGCTTAAATAATTTAAGTGGAGATCCCTGTAATTAGAAAGTTCATCAGAAATTTTCATTTTCCATTTAGTTTCTTAGTATAAAAGAAGAGGGACATCAGTCTAAACTCTAGTGTAGGGCGGTAATTTTGTGATGATGTATTTTAATCAATCAATTAGTTCGGTGGTGATGAAAAAAAAAACTCAGACAATGAATTATTCATGACGTGGAAATTCGTAGTGTAGTGTTAAAACAATAGAGCCATTTTTTACATTATGTTGTTGAATTAAATCAAGAAAATAGGAATAGATTTAAGAGAAAATGTCAGAGGACTTTTTTTTTCGTCGAAATTTTGACTTTTCTCCAAAAGTCACTTTTTTTTTTAAATAATTGGGAAATTAATAAAGATGTTAGAATTCATACCGGCATGCTGTCATTACCGGAATACTTTATTCTTCAACAAAATGTAAAAAATTGATCTGTTCTGTGTCGTTTCACCACTTCACTGTGAAATAAGTTTTAAAGGAAGACGATAAAGACGACATGATGGATTCAACGAACATTCCGTTGACTATCGTTGATTAATCAGAGCATCATGATAAGATTGATTCGTTAATTTACCGGAAGTTCGATTCTCAATTTTTTTTATTGAACATTTGATTATTTTATGTTTGGTGGGTGAAAAATAAGACTATTTCGATTCTAATTAGAAATTCAGAGTGAAATTTGTGTCACTAGGAAAGAATTGAAGTGTTGAAAGTATTGAAATAATCGAAAATTTGAGGTATTGATTGATCGTTTTGTGTTGCTTTTTTCATATTGGAAACAACAGTATAATGATAAAGTGAATGAAGAAGTCCGCGTGAAAGCTAATTTTCAGATTTCAGAAATCGTTCTTGTGGAAATTTTTATAATCAACAACAAAGGCCTTAGAAGATTCTTTCCCAGCATCAACCATCATCAAAATAATTATGTAGTTGATGAAGACTTTATATTTGATACAAATGCTCAATCATCAATTGAAAATTTATCTCAATGATGAATGATACAGAGAAAAAATGTACAGACATATGCGCACAAATTTCTGATGCTAATGACACAAATTGCATTATCCATTTATCAAAATAATCGTAACCCCCAAAAATAAAAATAAAACTAATGTGAAAAACCCTCAACTTCTATTTTCTCCGTTCACATAACAATCAACTAATTTACGTAACATAAAAATTATGGAAATATCAGTGTATTCCACAGTTCGGAAGAACATCAAGGGCTCAAGAGTACAATAATTCTCAACTCAAATGTTATATTTCTTGAAAAAGTTCCAGTAGGTAAAAAAAGACACTGCCGAATTCGACAGAATTCAAAAACGAAAAATAATAATCACCTAAACAAGAAAAAACCAAACTGAAGGAACAATACTATCTACAATTAAAAGAAAATTCAGTAGTGAAGTCTATACCTCGATGACTAAGCTTTTTTTGCTGGATATCTCATCATTCGAAGGACCTATCAAAACATTTTTTGTAGCTCCTAATTTTCATTAAATCTCGAAAAGAAAAACTGTCAAAATATTTGCAACGATTTCTTTTTGTAGCAATCAATTGTCCCTACAAAACTGATCCCAACTAAACAAGGAATAATTTCCTTCAAAATTAGTTTCGTCATCTCCCATAACTCCAAGGAGTTTTTGAACATTCCACAAGAGCCATTTTGCAGCTCTCAACCTCTGCAAAAAAGTCTTCATAAGAATTCTCCATCTCCCTAGATCCAAAGACATTCTCCAAAAACTCCCGCCATCCTATTCCCCCCATTCAGGCTCTCGTTTCAAATATCTCGAAATTTGAAGGACTGGCCTTTCATCCCCACTAACTATTCCCCAAAAAAAATCTCCCCTCTCCCCCTGAATTCCGAGATACCACCAAAAAAGTTCCCCCTCTACTCCCTTCACTACTAAAAACAATTCAATAACTCAGAATTCAAATAAAAATTTACTTCCCTAGCCGTTTGAGCCTGGATCTCGTGTTGAGCGACCTAGCACTGGGATTATAAGGACTAACAGACTTGACTCTCTTAGCAATCCCACCGACGCCTCCACCAACAGTTCCACTGCTCCCCCCGCCCCCAAGACTCGTCCCCTGCTTAATTTTTCCCTTGCCCCCACTGTTAGTCACCTTGCTCCCAACACTTCTGTTCTGCTTGACAATTCCATACTGATGGGCAACCTGAGGAGGCACCGTGTGCCCAGTGATATCAACATTCCTGGACCTCAGTGTTTTGATTGGAGTTGCAGCGATGGTGTCAGACCTCAGCCACATCTGAGGTGTGCTGGAGGGCTCTCCACTCCCTCTCCCAAGGGAAGTGCTCCTCCTCTCCCCGTAGGTGGACCTTCTGGAGCCCTTGGACTGGTCCCAGGGGCTGAGGGAGTCCCTGAGAGCAAAACTTCCTCGCAGTTGGACACGATTAACTCCATTGATCGATGGCCTCCTGATTGTCTTCACTGGGGTCGCCTTCTTCTCCAGGCTCCTCCGTTGATACCCAGGGGACATTTTTTCCTGATGAGAGTCCTTCGTGCCGGCCGAAGTGTAGGACGTTCCCGGCGTAGAACTTCGTGTCTTCGAGGCGATTGAACAGGCCGGCCATCTGACTCGACTCTGCTGCTTGGGCACTTGCTTCCCCTGATTGTCAGGATCATTCTCATCCCCCGGGCACCTCCTGTCCTCCGACCTGGTCCTCCTCTTCGAGCAGGGCTCCTGAACACCGAACATCTCCTCCTCCTTTTCAAACGTCGAACTGTGCCTCCTCTTAGCTGAGCCCTCTCTAATGGGATCCACCGACAAATCAACGGATTCTCTCATGCAATCAGCCACCTCTGCCTCCTTTTTCCCCGCCAATCTCGATGAAGAAGTTGCTGGCATCATCTGGGAGTGATTACCAACAACTGTACGTCTCTTAGCACTTCTAGCAATCAACAGAGTCCCCCTCTTCTCCGAAATCGTCGAGTGGGCTCTCCTTCTGGTAGTCAATGTCGTGGACACTTCCTTGATACTTTGAATACCAAACTGTGTGGATTTTCTCAGCCTAGGGCCATTCTTCAATTCGTCACAAGATCCCGAGAAATCACTCTGCCTCGTGATCTTGAAGGTCTCTGATTTCGTCGACATCAGCAATTTCTGAAGATTATTCGAAGGGTTCAGGAGTTTCCTGGACTGATTCAGAGGTGGAGTCTGGGTGGAGAGAGCCTCCAAGTCCTTGGATGGAGAGTCTGGTTTCTCTGATTCAGAATCCTCTGGTGAATCTTCGAGAGTTCTCTTGGCTTCCAAGTCATCAGCACCATTTTGGAAGGTCGCAGCATCACTCGAAGACACTTCAGCAACTTGAATGCTCTCTGAGGCCTTCAAATTCTCTGCAGATGACTTCTGAACCTCTGGAGATCCCACCGGAGATTCAGGTGCCTCATTGGCGACCGAAGGGGTCTCCACCGTTATTGACGACTGGACGACGTCGTTGCTGTCTTTGGACGATTCAGTTTTTTCAACGAGTTCTGATGATTCAGTCGAGGCTTTTGGATCCTCTGGAGCTTTCGAAACCTCTGGAGTATCTCCAGGGACTTGTGGAGGGGTGTGATGTGCACAGGAAGGGTACTGGGGGGGCTGATCATTCTTAAAATCAGATGCAATCCCCTCGGTTGCATCGCCAGTTGGATCCACAGTTTGAGGGACTGCAGCGGGTTCTTGTGACTGTCCAGGCTGTGGTCCTGGTTTACCAGCATACAAATCTCGAATGTATGGGTAGACTGATGCACAAGGACGTGGTTGAGGTTGTGGTTGAGGTGATTTTGGTAGTGACATTTTCTCTTTCTTACGAGACAAAAGGACTTCCCCTCGAGAAGGGCCTGGTGGGTCCAGCATCAGTGTTACAACACTTGTGTTATCAGCTCGCAGACGAGTGGAGGACCATCGCTCCAGGGCTGAGTCCACCAGGCTCTTTGATGGATTTATCCACATCTGGGTGTCAGTGCCATTGCCAGTCTGCTGGGAGGCAATGAAATGCTTCTCGTTGTGTCTCTCGGCTCGTTGAACCAGGGAGACTGCCACCTCAGGTGTCAGCATGTTCCAGAGGCCGTCTGTACCGAAGATCAAGCAGCGATGGGACTTGACGTCAACTGTGACGACCTTGACGTCGGGCTCGGGGGAGACAACGAAGGTGTCGAGCTCGGAGTTGTAGCTCCAGAGGTCCCCCAGGGATCTCGCCACTGCGAGGAAGGGAATTTCGTCGATGTGGGTGGAACGACGGACTGGGCCTTTGTGACCGATTCGAGGACGATTCCACACGACTCTGGGGACACCTGATTTCGAGACGACTTTGCCACCGGACTCCTGGATACGAGTCATCTCTGGAACTGATTCGGGCTTGTGGTCCTTGGTGAGGGGCCTGGCTTTCCAGTTTGGGTCCCCTTCGTCCTGGTAACCCAGGATTATCGCTGAATCACCGACGTGGCCGATGTAGATCTTGCCTTTGCGGATAAATGCGATGCTGGCTGTCGTGCCCGCTGTCGAGGGCAGACCTGACGCTGTCCTCGGCCATTTATCTGGAGACATGAGGATCGACGCTGATTAGAAGAAATTTAAATGGAGGTCTAGAGACGTTTGGGGAATTGGTTTTCGCTGAATTTTTTTTTTAGAGGTTTTTTTTTTAGACGAAATATGTCTTGGTACGTTGGGCTGGGAGCAGCTTGGGGTAATAGTGTAATCGAGGAAGAATTGAGTGAATGCCGGTCAGAAAAATAATGGGGCAGGCTTCTGAGGGACTTTCGTAGACGATGAAAAAGATTGCTTCGACTTTTTCGGTAAGATCATTTGGATTTGAGGTGGTGGAGGCTTCATGCAGGCTGATGTTGAGAGAAGTTATGAGGAGTTCTTAGTCTGCAGAATTTTCGGGGCTACAAAGATGGCCTTTCAATATTTTTAGTTAGTTTTTATAGACATTAGGGCCCGGGTGGGTCATCTTTAGAACGTCATCTTGATTTTTTTTATTTTAATAATGTGAAGTGATCTCTAATTGCTATTGAGTTTTACATAGCTGGAGTCTCCCAAAATTATGATTGTAGGGAAAGGTGGGGTAAAATGGACACTTTCGAATTTTTTTCAATTGTTTATAACTCAGAAACAAAGTTATCAATTGAGCTCAGTTTAGGCTCGTCACAAAGGGAAAGAAATGTTCTTTGTATTGGAAAAAAAATTATTAAATTTCATCTACATTTCAACCCCTCATTAACATTTAAACGAAAGTCAAAAGTGTCCGTTTTACACCAACCTTCCCTATAGTCAAAAAAACGTTGAAATAATATTGGGAAATAAACCCAATAGGGAGGAAATTGCAAATTAATAATTAGATGTATCTACTGGCTGTTAGGTCGTCATTCGTCACTTTTTGATTATACAATCATAATTTTTCGGGACTCCTGCGTGATGTAAACTCCAATGGAAATAGTGACACATTTTTCATTACGAAGATGGAAAAACAATCGAGATAACGTTCGAAAGATAATCCACCCGGGCCTTAAATGAAAATGGAGCAATAAATTTGATCTAATTCAACTCATTATTTAAATCTGATGTCCCTGTTGCCCCACCCTCCCCTAATTAATCTTTACGACCAACTTCATGTAACTTTCCACTACCCTCCCTTTCTCCTCAACTGCTCCAGCCCCATTAAACAATTTCCAAACCCATAAAACCGTTGAAAATTCCTGAACCTCAATATCCCCCAAACCTCCCATAAAACTCCCCAAGGCACCCCCTAATGACCCCACAACCTAACCATAAACACGTATTTCCTCATCACTCACACAACTTCCCCAAACGTCATCACCCAATCAACAAAAAAAAAACAATCAGCCCCACCAAAGTGACTCAATTCCTCCCAAAATAAATAACAATCACCTCCAGAAATGCAAACAATTCTCCTTAAAATCAATTTCCCAACCAACTGCTTCGAAACCCAGCAAAAGCCCTAAAAAAAATTCCAAAATTTGAGGTTATAACTCTCCATTACATAACCTAGATAGTCTAGCGAAAATGGGTGGAGGCGGAGTGGGGGAAATACGCGGGAGGACGACAGAGATATTTCCCACGGCTTCCAAATAAACAAGACCCCCCGGAAAACTCGCGATAACTGCTCTCCAATAATAATTATCAATCAAAAAGCACTAATCAACTAACCAAGTTCCCGCCACATGGCATAATGTGTATTAACATAACCATCGCGTATAGCCCTGAGCACATCCTCGTCCTTGTCACTCCAAAAGTTCTTCTGCTTGACAATAATATCCATGAGATGTTCCTTGGCGAATGTGGCAGCCTCGCCACCCCCATGTCCATCGAATATACCAAAAAACGCATACTCCAAGTCCTTATCATCGGACGTCTGTTGGTAAGCAACACTGAACATGTCCTCCATGTACTTTCTGCCGCCCTGATTGCAGTGTCCGGTTACCCGGAGGTTAACCTTGATGCTCAACGGCATCTTGATACCCCGGTGGAGCCTCCACCACCTTCCCAACTCAAAAAGAAACTCAACTAAAGTCAACAATCGCAACACCCAACCCTCAGCTTCTCTCTGTAATTAACCCAATGAAAAAACACAAATCGTTTTTATGACGTGCGATTTATCGTTACACATTGAACGAATCAGCGGACAAGAGAGACTGGAGCGGAAGCCTCGCATTTACTGACGAGTTCTGACTTATTCCGACGAATAGTGGGGCGTCTGGTACCCGTGAGACTACCGTCTCTCGACCAATCAGAGGGCGCAAACGGTTCTCCCCCCACTAGCCGGCGGGGTCGTTATTGTCGGTGGGTCACACGCATGAGGGGGGACGATGCCATTGGTCGACACATGGAAATCAACGAACACTAGGGGCAGATAACTGTGATGGAAACGCGCACGGACACGTTTCACAAGGGCTCCCCCTGCCCCTCGTGCTGTGGAAACTTTTACCCGCCGCTGAGTGTTGGCTGTATCGCTGTCTTGGAGATTATGCGAGGAAAATGGAACGCTAGCACGAGATTTTCAACGAAGAACACGAGGTAAGAAATTTGTTTATTAGGATCGTTTTTCAGTGCTCGCGTTGGTTTTTCGCGAGGAAAAACTTGGGGGAAAGGGATTTTTCGGTGATTATTTTGAGGTTAAAAAATGTTGGGAGACACCATTTTGCCTTTGTGGTCCGGATTGGCCGGCATTCGGGGTCGGGGATTGAGGTTGTGTGGTTTGTTTTGAGTGTACACACACAGACGCAAAGCAGTCACTCTGTTGCTGCCTGTCTCGCCTCTGCTTTCGACGTTTTCGACCTATTCATGCCGCGCAACTCGCCTCACGCAGGGGCATTGTTGTCACGTTTTATTGTCGGTGGAGTCTACAAACCGTTCTGAATCATCCGTATGTTGCCTTTGACGAGTCACTGGTTCAGTGAGGAAAACCGCCGTTCGATTCGAATTATCTTAGACGATTGATTATTCTTGGTTCGTTAAATTTTTTATTTCAGGGAATTTTTTCATTGATTTTAGCCTGAACACACGGATTTTTTATTGGATTAGGATTAAATAGTAAAACGGGTATAGCCGGACGTTTCTGAGGCCATTATTTTGCTGATGAATTATAAATATTTGCTTTATGTGGCAGAACGTATTTTGTTCATTTTTTATTTGCAATTGGCGATATAAATTGAATTTATTCATTGCGGTAATTTTGTGACAATACGAGAGGAGGCAAATGCAGCGATGGAGGAGGCAAATCATCATGAAACTATTTTTTTGACTCGAGAGATTGACGAAGTTGGTTGTTTGATTGTTGAAATGGCCGGGAGGGCTCCAGGGGCACGTGTTTAGATCCGTGGATTTTCCGGCGCGAGAAACGCTCGGATACGTAAACGCAAAAGTTTCTCGGTATTCGTAAACGTGGCAACGCAGCATGAGCCGTTCGAAATAGCACGGGTCGTTCGGCATGGGACTTTCGCCGTAGGTTCAATAACGCATCTTTTTTAAGCACAGGAAGAGAGAAAAATACCAATATCTGTACACCCAATTTTTTGATCGAATCGAGTGGTGAGGAAGCAGAAATTGTGAGATGTGCCCTTTGTCTGATCTCTAATTGGAAAAAAACTGGTTGAGAACCATAAAAAAAGGTCATTTAGCTTAGATACCAGCAGTTGCGCTCATTGTACTGGTTGCATCATCATTCGACAAGATGGCAGTCCCATCTGTATCATTTTCTAATTCAAATATGTTCAACAATGTTCAAATATGTAGCAACGATCATTGGATGATTGATGAAAGATTGTCGATTTTTTTTCCTGGAATACGTAACCAGAATTCTACAGTATGTGTAGGACGAATGTTTTGATAATCGACATTCAGGAAGAATAGGGATGTACTTTGTCTCTGTCTGCAGACCAACGTGGTTCGTGACTGTATCCAACTGTAATTTTCCATGTGTATGAATCACCTATACCGACAAGCGTACATGCAGATTACCTGCACAACTTCAGGCCAACTGGACAAACAATTCTGGTGAGCATGCCTGTGCATGGTGAAACCTGTCGAGTCTGACGCATCGTTTTTACCCCTCTCCTACGGTGACGAGGGGGCTGCCACGATGGCATTAATTTTTGATGAGTGAATACAATGTATCAAGTTGACGATTGTACTGATATTTGCATTAGCATGATTATTTTCTGTGTACATTATCGTTCGCACAGTGGATTATCAGTTTTATTTCGCATTTTTTTAAGAGATATAAGGCAATCAATATTTTCTGACGTAGTATTGGTCCGCCATCTGCTGCTGTGGGTTGAGTTGAAATGTATTGAACGAACAGCGGGGAACGATATTACCTCGGGAATTTGTCTGTGTAACGGATGTTGTATAGACGGTGATCTTTACGTTATGTGGACTATGATCGACATCTCTGAGGGGAATCTGGCACTGTAAGGGTGACGTGAATATTTAAAGATGGCGCCAGTTGATGGAATAAGATGATTCTCGTAAAACATTAAGGTTTTTCAAAAGGAAAATAAATTGTTTCTCAAATTATTGATATACCTGAGTGCAAATTCATTGACCCCTGGATCATTTCCTATCGAATGATGGAATGATTCAGAGATCGAAATTGCATTTTCTGGGGTGTATGAACTTGATGGTCTTTGTTGGAAGAGGTTTACAACAGAGCAGAGTGGCGCAGTGGAAGCGTGCTGGGCCCATAACCCAGAGGTCCGTGGATCGAAACCACGCTCTGCTAGTTTAATTTTTTTACCGTATTATTTTCAATAATATACGGCAGATTCTCTCAAATATCGTCCGGATTTTCGGCGTCACATTTTGGGTTGGGTTGCGAGTTTTACCCTTTGTTGTCCATATTGAGGAGAGGTTTGTCCTAAATTTTTAGTCTCGTAACTCTTAATAATAGAGAAACCTCAGATGGAAGTTTCTTTCTATTTCCTTTTCAACTAAATCTGACGGCTAGTTTCAATTTTACAAAAAAATGTTAATTATCGGGCTCCATTAATCCTTGACTCTTAAAATCGACTTTTTCGTCAAAATTAGGTGTAAATTCATTATTCCACTACATCGAATTCAAAATGATAATCTTGGAAAATTTATAATCAGGAAATTGAAGTGGTTAACAGGTTCAACTATCTTGGTTGTTAGTTTTCGACCACCAACTCCTGTGGGACTCATGTAAGAACAATGTCAGGGAAGGCCTCCAAGGCACTCTGTGCAGCATGGGGGGTTGCAACTAGGGCTGAGCTAAACTGTTTCTGAGCGAACTTAGGTTANCTCGAGCTATCAGCTCTCTAATAAATTTATCATCATTGTTCAGCCACCAATATTGTTTTTTAATTCTATAAAAATCGATTGAATCGTTATTTGGTATTGCTCTGGAATATTTGAAAGGACCATTTAAAAAGTCATCAATAGGTATTTTATTATTTCTTTTATGTCTACCAATATGGTATAGTATGGGAACATTGAATTCATTTTGAAATAGTCCTTTTTTATCATATATAACGAAGTACTGGGGCTTGACTGTTCTCCAAAGTCTCATGCTCTACCGACTGAGCTAGCCAGGCTATAGTAGTCGAGCGACTCAGGATCTATAAGTGGGGAACGGAAATAAAAAAAAAAGTCAGGTTCCTGCACTACCGGCTGAGGGTTTACAATCTCGTCCCTCACTCAAGAATGATCAGAAGGAGAGAAAATCGGGAATGAAGGATCGAAAATTCATCAATTTCGATCAATACAGGTCTCAGAACAACATTTATAATATTCCGAAGAGTTTAGATCAATTCGGGACTCAAAACACTATTGACTTCTACAAAATTTTGAAACTAGAATATACATTTTTGAATAACAGCGACTCAATAACATGTTAATATATTACGACCATTATCTTCAGTCTTCAATAAATGAGATCTCTTCTCGTTACGAGTGATGAAGCTGAAAGAAGTATGTTTCTCATGAACGAATATAATGGTTTACTCACAAACACTCAGTACACTGTGATGAAGACAGCATATGTGATGTTCTTGAAAAAGCCCATTGATCGGGTGTCGAACTCACACAAGCATACACATTCTCCCCAACTAAAATTTAGAAATTCGAAGATCTGCCTTTCACTTCCTCCTAGAGATGTGGAATCACCGTCATTTTCAATTTCGGTCAGGTCAAACTTAAATGACCGGTTCCTGACCCTGAACGCATTTTGTATGTAGAATGACCGTCACAATTAAGGTGCATTACACACGCGCTTAAATGACCAAAAATTGTAAATATAGCTGCAAATTGACCGATGTACATGATGGAAAGTGGACGTGCAGATCGAGTCTGTGTAGGAAATAAGAATATGCACTGCCTGTACATACCATGATCTCGATTAGATCCTCTGCTTTTTTCGTCACCTTTAATTGGACATATCTCTAACAATCATTGCGGTTCTTAACGAAAAAAACCACAGTTACCGTTAAATAATTGAATATTTATTCAACAAAATAGATCGTGTCAGAAATAAATAGTAAGCACAATATCAGTGGTTCATCATAAAAAAAAATTGTCGATATAATAAATAATACAATGCGATGACGTTTAGAATTAAATTAGTGTAATTAGCGATATTAGCGAGCTGATTTCGCATCAGGTACTAGCGTCATTATTCTACAGTGGAGATTATGTACTTCAACGAAATGAATATACCATGGCAACTGTGAGAATAATTCCGAAATAAGTAACATCGTTCTCAGTGGCCCCATCGGTATAGCTTTGGGCCTGGGTCGACCCGTCTTTCTGTAAATTCCTGACGAGATGCGTAGCATCATACGGGCACTTATGATCAGTATACCCGATAGCCCTCACTTCTAAAAATTGCTTGAGCTCCTGCCAGCATCTCCACTTTAATGGATTTCGACTGAACTCAACGGTATCCAATTGAGGCAGCTGAATGAACGAATTAGTATAGATACAACTGAACATATTATCCTCTAAATTGAGATACTGAAGATATTTCAAATTATGAAACGCTCTAGACTCAATTTCTACGAGATAATTATTGCTTAAATCTAGTCGATACAGATTCTCACAGTGAATGAACCATCCCTCTCGAACTACCGCAAAATTATTACCCTTGATCGTTAATTTTTCCAGTCTTCTAAGTCCGTAGAACGCGCGTTCATCAATTTCTTTCAGTGAACAATTACGGAGAATAAGTTCCGTGAGATTTACAAATCTAGAAAATGTGGAAGCCGGCAGATGTTCTATGTAGCAGTCGTAGAGTTCGATGGATGAGACCCAACTCGGTATTTGGTCAAGTAGGAAACGGTTACCATTGCTGCAATGATAGTGTTTCCCATCGTGATCCGAGTAGCAGGAACCACTGATATTCGCATTGGGATCCGGTAATGGAAGTGGGGGGTAAATAGTCATTGATGGAGGTGGAGGGGATGGAGTGGCAAAGGTTGCCGGTTTGGGTGTGAATCCTATATTGTGACATCTGTCCCTCAACACTACATCTAAACACTCGTTCGCACAGAAAAGGTTCCGACTATTGACAAAACGATGTAAAGCTTCAGCGCACAAACAAGTCCACGGATTGTCGGCCAAATGCAAGTCTCTAATGTACCGGAGACTCTGCAATCTTTCAGTCGCAATACAATTAATCTTATTTTCTGAAATATCAAGACTGACTAGATATGGAACCATTTCAAAGACTCTAGTCTCAATTTCATGAATATTATTGTGCGCTAAATTGAGGTGTTGTAAATTACGAGTATCAGTGAACCATTCAGAACGAACGACTTTGATATCGTTTCCGCGTAGGATAAGAACTTGCAAATTCCTTATTCCAGCGAAGGCGCGGTCCTCTATCTCTTGTATCGTGCAGTCGCGGAATTCCAATCGCTTTAAAAATCCATCAAATTTCCGGAACTCATCGGATCGTAGAATCTGAATGACTGATTTGGAGAATATGATGGTTTCAGTGATTGAGGGAATTTGTCGAAGATCGATAAGGGATGCGTCTTCGCAGAAGTACGTGTGACCCCGAAGGTGATTGTAGTAATGACTGTCGAAATGATTCCCCGCTGGCACTGATCTACAGCCGTTGTGACGAATTGGAGGTGGAGTAGTTTGTATTACTGGGGGTGGTCGAGGTGTGACGGGTCGAGGTCGAGTCGGTCGAGGTTGATGAGTCTCGTAACCCCAGCTCCATCGTATCCAGCCGTTCGATGTATGATTATAATATTCCTAACACAGAGAATCATTATTATAATAATTTATGCATCCAACAAAATGATAATGACCTTGTGATGAATATCTTTGATCCATGGGACGTTTTTTGTCACCGTTTTGTCCAACTATAGTATAATCATAGATAAGTATACGTATATCTACCTCTTTATGAGATAACTCTGCATGTAACTATATATTTATATGATGTCAAAATACGTATACTTTCGAGTATAGCTACAGCTGGAAATCCCTCTCTGCCGCGGTCCAAAATTATACAGATAAACCTAAAGCGGAAGGTATTTCCGTGTACGCGTGCGTCGATATCCTTGTTCATCACAAGGAAGGCAATCCCAGCAGGGACTGATTTTTAAAGAAGAATGATAGTTACAAAAAAGTTCTCAGCAAAATACTAATTCCTTTAGATTCGAGATATTCATAGACAAACTCATTTCCGGGCTCAATTCGCTCATTTCATTTCAGCAATCGAGGGCGTCGCCATGAAAAGGGTCGATTTTGTCGATATGGAATTATGTATACTGCGATAATATTGATAACACTTCACACATTTTAAGCCAGAAATGACCTCAACAGCGTGAAAACCCTTTAAACCGAAATCGCAGAGACGAAAACGTGAATATCTCGGAAACTAGAATCGACAAAATGAGCGCTTCTCATGTGAATGTCCACAATTTTCTACTCTATTAATCAAGCAAGTCATCAAGTACTTACATTGTAATCATTTGGACGACTGACTTCACTACCTTGCAAACATCCGACGCCATTATTTCCACTGTTACTGATTTCGTAACCAATTCGCCTTCTCAATAGATTATTTTCAAAATCCTGTCGACAGGAACACAACCAGGGATTGTCCCTCGCATCTAGTCTTTCTAGGTTCCCGAGACCGCGGATGGCATCTTCAGAAAGACAATTGAATCTATTTGACTTGAGATCCAGCCTTCTTAAGCTGCTAAGATGATCCAGCGCCCCATATTCGAATTTTTCAACATTAGAATTTTCAAGTACGAGTTCTGTAAGTCTTCCAAGGTCTCTAAACCAGGAGCTTCCAATAACCGGCAATCTGGCCCCAATGATGACTAATCGTTCAAGCTTATGCAATCCAGCGAAAGCTTCAAGCTCAATTGATTCAATTCCGCAATTTCTTAAAGTAATACTTCTCAAGGTATTTCCGAATCTGAAAAACATATATCTTTGCAATCTTGGAATGTGCACGTCAAAAATCTCAAGCCAGCCAATGTTATCCGGCAGATGGTCTAGATTATGAATACTCGTAATTTTCTGCTCACGTCGTTCGATATTATAACGATTATAATAATTCGTATCAGTGATCACATTTGCTGGAGGAAGTGGAGGGTATTTTAAGACAGCCATACAATCATAAACATAATGACTGGAACTCGTCTCATAGGATTGCTCGCCGGACCAGCTAGTGTAGTGCCCTCTTTTACGTCTATGATGCGTGAAATCATTATTTGACATTTGCTGAATATTCTTACTTTGGAAGAATTTCAGCAGTGCGCTTTTACAATCACACAACCACGGATTGTCATCGATTTTCATGATTTTCAGTCTCTCAATTTTGGCGAGAGCCTCCAGCGGAAGACAATCGACATCATTATTCCTAATGCTGAACTCTTCTAATCTCTTACTCAATATTTCGAACACTTCAGGCTCAATATACATCAATCCTGTTCCTTCTAACTTCAGGATTTTTAAATTTGGAATATGCTGGAATACCGCGGCCCTGGCGACGCCCACCTTTGTATTGAACATGACCAACATCTCAAGCTGATTGAGGCCGCGGAATGCATCTGCATTCAATTCATTAAGTTTACAATTAAAGAACGTGAGTTTTCGCAGCTGAGTAAAACGTGCAAAAGCGTCGGCAGGAATGACATCAAAACGTACGACCGTGAATTCGATCCACTCAGCCTCGTTTGGCACATCATCCAAATCCTTGAGATCACCATGAAGACATACATATGCGATTGTGCGGTCTTCAGCTTCAACCGGCGTTAAACTGCATTTCGCCTCAGTACCGGAAAGTACTCCTGCCAAAAGTAGACCCAGGGTTATTATTAAATACATCTTGGAGATTATTTATCGTTGTGCACTTGGACGTTGTGTGATGCTCTATTTATTGTCCTTGAAAACAGTATAATGATCGCTGCACTAGTTCGCTGTAGTCACTATATAATCGCCTGGTCCGGAGGAAGGCTGCGAAAAGTTATGTAATTCTAGGCTGTACCGAATTAGTACATCCAAGGGCGACTTTGTGTCTAGGACTTAGTCACCCGCGCACTTCTAGCACAACACCAATAATGGAAATGATGAAAATATATTACATCTCGTTGAATCACGCATTTTGAATATTATGGCACTGCACTAAATTCTCATGATAGCTTCTTACAGATTTTCACATCAGAAAGGTTTGAGAATCCCCAAAATCTTTTAGGGTCTAAATCTCCTGTCTCCTAGACTTCTCGCAGCCAACTGCCACATGATCGACTGTCATCATAATCGTAAGAATCAGAAAAGGTGGAAGGGAAGCGAAACCGATCGAAGGAAATGGGGAAGGGCCACACTAGTTTGATATAAGTAGACACACCCGGACGTTAACAGTAATTGAACTGTGATGGATTGACAGAACTCACACGATGGGCAAAACGATCGACCGACTGACCGCTCAGCGAGTAGGCAACGCTATTATATAAACCCGTAAGGACAAGGTCAGATTTCCCTCTGGCCGTTTTTGCTCTCTATCTTTAGCTAGTGTGTTAGTATGTTTGTTGGTACTGACAAACGTGCAGACCGTGTGGCGTGTTTGGCAAAACAACTTTTAGCGGCTATTACCACCGATAGCTGAGAGCGAATCGGTAGGATATGGTGGAAAAGCACGTGTAGGGCTTTTGACTTCGACCGACGACAGATGATGTCTCACTGCCCGATGTTGGGAAGTTAATTGCCCACCTAGATGGTGAAATCATTTGATCAAAATGAAGTTTCTATTTGGAGCAAGCAACAGGCTGTCGTTCATCAGTAGTAATTATAGGCCATCAAGTTTGTGGGTTTTTGTTTATCTTTGGGGGGAATAGAAAAAAAATATGAGGGAAAGATGGCTCGAACGACGTAGTAATTGCCACCTACTGCTGACAGTAAACAGTTCCGCATCTTGAGACCTTGATGACTATCCAATTCTCGATGTGGGTGGTGGGAAATTATCATACAATCCGTTATTTATTCCTTAAGGTTTTTGAGAATTGATTGGAATGTACGCTCATTAGATTACTTCGTATACTCGGTAATCTTGGAAAAATTTGTAGGGAATTTCTTACATGAAATTTGTGAATCGTGAGAAGCGCGAAACATTCTTCTATGGGTTTCGATCTCATAAAGCTGATTAGTGTCCATGTGTTTTACTTGGTGAAACTTCATTCCAAGTTTACTGAATACGCTTGCAGTTGAAAATTACATACATTTGCTTTAGTGTATTTTCCGTGTATCTTAAATATTATCAGAAGTATTCTAGATATTTAACCACATCGAAAACTTGAGTGGCGCACGCACTGCGGGAGAGGAGGAAACATGACATTCCCCCTGACCTGATAATGACTACGGAATGGAGGTATTGCGTATAGACTCATGAAACTTTTCTCATTTCAACAGCTTGTGAAACATTTCGGTAGGAATCCAATGTTACGTTTCCGGCTGAGCTAATTCTGGAAGTGCAGATGTCAGCTCTCTGGTTGGGTAGTCAATGAAAGTATATATGTATGGCTGTACGTTATCGCGATTATATATTGGGGATATAGCTCAGTGGTAGAGCATTCGACTGCAGATCGAGAGGTCCCCGGTTCAAACCCGGGTGTCCCCTTGTAACATTCTTTTTTAATGTGAATGAGGATACTTTATCTCTATGGTTGGCTTCGTCACAGTTTATATGCTGGCGTGATTCTGCGCGCTTGTACATTGGGGATATAGCTCAGTGGTAGAGCATTCGACTGCAGATCGAGAGGTCCCCGGTTCAAACCCGGGTGTCCCCTAATCTCAATTTTTTGAATCAGAGATTAATTTTTTTTCTCATTATGAGAGTGGAAAGGGACTTCCAAAATTTCATTGGTTGGAAAACCGTGGAATATTTCGTTGAATGCAATTGGTCAAGGAAAGGAATAGGAAAAAATATGTACGTAAAAAAAGGAAAAACGTGCCTAGGAAGGATGCGCTCTCGGTATACGGTGAGTGTCATACATGTGTTGACCACCGGGGCTGTTTAGAAAGCAGTGACCCGGCAAAAGAGCGCAAAAAATGTGGGAAACGTCGAACTGGACAATTTCAACAAAAAAAAGGGACCATTGTCCAAAATTTCGCCCGTACGTGATTTTTCTGAAATGCATGGGATTTGAGATTTTTGTCACGAGTATTTCAATGTAATTTACAATCTTGTTTACGCTTAGGCAAAAGTCTGCTTTCGTTTTCGAACTTGAAAGGCAATTCGAGAGAGATTTGAGAGATTTTAAAGTTTTCCAGAAATCGATAAAAAATGTTGGTGCACAACATATTCTCTTGAATATTATTACTCAGGGAGTGATTTAATGAGCTTTTACTTTACAAAAAAAATTATTCGTACATAGACTAGAATCTTTAATTAGATATGACAAATAATTTAATCACCAAATTTCGAATAAGTGAAAAATTGGTCCCGTCAATTGTCCCAGTGGCGCACAGGTTCCCGCCGCATCATCAGACTGATTTAGCTCCCACTCATCACAGACATTATGAGATCGCGACACTGGGGTATTTGGCCGATGTGATGCAAACCCAGCTGCATAATTCTTACTGCATGAAACAATGTCAAATTGTGGGGTTGCCAAACCCCAGTAGTAATTTGGCATTTGTAGCGTCAAAATATTTAAACCGTCTCGCTTTTATGTGGTAATTTTATACCCATTTGTAAGCCACATGATTCTTAAGAACGTTAACACTATAGACATGTGGTTAATCTTTGTCTCGTACTTGTACTTGGTAACATATGGCTGAAAAGAATGAGAAGAGACTGTTTCAAAGACCACTGGCATGTCTCAGTGTGACGTCATCCCTGTCGCCACGAAAGGAGATCAAGTAACGAAACGATACGACCTACCCGGCTAAATAGCCTCCAGACCATTGGGAATAATGATAATATTATTTTTTCATTTAATGCCTTCGTAGTTCCACGAAATACTTTATTACCTATCGCACCCTCACAATTTTATTTTCTCCTTTTTATCAATTTATTTCTCCTTCTTCATGGAGGGTTTGTAAATATAAATTTTCGTCTTTCTAATTCTGGATAAGCTTCATAAAAAAGTCATGGAATGCGAAGATATAGTGTTTCCAAAAAAAATTCTAAATTGAATCGTAAATTCTGGAAATATCATGGGTGATATTCGTTTTCTGGTTTTCAATTAAAAACTAGAGTTGAAAACCAAAGTTTATAACAGCGATGTCAGACAAGATATGAATGTTTTTTTGGCCTCAAATGAAAGAGCGGGTCGAGAAATGGCGTGCTAGGGCCTCTAAACATGGTTTTGAACCAGGAGAGACTCCTAGACCCCATTGTCCTCCTAGACAATGTTGTCACAACTTTACTTTTCAATTGAAAACAGACATCATCTTTAGAGACATTTGTCATGTTTTGTCATGTTTGTCAAGGCCCGAGTTGAAGACCCGAGTTTCATTATCATGTCAGACAAGATGTGAATGTTTTTTTGGGCTCAAATGAAAGAGCGGCTCGAGAAATGGCGTGCTGATCCCTCTAAAGATGGTTTTGAACCAGGGGAGACTCCTAGACCCCACTGGACAATCTTGTTACAACTATGGTTTCCAACTAAACTGCCAGAGTTGAAAACCAGAGTTCATAGCAGAGATGTCAGACAACATCTGAAGGAGAATCTACCGTGAATCGACGGTAAAATTTACCGTGGAGCGTGCGAATAAACACTGCCAAAAGTAATTTCTATTATGCATTATTCTATCCAGAACTTACCTGCAAATGAAGTTCATAAGAATGAAAATAAAAGGAAACAATGAATGCATTGGACCGATTCAGCGATCCGTCACCCGCTTGTATCCCCTCGTGTTCAAACTTCATTACGAATATTCTTCTATTCAGTCGTTATACTGATGAAGTGCAACGTATGGTAAATGCCCATAACCCGTGTGGTCAACAGTGCATAACTCCGTTATTCGTAACGCGCATCGAGTCGTGGCAATGATCGGTCTTCATGTATGAAAGACGACAAGCCGACGAGATAAGATGATAAACTCAGTTGTTATTAATATATTCTCGTTTCACGAGTCAATGATTGACGCTATTGTATCGCTGATTAAACTTTGAGCTTTCTTTAGTCTCGGCTTAGTCATCCGCAGGGTAAAATGGAATAAGGACGGCTAAATGATTATGTGCGACAATTCCGCAATAAATCAATGATAAAAGCCATTTGCCAAAGATATAACAAAAAAAGTGACATGAAAAATGTTGAAATACGCAAATGGAGTTTTCTTGTATTTGGAAGTGTGAAGTTGTTCTATTTCGTCATGAATTAACAAGAAATTTTATGCAGTAAAGAAGTGGTGGAGGGACATCATTCCAAAATAGATTTTCAGATTTTATTCCGCGATGATCATCAGAATTGATTGATTTCGAGACACTTGTCTGAGAAATAATTTTATTGAAAATTGAATTCTGTTTGAGAGGGATCCTTTCCTTTCATGTTTTCACCTGAAATAATATATTTCATCACTTGTGCGTAAAGTGCGTACAAATTCACTTTACGCACGATTGATGAAAAATTACATATTCCATGGAAGAGAGCTTTTGTCGTGTTGAATCAATTTAGTTGTAAACAATTTTTATGAAACTGGTGAGTTATTTCTACGTTCCGTTCCGTAAAATTTCTCAATCGTTGGGGAAAAATTACAGAACAACTTGTCCCCACAGCGGTGAGTCATCAGACGGCTGGTTAATTTTTACAGAGCCAATAGTAGAATTTACGTGTCGATTCATACAATTTTAGTTCCAACTCACACTTTTTTATTAAATTTTACTTCTCTCGCGGATTACGTTTCGAAACGTAATTTTTACGCTTTTTTCTGGTAATTTTTATTGAATTCTTCTTTCCGTGTATTGTTCCATCATGTTCTCACGTAAAGTTCCCTGTTATCAAAATGATTGCATAGGTTATTTCTCCAATATAAATTTCAGCCAGTAGAATTGCACCATTCAAGGTTATTTTGTACCATTTAGCAATATGTTTGATGCATAAGTTGGCTGGAAATCCCCTCGATAATGAAGGAAGTTGAAAGATAGTTTTTGTAACGAATGTACTGGACTATAAAGATCTCTTGACAAATGATAAAAATCTTGAAAAATGTCAATTTTTCTCTAAATCTACTAGTATCAAAGACATTCGCGAAGTAACTTCTCATTAAATTTATAGACTCGTTCTCTCTCTTTTTCCACCACTTCGTTATAGAACTTGAAGCAAGTGAATTGCATCAAGCCTCTTCATTTTAAATTCACGTAGGACTTCTGATATCAAGATCAGAGGAGCACACGACCTTGGCTGTGTCTTCCATTATTCATCGATTCTTTCTTTTCAGGTTTTTCGTTGAAGCGCCAGTATTTTACCAACTCCAAACGAGTAGATCTGATCTCTCATACACATACATAAACAGCATCATGACAGTGCCTACTCAACATGATTGGGCGGTGCATTTGAGCGCTGCAAGGCGCCTTACCCTTGTGTAATAACATTTTAATACTGACGCATTGGCAAATCTCGTGGTTTTCTATTCATAAATAGCACATTGCTAGTTTCATAATAGTATGTAATCTCGAGTTGTAACACCTACGTTGACCTCATCAACAACCATCTTTATTCAATCAAATAGTGTTTAAACTCCAAGGTACTGACTTAAGAAACAAGTAATTTACACTGCAGTGGGTATTACCATATGTCGTACGGTACTCATTGTCATTTTTCAACAGTAATTCCAATATGATAGAATTGCTTATTGATTATGGTGGGTTTTTCAAAATGTTATTTTACATCGGTCAACCTTACGGCTTGTATTTCGCGAATGTAACCAAAACTTCAGAGTATCCAAGTACTTTGGCTATTTTTGCCTCCGAATCACGGAGAGAAATGTTCAGTATAAATTGCGGAACTCACAATTCACTCACCGATTATGGAATCGACTCAGAAAATTTAAGTGACGGTATCGGAATTTCTCACAGGAGATTCAGGTAAAAATTACGGAACGCTCTGGAAAAATTACGTGACACTTCCGTAACATTTCCTAAAATCACAGTTCGCTCCAGAATTACGCAAAAGATACGTAATTTTTATTGATTATTTTTCCCAATCGGATTTCGACCAATCAGAGCGCAGTATTTGAGGCTACCCGACCGTTTTATTTTGGATATTTTCTCCTTGCTTTTGAATACTTCGCAGTAGTTCTTCATTTTTTTTATCCGAATATTTCGCTGTAGCTCTTCATTTTTTCGGCTCATTTCAGATAGAATCTTATAGTTGAACTAAAATGTTTAACCCTAGTCAGGTCACCAAACGCGATCCTGCGACTCTGGTCACCTCTGCGGGGATTCCCCGTCGTGTTATTTAGGCTCCAGCATTGCCGAATTCACTCTACACTGGCCGCGCGCGTTTAGCGAGTGTCCGGCAATGTCGCGTCATGGGCAATTTCATTTAATATAGGAAAAAATAATTCATCTGTTCGAAATAATTTGTTTTCTTCAGGAATTTCGGGAAATATGTTGTTCTAAGAACTGCTATAATTCTTTAGACACTCCAATTGACGAAGTCAATTTTTTTTTCAATTTTTCCGATTAGCCAGTCATTTATATTTAAAGAAAAACGACGCGCGGCGGCGTTTCCCTCATATGGCGACCAATCTCGGGCTAAAATAAAACAATTTTTTCCATCAATGAATATCATTGCATAACAGAACCCCAATATTCATTGATTCTCCAAATTACATTTTAACCCCGGGTTAACAGCTGAATAACGCTCGTCCCGTTAACTTGGCCCAAAGACATCTCTCCGTTCATCATCGAAACCATTCACCATCTACATTTTACGGGTCAGCTCCTGTCCGCAGTGAAGAATAAAAACTTCATGAACGTTACCTGACACATATCCAACATATTACTCCACCCATTCGGTGATCTCTGCAGTTCTAGTCTAGAAATAAAAGAGAAGAGCATGGAGAATCACACCGAAGTGCAGTAAAAAAATGTATGAAGAAAACCTTGAACAAGTACAGAGCGGTCATTGCGTGGGGAAAATGTATGTTCCCACTCTTTTCGATTTCCGCATAATTTCAAGGACACTCACTGCCATTTTCTTGGTCGTACATGGTGCCACAGTGATTATAACCGATACCTACATCAAACATGTATACCAGATCAAAAAATACTTGATGACGAGAACTACGAAGATCGGTAAAAATGAGGGATATAATTTTTTCCAATTTATCATTTTTTTCATTTTTTCAAAAGTTTACCATCACGAAAATTTATAATTTACGGTTTATAAATGGTCGATAAATAATGAATTTTGGAAAAAATAAAAAATTCGGAAAAACTTGCAAAAATGAAATTTGGGGAAAAAATCTTTTTGGATAGAACGAATCCGAGTCTCAGCATAATTATTAAAAATGTTTCGTAAAAATAGTCACTTTGGATTGAGAACTAAAAAAATCTCCAGTCGAAGTGGGGGAAGGGGGTACCACGCACAATTTTGTACTTTTTTTGGCGATTTTGAGGCATTTCTGATTGTGTACGCTAATACTCGACCGAAAAAACGGAAAATTTCCGTCGCAAATACTTATTGAAAAACCTTAAAAAAAAATTGACCTGTGCTGAAACAAAAATTTTATCAAAAACTCACAAAACTCGGAAATTAACGACAAAATTAATTAAAAAAACGAAATAAATGAAATTAATAATGTTATTATTAATTCTATTATTATTCATAATAATAATAATAATAATAATAATAAATTTGTTGACGTTGTGGCCGTAATAAATTTTTTTTTTAAGAAAGCCAAATAAGAAGCCTGAACAAAATTAAATTTTTGAAAGTACAAAACCACACCAATAATTGACGAAAACACCCATTTACAGGGATAGAAAGAATTCGTTATTGTTAACGAATGGATTTGGTTGGAGACTAGAGTCTATTTGGTCTCACCAAATGTTAATTCGTTAATAGTTAACGAATCTCGTTTGGAATAAATGAATCAGTCTATCAGTGTAGGTACCCTAACACAAAAAATTGTAAACTTAAGTTTGAGCGATTACAAAGCTTCCATTCGGAGGCCCTGACTCTTCACGTTTCACCTCTCCCCAGCTAAATTAAAATTTATCATTAAGATTCGAAGGATTGCCATTAACCGTTAGTCTCAAATTTTGAAATGACCCAACCATCCATGTAACATCCTTAAATTCTTGTGGCAACACAGGGTGCCCTGAGAATTATGTACAAAACTGTGAGTCCCAGTATCCATCTGGGCCTGTTGGTACTGGCCCTCTGCTGGCACTGGCACCATTGTCGCTCTCTCAACTCTCTTTCTCTCGCTTTCACCCTCTCACTCCCCTTCTGTCTCTCATTTCAACCCAGAGTCTCTCTCCCTCTGTCCCGATAAAGTAAGAAAGACCGAAGACTCTGGAGTGAGAGACACAGACACACCAGTTGTGCTCGTTGGCGGAGCAAATGAGAAAACCGTCAGTCCCCTCGACAGTCCCCGTTCCGAACGGTCGACGTTCGATTACTCGGGAGCATGTGTCTATCCTGAATCGCTCCGTTCCCGCGGTTAATACCTATCTCTCCACAAAAACCTTGATAAAAGTGGAACTTTCGCGAAAATAATATCCGCTAAAATGCGGTAATAATCGCTTAAAAAATCGCCAAGAGTGAAAAATTGAATTGCCGAAGAGTTGATTCCTTGTCTCGGTGTGTTTTGGATCTAACATTATTCATCAATTTTTTTTATCATTCATTTATTGCAAAATGAATGAGTTTATTCAACACCTTGGTTATGCAGTTGCTACGTTACTCGTTTCATTACGAGTTGTTTCTTCGCCGTGAACGACCTCTCACGATTCATCCCCACCCCATCTGTTCTCAAAACCTGGCCGACTTGGATGCACCAGAAGTACCGTACGGGTACAAAATACCAATTTTATTTGGTTATATTTTTTTAATCGAGAATTCAAGTTGAGTTGGGCGATTATTCGACGAAGTGGGGACAATGGAGGGGCATTGCCGGGCGGTGGGAGAAGTGAGACTCTCGTTATTAGCCGACTATCTTCACGGAGAACGAATTGTAGTAGTCGGTTAATTTGTTTGAAGAATTTTTTTTCCATTTTATTTGTGGAGAAACGTGAAAACAGGGACAATTTCTTTTTTTGCTGAGGAGATTCAGCAATCGTGTGTGTGTGTGCCACTCCTACGATTATTCGGTGCGAGACAGCAAGTGGTGAACAGTCACGAGATCTAACGCGCTGGTTCGTCTTGCAATTAACGATTTTTTTTTTCAATAATTTGAACTTGAAAATTCGGAAAATTGGGGAATTGATTTTGCTTTCATCCGAAAGTAACATATACGGATTAAAAAATCATGTGAATGTGGAAAATAATATCCGATGAAATCGTCATTCGCAGAATAAAAATAATACATTAAAGTTCTGTTCGATTTTCAATCAATTGAAATCCTAAAATTGACATTCAAATGAGTCGGTAAATCCCAATTAGAATAGGAGTGAAAATTTCGCCGACGTATGCATTTGGAATTCTATTTAAAACTCAAAACTAAATTAAGAATGAAAAAAAAAATGATACGTAGCACTTCGGAAGTTGTTCGGGGCGTTCGATTCATCGTTATCTCCTTAGAATAATAATGATAAGAGTTCGTTCCGTTGTGACGAATACATAGGTACAATCGGAGGCATTTATTTCATACGATTGTGAAAGTTTAAACCGTTCAGCCTGTACATTATCAATTTTATTGACTAAAAAATCGTTAAACTGTTTTTAATCTCTTTATTCAATGAGTGAAACGAGTTCTATGACTCAATGAACGAAAGACAAGAGCGGAATTATAAATAGAAGTGATATATTTAGCACAATTCATCAATAGGAGCGTGAAGTGAATGATTTGACTTCTGAGAAGTGAAAAACAATTTTTTGAAAAATAAACAAAAAAGGGCATTGAGTTAATTAGAGTAGACGAGTGACCATGATGAAGTTCAAATCGCTGTTTCGAAGAGGACAGCAAAGCCACTTGCCCCATCAGCAGCAGCAAACGGGCCACCCTTCACCACCACCACAAGCCCAATTGCAGCAACAGCCACAGGTGGCCCAGTGTCTGCATCCACGACAAGCACCAAGTGTATCGTCACTAGAGGGAAAAAACGATAATATACAGAACGTTAACTGGCAAGTTAAGGACAGTGTCAAGGGTACCAAGGTACACGGTAAAAGTACAGGGAAAAATAGCAACAGGATGCAGGAGCTCGAGCGTGAGCTCGAGCTCTTAAGAAAAGAGAGAGCGAGACTTGAGGCCGGTCTTAGGGAGTCCACACATGATGCTAAATTACTTCATGAACTTAAGACTGAACTTGCATTTGTTAAGGTAATTTTTTTTTTGTTTTTTTAGACTAGATCGTTTGTTTCTATTGGACATGGGGTAGTTTAAATAACCAAACCGGTGAATAAGTGGAAAGGTACTTTATTACTTTGACTTTACTTACGGGTGCCAAGTGAATTTGAAAAAAGATTTAAAAACAATTTTTTCTCTCCCTCCATCATTGGAGAAATATGCATTCATCCGTTCGGCGAAATTTTAAACCCACAACCGAAACTAGACATCGGGAAAATAAATGCGGAAAATCCTCTATTTCGCGTGACGAACCTCGAGAAAGCATGGGATCAAATGCGTACGGCGGGTTGAAATATCTCTCATTCAGCCCGGTACCCCATTGTTTTTTGTCGCCATCACATTGAACACATCATTCCCCATATCTTCAAATTTTTTCAAATTTTTCGAGTTCCTAGGGGGTTGAAACGTTCAATTTAATCAAAACTCCATAAGAGGCCGTGTATAAGACTGATTTTGTTTATTTAATTTCTCGATATCCATAAGTTCTAAAATTTTAAAATTGTCACCGATGTTCACCATCTGTCTAATACTATTAATTAAAAAAATTATAACTTTGTTGGTGAATCCAATTTTCAAGGTCATCGCCAAATGCACTTGGCACCCTTAATACGCTCGGAAGACGCATCCGCTCTTTATCAATTCCTCGGAGGAACTAATCAAATGACAAAGGGATACGACGCCCTTGCCCGTGACGTGCACTTGACAGGTCCTATTAATTCAACTCCATAAGGACTTTTTCCCTAAATGCCCCCCCATAATGAAAACATAGACGTATCCACGTGAAAAATTTAGTTATTTGAAATTTCAAAACCCTTGTTCTTCCGTAAAAAATAATATTTCTTGCAACCATTGCTCACGCGATTGAGGGAGATTCGAGATTGTGTCAAGTCCATTTATTCTTGATCTCAGTCATGCTCCTCTCAAAATCGACAGTTTTCGATTTGTGGCAAGAAAATCACCCGCCACGAGACGTTTGCATTGCCGCAATCCCGTAAATCCTTCTAAAAAAATTGTTTTTCTCTCAGTGCTGCTGATGCGTAATTGATTGTTGATGCGTTGCTGACTTTGCATTGTTTCAGAAATTTGTATATAATCATCGCATTCCTTTTATTACGCCTTCCATTCTACTCATTTCAATGCAATTCAATTCTGTCATTTACCTCAACTATTCTCAAATAAAGCGAACCCACCGTGAAAACCCATTTTGAACATAATTGGAAAATAATCTACAAATGAATTTTCGACTCATTTCCGCCTACTACTCCAATGAGTTAGTCGGTGATTAGAGAGGGAAGGGGAAGAATAATCGAGTTGAAAGGGTCGATGCTGTCACCTTTGATAACGAATCTAGCCAGTTCTCCGGTTTCATACGGGAGAGAGATTCATTCTTGGTCGTTTATCGGGTGAAAAAACGGAAATGGAAGTTTTTTGATATTTCGAAAGTCCCACGTCGATTAATCTTTACTGTCATCCTCAATTCCCCGTGACCTCACATCACCGCCCACAATTTGACCTACTCCCCCTACGTCATTTTCTTGGCCAATGAAAAAAAACTTTGGAGAATTAGCAATTTTTTGTCAATGAGTTAACAAGGAATGGGACTGCAATTGCACATTTGAATAAAATTAATTCTGGAACTTCCACATGACTCGATGCGGATAATGAAGCCGATTTCCTTCCTCGGATAATTAATTTCGTCATCTCGTGGGAATCATCTTCCAACTTTTCTCAAGAAAACATCGAAAAGGACTAAAAAATTCGTCGAAAATTTAAAATTAATATCAGATTAAGTTTATTTTAGAAGCGGATTTGTATGTTCTTCGGAAAATATCTTTCAAACTGGTGAGTGTGTTGAGATAGATAACTAGAGGGCTTTTCAAGGAAAACTGAAGCATTCTCTATAAAAAAAGCCTTTCAACAATCACCTCTGAGCTCTTTTTTTAAGATACAAAAATTCCCGGAAATATTTTTCTCCAAGCAACAAATTAATTCGAGAATTAATTCTAGAATGGTCATGGCGACAATTTCCTTCTTCGAATAATTATGTTCGTCCGGTAGGAATCATCCGCCCATTTTCCTTCAGAAAACCATGCGGAAGGCCTAGAAAATTCATTGGATATTTAAAATTCGCGTCCGATAGAGTTTATTGCAGAAGCGGATTTGTATATTTTTATGGTAACATCTTCGAAACCGAGTGTGTCTCGAAAACACTATTCTCCACGAAGAATAGTATATTATTGTGTTACTAGTGTGGGAAGTTTCACTTTTTCACACGCACGCGTAACACATCCTATTTTTTTTTGTGATACCTGCCAAGTTCACCGTTCGAAACGGTAATGGGGGTATAGTATATTTCATGACAAGTGCCATGGGGTTTTTTACTCGCGTGGAATTGGCGTCCGAGCCGAAGGCTAGTATTTCTCCGAATACTCTCGATCGCTTAGGACATCTAGCCAATATTTCTCCATAATTTTCGCCGTTTATCTATTCATTTTATGAGGAATGAGTGCATAGGGGAATTAGAAAGAATTGAGCTTCATGCAAGTTCCTCAAATTTTATTCCTCAAATCAGCCAGGAGTCATGAAATTTTTCAAAAAACATCAAACACCCATTTTTACAGCAGTAAAAATGTTCCAAAAACTTTCTTCTGCCATTTTCCTCCAAACCAATCAATACCGTCTTCACGATTATTCAATTCCGATCACTGAGCGGAGGTGAGCCCCCCCTCTCCCTCGTAAACCTCCATGATTCCTATGATTCCCAGAAAAATTCTGTCCCCCTTTTTTCCGCATTCCTCAGGACGTTTTAGCCCCGAGGCAGATGCTGAACCGTTGGAACAGCTGCCGGTTGTGCACATACACGAATAACCAGCGTCAAATGAAAATTAAAAAATGAAAGAAAAGCAGCGCGACAGAAGTCAAAGTTTCAAAAGGTTTTCCTGACTTTTACCCATGTCATAGTGCGCAAAAGTGAATTCCGACCAAAAAAATAGTAAAACAACGATATATCGCAAAATTTCAATGGAATGATACCCATATTTTGTTACATCTCGATAGATGACATCAAAACGCACATTTTGAAGGAAAATAAATTGAAACCGGAGCGATAGTTTTTGAGATATTGAGCGAAAGAGTTTCACATACAAAGTTGAATATCTCCGAAACTACTGGTCCGATTTCGTTCATCCAGAATCCCAAACTTTGTTACCATAAGACCTAAAATCATACCAAGTTTCAAGTTTCTGTCTCGATTATTTTTTGAGTTATCGTGCGAACAAGCAATTTCAGCGAAAACATTAAAAAACGAGAATAAAACTACATTGCTCAGGGTGTAATGGTCTTTTTTAAATCCAATTAAATAGGTATCATCATGACGAGTATTTTGAAAAAAAAATTGAATCAGCCGAATGGTTCAGGAGATATCGGCAAAAAACGATTTTCGAAGAATCGCTATATCTGAGGAACCGTTCAACCGATCGAGCTGAAATTTAGCACAAATTTGAGTCTCAGTGGTAGCAATTAGCAGCCAAAATTTCAGCATCTTGGCCTCAATAATTCTCGAGTTATGGGGACAGTTCTGGGCATACAAACACATTTTTTAAAAACATCATTTCTTCACGTTTCATGACATTTGTAGGCATTTCCACGCAAAATTGAGAGATCGAAAAAAATCACCATTCCAAAGCTCTCATTCGGAAGCAAAAAGGCATGAAAATACGAAACGTGCGCGCGCTCGTACACAACTGAACCGTTGCCACCGAAGTTTGTTTACCGATCGAGCAAACTCACCCATACACACATTTTTACTCAATTCCGCCTTTCGCAGTGAGCATAACCCCGCGTCGAGTGTTACGTAGAAAGCGTGTTCATGTGCCGAATTGTTGAAGACATGAAAAAACGTCATTAATCACCATTACTAACAGTTATTCCCCAGTTTAACGTTGAGCATTCAGTTACTTGAGTGGTTTGTGTGCAATGAGACAACTGTGGCACATGCGTTGGACAATGTGTCGTTTATCCTCAGGTGCTAGATTCTAGGTTCATAAACATAACCCTGACATCGTGACAGTTTTACTTGTTTCGGAGGATTAGTCGTTTATTAGATTAAAGATGACAATTAGGTCGGCTGTGGATGGTTCGGGCTGAGAGTGTGTGCTGATGGTATTGGGGTTAAATATCGTGGAAAAGTGAGCTGGAGCATTCGGGAAGTGGCACTCGTCATGTGATTGTTTCATTACTGGAATGGTATTTATGTTTTATTTTATTTTATCAGTGATGATTGGGGGGATTATTCCGAGTCTTTGTTGATGGTTTTTGAGTTGTTGTTTTGAGATTTTTCGGTGATTGGAGCAGGTGGAACATATCAATAATTACTCGATTTATGTTGAAAGACTTTAGAATCTTCAATTTGTTGAAATGTAGGTGAGCAGGTGCACGAGAAATCAGCAGGAGACAAAAGTGAAGGCTGAGGATTCTCGCATCTATTTTTTTCTGAAAAGATGCCGCTTAGACGAAAATTTTGAAAAAATAAAAATTGAAATATATGGATAATTGAGGGAGTTATGATTTTTTGAAAATTGCTTGTTTTGACCAAAAAAATTGTTTTTTACAAATTGGCCCCAATAACTTGGCGGGTTTTAAAGTTATCGAATAGCCCTTTTGCACACGCAAAGAGCATGAAAAACCCTTCAAAATGAAAGGGCATCCATAACAGTATCTTCAGTTCGACGGGATTTATACGAGAAAATTTTTTTTTTTAATTGCTAATTTCTCAAAAAGTTAATTTTCTTTTAATCTGAAATTGTCACAAACAATTGTCAATAAGATGAGCGGAATTTTGGCGGCAATTAGAGTTTGCCTTTCGTCGTAGTTCGGCGGTTATAATTTTTTTCAGTGAGACAAGTATTGAAAATGACAGAAAATCTCTATTATTCATGCAATTATCGACCGAATCGAAGGTACAGCCGCCGGCAATTTTTTTATACATTCTTTGATTTTTTCAAAACCACTATGCAAAATCCCAGATAGCCTAGGAGAATGGGTGAAACACAGGAATTTTTCTAAAAAATGCTCTTTAAACGGGCTCTTGTGAGAATTTGGAAAGAAATTATTAAAAATAGAAAAAAATTATCCAAGTGGCCTAGGAGAATTGTTTAGAAGGGGTAATTAAAAAACTGAAAAATAGGAATTCTGCGTGCGCAACTTGGAATAGCGACAACGTCGAGATTAGCAATCGTGGAGGGCCAAGCCCGGCAAATACGAATGGAGTTGTAATCTTACATTTCGCTATGAGAAAGAACATAACAGCTGAGTGAATCAGTGCTGCCACTCGTACCTCGAACGGCACGACGTTGCCACTTTTTCTATCCATATTAATTATTTTCCAATTATCCAAAAGACAAGCTAGAAAAATGAAAGAAGGCTTGAAATATGTGGGAAAAAATCGAAAAGTAATTAAAAAAATATTTCGAGCCCAAAAATGGTCGAACTAGATAAAAAATTTGCAGTTGAAATATCGTTTTTTTGTTCAGCGATTGGTTTCCTGCGGGATAACAATAGATTCCCCTCCTACATGCCGACCCCGCCATAAATAGGGGAGGTTGTGGTAAAATGGACACATTTGACTTTTCTTTTAAATGTTAATAACAGGTTGAAATGTTGATGAAATTCAATGAATTTCTCTTTAATGCGAAGAACAATTCTTTCCCTTTGTAATGAGCCTAAGCTGAGCTCAACTGACAAATTTGTTCCTGAGTTATGAGTAATTGAACAAACAGTCTAAAGTGTCCGTTTTACCCCACCTCTACCTTAATCAAGCCCCTCTCTCTTTCCAGGAGCAACACACATTAGAAGTCGAAAGACTGACTGAGGACAACCAGGTTCTCCGTGCTCGTCTCCGCGATGTGGCCCACTCGCCCCTGTCCGACGCCGAGAAGCACCAACTCCTTCAGGACGCAGCTCGTGACGAGCCCCTATTGCCCCCCGGTGATCCAAATACAGCCCCCTCCACAGACAATCCGAGATGCGCAACACCAGAATGGGACAAGCGATCCTCGAGTTCAGTGTCAGAAGTATCGGTTGCTTGTTTGCAAGACAGAATTCTCCAGATGGAGGAGACACATTACTCCACCAATGAGGAGCTCCAGGCGACTATCCAGGAGTTGAGTGATCTCCAGGCTCAGCTCTCTGAACTCCAGACGGATAATGAGAGATTGACTGAGGAGAAGGCAGTTCTTCTGGAGTCTCTCTGCAGGCAAACTGAGAAGTTGGAGGACTCTAGGTCCAAGGTTGACACTCTTCAGGGGCTTTTGTTGAGGGAGGAGAAGCCCCAGGACTCGTCGAAGGGCTACAACACTGAACGAGAGCAGAAGCTGGTGGATCTGCTGAAAAGTGCCCAAGAGGAGCGTGAATCTCTTCTCCAGAAGCTGGAGGAATTGTCCAGTGAGTTGAAGGTCCTTCGCTCGTCGGCTGAAGCGAGCACTGGTGAGGCTGAACGTTTGGCTAAACGAGTCCATCATCTCGAGGTTGCGGTGGAGGCTGGGAGTGCTGAGAGGAAACAGCTTGATGTGGAGCTTGTGGGGGCCAGGCAGGAGAGTGCTAACAGGAATATTGAGATCAGCAGGTTGGCAACTTTGTTGGAAAATGCCAGGGCGAAGATTGAGGAGCTCGAGCAGAGCAGACAGGTGGAGAGCAAGAGTGAGGCCGATGAGTTGCTGGATGCTGCTAGGAGGGAGAAGGATACTCTGGAGACACAGGCTGCTGCACTTCAGGAGCAGCTCGCCAGGAGCCACTGCGATCATGACAGGCTGAGGGATCAGTACTCACAGTTGCAAGAGGAGTGTAAGGTAAGAGATAAAATTTCATTTTTTGAGGGAGAGAAGTGTCTGGAGAATTAATGGGACTCGAAACTTTGGGGAGAAATGACTGAGGATTTTTTTTTTTGTGTTGGAAACAAATTCCGTGACATGTCGGATGACGGTCGTGTGACCGTCATTGACACGTCACATGACAAAAATGTGATCGACTTATGAGGCTCATATCGCATCTAAGTGGTGACGCCATTTCAGGTGTCAAAATTTTCATTTCTGTTTTTATCTGAAAGTTGACGAAACTGCAAGCTCATGTCACCCCGAAGTAGTTAATGAACTAAGAAATAGGTAATGAATTGATGGACAATCGTGACAAAATTTTGTGACACGGAAGAAAAATGACTGGCATGCCGCATCTATATGGATAATTTCTCAATGACAAAATTTTATTTTACCGTTTTATTGACAAAAGAAGACATGATTGTCAATGACGGTCATATTTTTGTGTTCTGATTTTTTGGAATTACTTTAGACATGGTGGCCAAACCTCGTATTTTTACTTTTCAGACCATTCTACATAATTTCCAATCAAAATTAGAGAATGTGAAAATCGAAGGATTGCAATGCTTCCATGCAGAAGCAAAAGTCTATAAAAAAAATTTTTTTTTGCTTGAATTGCGTCAAACAGTCGTCCTTTCGAGTGTTTCATTCAGCCCCACTCTCCCCTAAATCAACACTTGAAAAATTGAAACATTAAAATCATGTTAATTGATGATTCTATACTTCAGGTTACAAGAAACAACGCAAAATCGGCGATCGATGATCTAGAATATCGTTTGAGCCAGTTGAAAGAAGAGAGACTGTCGGTGAACACTGAACTGCAATTGGTACGTGACTCACTGGCAGAACTTCAAGCCCAGTGTCAGAGGCACCTGGAGGACAAGCGCGAGCTGAAGGCAGCTCTGAGTGAGGCCCAGAGGCGTGAACGAGAGGCCCAGCTCCGTCAGTATGAGCTCGAACGGAGTCTCAATGAAGAGAAGAAGCTTAGGCAGAGTGAGAGCGCTGAATGGGAGCAGTTCCAGAATGATTTACTGATGACTGTCAGAGTTGCCAATGACTTCAAGACTGAGGCCCAGTCGGAGCTGGAGAGGGTTGTCATGGAGAATAAAACACTGAGGGACAGACTCAGGGCCCTGGAGGGACAGGTGGAAAAGCTTAATAAAGGTATTTTTTTTTTATTAACTTGGTCACAAGCGAAGTGGGTGAAGAATTCCAGGGATTCTTTTGCAAATCTCTTGGGATGGTGTCGACTTGAGAGAAATGTCCGGAGATCTGTCTCCTGGGGAATTCAAATGTCTATAATAAGGTCTCCTGATGATGTTTCCGAACAAAAATTTATTTATGTAATAATTCAGTGAATTGGTAAACTAGGATAAGGGTATTGTTTTTTTGAAAATGCGTTTTTTTGGCTTAATCGCTTTCAAAAATTGGTGGGAAGCGATTTAGCAAAAAAAACTTTTTTCGAAAAAACTGCACTTATCCTAATTTACCAATTCATGACAAAATTGAATGATAGAACCAAGCATTGAGATCAAATATCCAATTAAGAGGAGGTTCACCGCTGGAAAAAAACTTCTCCGTTCTATTTTTTATTTTATTTTTTCTCGAAAAACCAAAATTTTTTTTTTCCCCAGGATAAACCTCCCCTTAATGTGGAAATGATTTGTGAATTATCAAAAGAAATATATGAAGTGATTTCCTTGTCGATCAAAAATTCTGTACAAATAAAATCTTTTGATAATGTGTCATGATCGAGATATATAACATTGATTGACAAGAATGTCTGTTGAACGCGAATCATTGTTGATTTAATGATTATCTCGATAATTAGTGCTTTTACGAAAAAAACGTCGAGATATCTTGTTTTGTAACTGATATCATTTTTCCACATGAAGTATCAGCCGATGATTCCCACTGTCGTCAGTTCTTATCGAGAAAATCCATTAATTTGCATTAACGATAAAAATTGTCTCCAATTATGCAGTACCCTTGCAAACGATTAATGTTACTAAAATATGTCACAAAACATTTTTCGTAGATTATAGAATTCCCCAAAAGCCGACCTCATGAATTATTTTATTATTATTTTTTTTTTTCCTCATGAATTATTTGAAACCCCTTCTTTCCTCAGACATTTGCAAAACAAACTCATCACCACTTCATTCAAAAATCCATCCTACACACTTTCGTGGTTGAAGGGACGAAATAAAATCCCCAAAATACATACCGTTACCAAAAAAAGTCACCCCAAAATACTCTAGTTCCCCCCAACCACGAAACAGCATGGTAAATCTCCCTCAACAATAATGACATCACAATTTTCTTGAATTCTCAATGAAAAAAATAAGCACGATCGGAGTTGTCAACCCCTCCAGACCCCAAAACCGACCGAAAGAACGTAATCTTCCAGAGAGGAAGAACAATCCTCCGTAAAAGAAGTGTCGAAGACCTGAAACTCACGGAAAATAACTCCTCAAAACCAACGAAACACAAACGAAGTGCATCAACTTCTCAGCATGAAGTCAAAGAGAACCCGCCAATTTATCGAAATCTTTCGTATCCAAATCTTCTGGAGTCATCTTTGGATCCAAAAAGTCCCCCAAAGCTCTATCAGTTGGACTTGAACCACGAAAAAACTCGAGAAAAGTCGAAAAATGTCAAAAACATGAGCAACTCTTGTCTGGAATCCATCCAAGGAATCCAGGGAATCGACGAAAATTCCTATTGGCTCCACGTATCCAACTCTAAGTTCCTTGTTCCTCGAACAAACGCACAACCAAGTGTTGGAAGATCAATGGATGACTTGAGATTCCAAGTTGATCCTGAGATGACGAGAATCTTACGTCAGAGTTTGGAAAAAAAATCACAGAGTGAAAATAATATTAACCAGACCTCGGGACAGGGATTATCGTTATTAATGGCCCATAAAAATTTTGATGACGATGTAATTGATAAGACAGTGGAGGCTAAGCCAATCGTTATTGATAAGAGAGGAGCAGTGAAGGATTATTCGATAACCACTGAGTTGAGTAATCCTAATCCACATTTGATTATGAATCCGAAACTTTACGTTCCTCGATTGTCTTTGGAGAATATAGATTGTGAATCATCGGATGATTTTTCCGATGAGATCAAGGAACGTAAACCGAAGAAGTCTGTGAGGTTTGTTGAATCGAATGAGAAAACAGATGATTCGAAATTTTTGGATAAATCCAGGGGGAATGGAGCATTGAAGGATGAAGTGGTGATCAGTCAGTCGAATTATCTGAAGAGATCTATTGATGAATCTCGGAGGGATGGAAAATCTTCGAATTTTGGAGGGTTTGATGGAGAATCGAGGGATAACAAGTGTTTTAGATCGATTAATTATGGATTGCCAGAAAAATCGATGGATTCTGACTGCATGAAATTGGAAAATTCACCTCGGGACATCGGAGTTGAAAGCTCGAGCCCAGAATCCACTGACTCAAGTGTTTTTACATTCGATCCACCAATCGTAGATTCGAAAGAGTCGAGTGATTCCAATGAGAAGTTGAAAGGAAATAAAATAAACACTGTAATAAATAATGACAGAGGCTCTAATATAAATAGCAAGAGGCCGTCTACTTCACCAAGGGAGTTTGGGCATTTTGAAAAATCCGTGGGGAGCGATAGAGATAAATCAATCGCATCGCCGTTGAAAAGTTTAGATAGGAGCCACATAGTACTTCAGGCAGATGCATCTCAACGAAGAGTGAGAAATAAATTTATGGGACGGACTTTATCGTTGAGGGAAAAGTTTGAGTCTATTTTGGAGGACGTTGAATTGAGGCCTCAACCAATGATGGGAGGTACGAGATTAAAACAAGAATTTAAGTGAATATCAGTGGGGAAGTGGTGGATAACCTGTAGATAAGTTCAGAAATGTATTTGCGGATTGTTTTGCGCATATCTCTGGAGGAATTTGTCGAACAATATTTTTATGGAGGGATTAATTTATTGGAAAATCAATGTCTTAACTTTTTTTGTAACATCACTCGTTACGGAGATAATTACACGATTAAACGAATTTTTTAATATGAAGCAAAAATTAAAGGGCTTGCTGATGGCTAAGTCATCTTGATAATGAGTGATTTTGGGAGAAAATATCAGAAGTTTTTGGTAAAAGATTCCATTTTCCGCAGAAAAATCCTTTACCAGTTTCTCTTAAAATGATGAATTACTGAGATAATGACAATTAAAAAAATTCTTGTTGCTTATTCAATTATCTCACTACCACTCATTACCGCGATGATTGGATAATTGATAAAATGCAAATATTTGATGACACTTGATAAAAATTCTTGGTAATTATTGAGAGGAAATTTGACATTTATTCGATAGAAAATTAAATCTCTGTACTATCCCATAATTTAATGAAGTCAATAGCCTCGGAGATATTCGCAGAAGAATACGTATGAAGCCTGGACTTGTACAGTTTCACCGCTTCGCTAGAACCATCATCTGTGTGCTTAAAAAAAATCCATAAACTGAAGAACCTTCATGTGCTGGGGCCAAATGTTGCATAATTGTCAATTTAGTCGCTGCGATTCAGACTGGAGAAAATGAAATATTGGAAGTATAGGGAGTGATTCATGTACCAACTCGTCCGCCTACGGGAAAGCCGAGGACCTTTTACCCTCTTCCGTTGTGTGCTTTTTGTTATTCGTCTCTTGTCTGTCAACCTTTCTTCTGCGATTTTTATTCTCATTTTATCCCTGTATATATGCATAATTTCGACCTTTTCTGTTGGGTAATTTTTTTTTTATTAATTTTTGTTTTACTGTTATTTTATGTCTTCAATTGTGAAATATTCGTGGGTTGAATGCAGAGCAGTGAAGTATAATGAATAGAAAGAAAAAAGTCACAATGAATTTTTCTGAACCCTCTTCCTTCCAAATATATCAACGGAATAATCTTCGAGTGCGGATTGCTGTTTTCTATTCGTTATCACTTCACTGCTGAAATTTTCTTTTAAGTTTTTTCATTTGACTTGTTTCAATGTTTTAGCCAATCAGAAAAATCCCACACCCCCACCTCCTAGACCTGTGAGTGCACCTACGGAGACACAGCAGAGTGTTTTAACCAGTGTTCAGCAGGAAATGGCAGCTAGGAGGAAGGCAAATATTTCGCGACAGGATTCTAGACTCTCAGTTAAATGTTTGATCGAGAGTATTGAAAACGCCACTAAACAAGCCAAAGCTGGTGGGTTTCTCAAAATCCTTAGAGTTGAATCTACAGATTTTTGAAGATTATGATTACTTTGGCGCCCCAATGTGACATATATTTTCCGTAACATTTTTCCGCAGAAGTACAGGAAAAAATAATGAAATAATTCCATCTCCATTATTTCTTCTGAAGTGTGGAGATTTTCCACAGAAGAGAGGAGTTTATATAGCCTTCCACATCTTGTGACGTCACAGGATATTGTTGAAGATCAGGGGAGGCAATCGATCTTCGGATTCATCAATATTCAAAGAATTTCCGACTTACATTAATTAAAGTTTAAATATACTCATCGAAATTAAAAAAATAGTAGGATAATTCATAATCTAAATTTCCAATTGATGATTAATTAAATATTTGATAATATGGAACTGTAAATTTTCGAAATTTAACGAAAATTCCTTTCATCAAATCAAATCATCAAATCGTGGCGCCAAAGGAATCGTAATGATGAGATTTTTAACACAGATTTTTTTAGTAGAAATAGAGTTCCAATTTGGATGGAAATTTAATTGAAGAGTAATTCAGTTGCAAAGTGATGACTGAAATTCATGACTTCGTTGAATAAATGAAATGGTTCAAGTGAGAGTTCTTCACTCGTCTCGAGAACAAGTGATTCAAAGGGAATATTTCCCACTGGAATCAGGCATTAATGGAATAATTACACTAGTTCTTACAGCATTCTGTTTTTTATATGCAAGATCTACTTCAAATTGAGAAGTAATTGTAATGCAGTATTCCCAAAGCAATTTTAATGTGATGTATTTTTCTTATCTGTTTTAGGTCCAGGTAGTCGAAGTAGCTCTACTTCGTCGTTGAATTCCATTGGGACCAATGATATTTTATCTTTAAAAGCACCTCTGAGAGATCAACAACAAATTAATAATTTAATTTGTTCTGCTAATCCTACTAATAATAATAAAACACAATCTACAGGCAATAGGAAATTAACATTATCAGGTAATAATCAGCTTTTCTCTTTATTTAATTTCTTCAAGTGCTAACGGAGGAAAATTCAGAAATCTTTTTGCAAGAAATTCTCCACAACAAAGATCTCATGATTTTTTCTTCCAAAGTCCCTCATCCCATTGATTACCTAAATTATACAAGTTAATCTTTTATCAACTCAATAATCTTTGGATAAAATTGAATTCTTCATAAAAAATTCTGAAATTTGAATCTCGATCCACTGATCATCTCCCAAAATGAATGATTGTTGCAATCTTTGTATAGTTAAGGGGAGGTTCGCCCCGGGAAAAAACTTGTTCATTTTTCAAGAAAAAAAAATTAAAAATAATATTTATTTAATCTTTTTTTGAATATGATCCCACATTTTTGCTGTTTGATTAGAGAAAATGCGGGAGAAAATGCATTTTTTAATTCATTCGTTTATCAAGATTATTAATATTTCAAGGAAAATACTATTTAAAATTTTTTTCTCTCGAAGAACGAAAGTTTTTTATGCCGGGATTGAGTCTCCCCTCAATAAAGTTCTTACTTAAAAAAAACCCCGAATTTGTTTCTTCGCAGAATCTCAAAAATCGTCAGGCCCAGTGAGCCTGAGCCCCGGTGAACTCCTTGACTCAGCAGCTCTCAATGCAAAAGCCATTGACTTTGTGCGAAGGAACAGTGTCACTGATCTCTCTGAACGTAAAGATCCACTATGTGGACTCGTGAAGAATGGAGGATCTAAGCGCAACGCCTTACTGAAGTGGTGTCAGAATAAAACTGTTGGCTACAGAAACATTGATATCACCAACTTCAGTAGCTCCTGGAACGATGGGCTAGCACTGTGCGCTATTCTTCACTCTTATTTACCTGATAAAATACCGTATGACTCACTGAGTCCGTCTGAAAAACGCAGGAACTTTTCACTGGCATTTTCTGCAGCCGAGAGCGTTGGTATCCAAACAACTTTGGTGAGTAAATATATCGTATGTGGCAGATTCTCCTAATATCGTCCTGGTTTTCGATGTCAAATTTTGGATTGGGCTGCGAGTTTTACCCTTTGTTGTACATATTGAGGAGAGCTTTGCCCCAAATTTTTAGTTAATAATAATGGAGAAACCTCAGATGGAAGTTTTTTTTCTATTTCCTTTTCAATTAATTCTGACAGCTACAGTTCCAGTTTTAATTTTACAAAAAAATGTTACATAGGTTTTTTTTGGAAAAATCCTTAATTTGTCGTAAAAAATGTCAATTTTTTAGTTCAATTAGTCCTTTTCCTTGAAATTATGCGTAAATTCATTGTTCCATCGTATCGAATTAAAAATTAATTTTTTTCCTCGAAGGAACATATTTTTTTCACGCATTCACCTAAAATTTTTGAGTAATTCCATGATAACCAACAATTATTTCAGGGTTTCTTTCCAACGAAGCCACGGTTATCTGCAACGGTTAGAAAATTAACAAAGACAATTGTGCAAAATGACTTTTCGACTGTTGACAAATAATTTTATACTGTCGTGGAACATTAAATCCTTGGAATTCCAAGGAATTCAATCATCATCGATGATTTATCACCTGTTTATAGAAACAATTGTTCAACTCAATATCTTGATTCTCATTCAACAGAATATTGGAGATATGTGTCAACTAGAACGTCCCGACTGGCAGCAAGTGATGACCTACGTAACGAGCATCTACAAACACTTTGAGACATGAGCATGGAACAGCATTGAAATTTTACGCTATATTTAAATTTTATTTTGAGTGAAAGATGGCATCTAGTCAATCGAAACTCTGAAGATCGATTTGAAGCTATGAAATATGAATGGAGAAAGGCAAAAAATAACGAAACACTGAGAAGCATGTGCCGTGCGCCATAAGAAATATGACTAACTTCTTTTTTAACTAAATGAGACTGATAAAAACACCGACTACATGAAATGTATTTCGATAATATTTTGTCGTCCACATGTATGGACAGGACAACGATTTATAAAAATGTCTTCACGTAATTGCTTATTCCGTTGAATGTTTGTCAGAACAAATGAGAAGAGATTGTTCTGTAGTGCAGTGGTAAAACGTAACCATTTAATTTTTCATCTTTTAATTATGAAATTATCTTTAAAAAACCGTGGTTTTATAAAAAAATATCAGAAGAACTTTTTGATTGGTCAGAAAATTTTCCGTCAAAAACGGTCATTTCACATTTTCCCCTAAATACAGGGTGGAACGTAAGATATTTGTTATCTATCCGATTGTTTTTGTAAGCAGTGATTTTAGAGAGCCTCAAGACGATCGTTTTTTCTGCTGAGGAAATGCTCTAGAAAAGATGCTTCTTGGTATTTCCTTCCTAACCCAGTTATTACCGAGATAATTACGTTTCACCACTTCAATGCAGATCAATCTTCGAGAAAATTGATTGATTGTGTAATATGAGTATTCTTTTATCGTATTATTTTTAATTTAATCTGAGTTTTTTCGCCCCTATAAAATTAGTAAGTAGCATGTCATTGATGAAGAAGAATGGAACAAACTGTATAGGAATTGGATAGTCTTAAGGCACCTAATTTATTGTATTTAGTCACATTTAGTATTTTTAATTGAATAATCCCCCACAGATGAAGATTTAAATGAGTTCGATTATGTTTACTTATTGGATTGAGGCTATTTTCACAATTTTTTTGAATGGATTTGAAACTTTTTTTTCTTCTAATTTCAAGTGTAATTGTTCACGATCCTTTGATAATTAAGAACTCTGTGATATAGTATTTATTGTTAATTGAATTGTTCTATGCCTATGATGTCCCCCCACGATTGATCCGATTGGATCGTTATATTTTATTATACAGAATTAAAATATATTCATTGAATAAATAATGCAAATGTGAGCTGTAATCCAATCGAAATTAGAGAATGCGAAAATTATACCGTTACAATGCTTCCATTGTCGCCAATGAAATTGGCCTCCTACGGACACTCTAATGTACATCGTATAATTGGACTGAGAGGAGGACAGTCTCTGTCGGCAAGGTCTGAAGCGAAACCTCAAATGTGTTAAGAAATGAAGAGACCAGCTGAAGGAATTTATTCACAAATTCTGTCATGACAGGAATAATTGCCGTGTCAGCGGGTGACACATTGACTTCTTCTGTCACTCCACATCGCTTCATTACTGAATTCACATTCACCCCATTTCGATGTACCGTGGAAAAGTCCTGGAAGATTTCTTGGAAAAGTGTCAGCATTGATTAATCAAGAGTAATTGTTCTTTCATCAAAATTTGATGGAATCGATTTATATATTGATAATTCAGTTGAACAATGATCCGTACGAATTGTTATTTAAAAATCGTCTGAATTATTTTATTCGCATAAAACATTCTCTTAAAGTCCACTTTATTTACATTGCATTTGAATTTCCCAGATAAAAAGTAAAAAATTATGTACACGTCACTGGGCAATAATCTGTGATAAGCCGAAAGATTTGTAGCTTACCGTGTGAACAGGCGCAGGGAAAAAATCTGAGAAATATTCTTTGTGAGTAATTTTCAGATCTGAAAAAAATTCCTTCGACATTTTTCACTGAAGTCACTCATTGCCGTTTATTACAAAGACGAATGTAATTAATCATGTTTAATTCTGCAGAAATAATAACGTTGATCAATAACTCATCTTGATAATGAGTAGCATTGGAGGGAATCATCACAAGAAATATCTCTCGATCTAATTCTCTGAACTCATCAATTCCTCAAATAATCCCAAAACATTTCAGTGACAAAGCAATGAAACAGGACGACAAGTCAATTCAACTTCAGAATCCATTTTCGATAAATCTAACCGGGATACTGAAGTTTTTATTTTTTCTCTAGATTTCCATTTCCTCGGCAAAATAGGTGTTCAAGGGGTAACAAAGTGCCATTAATTTTCCAAATTTTTGAACAAATTTCCTGCCGGAAGTGGTCGATATTTTCACATGCCAAATGGATCCCCAAAATTAGCTATTTTGCCAAACTATTTTTTGTTCATGTTACATAACTATCTCTTTTATTAAAAAAATATCGCGTGGAATTCCTTGAAACAATGAATAATTCTTATCGACAAATTGAAATGTTTGGTTGTAGTAGAAGAGACTGAAGTCCCTGAAGTCATACCAAAACATTTTGGCTAACGAATTTCGATTTTTGAAGGAAAGTTGCTTACCTCACCCTAACGCCCCTGAAAAAATTCTCACTATTCCTTACCGCTGGAGACATGCTTAGAACATCTAAATCTGAATTGATGTTAAACTGAAATTGGCTTATTTCGTCTCACCACTTTTCGAAAGGCAGCACGTATGAAAAAATCGTATAGAAATTCTGTAGGATTTCCGTACATGATATTCGGATATTTCTATACGAATTATTTCTGTACATAAATTTTTACATAAATTTTTGTATTCCTACGAAGGATGTCTAAACGCTCCAGAGAAAAACGTAGAGAAATGTCGCAACTCCATGAGAAAAGTTTCCACACATGTGGCAGTAGGTCGTATAGGATCAAACCTATAGGAATCGTATCAAAATAATTTGTGTAAAAAATATCCGTATAGAAATACCCAAATGTCATATACGAAAATCCTATGGAAAATTTCTATACGATTTTTTCATACGTGAGAATCCTCAACTTATCTTGATCGATCGCTCAGCCACAGAATTGAGGTGAACCCTTCAAAATCACGACTCAGAAACATCCATTTTATCCTGATCCTTGTCCCCTCCGTAGTACTCATTAGCAGGCTCAGTGATTTTATCAGTGTCCTGAGTATTGTGCCTCGAATCGGGATCAGGCTCAGGCTGTCTGTCTCCATCAGGTGGTAGAGCGTCACAAGGTACATCCTGCATCTGCACAGATGGAGAATGCTGAACCATCTTGAGATTATCGTAGACATGCCTGGTGATGGCCTCGAGATACTGTTTGCTGTTGGCGTTGTCCTGCCTGGTGACGACCTCAGGGTGGAGGGTGAAGTCAGGGGCGAAGTACTCGAGGTACTCTGTGTAGGGAAGTTCATTGCTGATTTGCTCGTCGAGGAGGAGAGACGTCTCATAGGTCCAGCATCTTGCGACGTTCCTCAGGGTGTAGCCACCTCCTCCGACCGTCAATAAGGGGACGTTTAGGTCTCGTACGAATTTCACACACTCCCCGTGGCCTTTCGTGCTGAGACTGAAGCAACCGAGTCGATCGTTCGCCAGGGAGTCTGCTCCACACTGGAGGACTATTGCCGTAGGCTGGAAAAACTCCATCACGTGTGAAATTACTGGTTTGAATACCTGCAACATTGGATAATAAGGAATAATTATTGAGTGCACAGATCAGAGATCGGCGGGAAAATAATTTCCATTATTAATATTTCGTTGCCATATCAATGGTTAAAGGGAGACTATTATGAGCTTTAAAAGAGATTTCTCATACATTAAGATCGATTATATGTGTCTGAAGACGAACAATTAGTGCAAAAAAATTAATTGTTTTATTTAGGGCCTTCCATTGGTGAGCTACAGAGGTTTATTTTTTTTCAGAATTTTTGAAGAAATGTCGGCAATAATAATTATGAATTAGTTTTTCGAAATTTGACTTCTGCACAGCTAATTTCGTTTTGTTTAAAATAAAAATTTGTGCAATTCATGGAAAATAGGCAGAAAAATTATCCTTGAAATAGACTGGAAATAGACCTAGACTGAGCTCAATCAGGGATCCCCATCAATATTAAATTTCCGTAATATCACAAGGATTTGGTAGTATAATATAATAAATAATATAATATTAATAATCTGATTTGTTACGAATAATGATATATTTAAAATTTGTTAATATGAAACTGTAAAAACCCGTTTTTTTGGGTTAGTGTAAATTTACTACTAGTGAATAATTCAAATTTCTTAAAAGGGGATTTTCGATTGAACAAGTAATCGTCATTCTTCCTACCTCAAATTATTCATTGATAAAATAGTTGAAAGTTTGAATATTTGAATTGATGATACTTAGGTGTTCAAAAAATTTCAGGAGTGTTATCTAATTAAGGGCTGCAAAAGTAACCGCAGTAAAATATTACAAATTTGGCTATCCCCGAGCTGAATTGATAAACACATGTATGAGTTATGCATATTTTTAAAACGGTCAAGTGTCCATTTTACCCCACCCTCCCCTAGCATAATGAAAAATATCATTTGTGCCTATCTCCGGTGCAGATTACACCCCATACTCACCTGCACATAGCTGGCATCATCAATGCCCTCTTTCAGGGGTACATTCACCGAGTAATACCTCCCGCTCTCCGCCCCAATCTCGTACATGTCCCCAGTCCCGGGGAAAAAGTAGTTTCCATACTTGTGGAACGACACAGTCATGACCCTGTCCGTCAAATAGAACGCCTCCTGCACCCCATCCCCATGGTGCACATCAATGTCAATGTACAAGACCCTCGCGTGGTACTTCAGGAGCTCCAGAATGGCTATAACGATGTCGTTGATGTAGCAGAAGCCAGAGGCCTCGAACTTCTTTGCATGATGCAGTCCTCCACTCCAGTTGATGGCGATATCACAGCAGTTGTTGTTCAGCTTCGTTGCACCCTCCAGCGAGGCTCCGGTGTACATCGAGCAGAAGTCGAAGAGGCCCTCGAACACTGGACAATCGTCTCCGACGTTGAAGTGACTCAGGTATTTGGTGTAGCCCTGGAGATTCTGGGGGGTCACTCGCTGGAGAAAATCGACGTATTCGTCTGAGTGAAAGCGACACATGTCGTGGGTACTGGCACGGTAGGGACGGTAGATCTGCATCTTCTTGTGGAGTCCGTAGTTGAGGACCAGGGAGTGGATCACTGACAGCCTGTGGGGCTTCATCGGGTGGCCCGGACCGTAGTGGAAATTACCCACGTCAGGGTTGTAAAAGTACGACACCTTCTTGTTGTAGGACATCTTCGTGGAGAGGTTAAACTCAGGTGTCACTTCATCGTCGGAGTACTGCGAGTTTAGGGGCTCTGAAAATATTTTTCAGTTTTAGGTATCAATTTTCGTTTTTTTTGGGGGGGGGGGGGGCACCACTGGATTTGGTTATTAATTTAATGGGCTTCAACAGTAGGATGCAGATACTGATGGGGTGAAGACGCTGTTGTCATTTTTTTAAATTCTTTTTACGGGTGTTTTGAGGTTCGGAGAGTGGCGACGTCTTCAGGTGGACGAGGCAAGGTTTGGGAGGCTTCAGAATTTTGGGGTAAATTCGAGAAATAAAATAAGGGTATTTCAGGTTTATTTTTAAGGTGTTATTTTTTTAATAAAAAAAACAATTGTCTCTTGCCACTCAAAAGTGGAGAATCGATTTTTTTTAATCGAAAAATCAACTTAACAAAAATCCCCAACATTTTTGTTTTAGTAATAGTGTTTTGAATATGGTCTCAAATTTTCGCTCTTTAATTATGAAAAATGCGGGATGCATTTTCTAATTTATTTGTAAAAGTTTGTAAAATTTGTTTCCCGGGGTGAGTTTTTCCTTGATCAGTTTATCTAGTTTTCATTAGCAGTGCCTGCAGATTCCACCGGCTGTCATTCATCTATTTGTTTTCATTTTTCACCCTCGCAACTGACCAAGTGCATCCATCTGAACTTAATAATCAGAACTTTCGTTCTGATATATCAGCCAATGGAATTTTTCTTCGTCTTTTTCCATTGATTATGAATCATTATTGCAGGTGAATTAATTGTCGACGCCGGAGAATGAAGTGGAGTGTCGTTGACGTTTTTTCGGAGCTATTTTAGAGGGCCATTTATTGGTGAGATTTTTACGAAGCGAGTGTAGGTGGAGCCGAAGAGAAAAAGAGAAGTTTAGTTTCCATGTATCGGTGGATTTGAGGGGGACGTGCTTGGTGCCTAGTCGATGACTACATGTCAAAAACGTCGAGTCCGGTGGTTCTCCCGCAACGATATAATCATTTATATTTTTTAATTTAATACAGTTCGTGGATATATTTTTTTTTACAATTTGTTAGTGAAAAGGCGACAATATGTTGGCGTTGATCAACAGAATTCTTGACTGGTTCAAGTCACTTTTTTGGAAGGAGGAGATGGAGTTGACACTCGTTGGCCTACAGTACAGTGGAAAAACTACTTTCGTTAATGTCATTGCGGTATGGTTGCTGTTTTTGTTCATTAATCGTTGTTTTCTCTGTGATTTTGGTAATTTATCGAGGGGGATTGGGCCGGTAAAGCGCTGGGAGAGGGACGAGGGAGAGTTTTGCAGCGGCATTTTGTCCCAGGGGGTTAGACCGCATAGTACGTGTAAGGTAACTCCGGGGGTGGTGAAAGGGTGGATCTTTGGAAATTCTCGTGGGAGGAATTCGAGGGTAGGCGAGAAAACGGAATTTTTTTTTCTTCAATTTTGGAGATTTTACGCTTTTTCGTGGTCTCAGTTTGGAGCATTTTTCGATTTTTTTTGGTCAGTTATTTCCGGAGTGGAGGTTTGAACAGGAAATGTCAGGTGACTTGCTTGTAACTGACGAAATTTCGAATAACAGTATGGCATTTCGAATAAAACTAAAACTGACGGCCGAGCGTGGGTGATCGAGGGTTGATGGGTAACAGAATGTCGTGAATTTTCCAAATTTTTTAACAAATTTCCTGCTGAAAGTTGTCGATATTTTTACAAATCAAAGGACGTTAATCTCCAGGAAGCGATGATAAAGATCAATGTGTTTTGGGTTAAAAAAATTTTGATCACTTTGAGTTGAAAGGTTTCCGAAAGTGGAAATAATTTCAATTATTTATCTATAAGCAACGAATGTTCAAAAGAATACTAATTTCGCGTAAAATGTAATTTGAATGACGCTGAAAGTTCATAATTTTTTCACATTTTTCCCACGCAATTCAATTGACAAATTTCATGATTGAAAATGGTTGAATTTACAGTGTGGTCTGTGCCAAACTGTAAAAGATAATTGTATATTCCTAAAATAATTTCGCTGTTACTTTTCGCCACTTTATTACACAATCCAAACCCTATTCGGTCGTTCGATACTATAATAGACTGATTCTTCTCGATGATTATTGATCATTGTTCTGATGATTCTTTTTCAGTCTGGACAGTTCAGTGAGGACATGATCCCCACAGTAGGCTTCAATATGCGTAAGATAACGAAAGGAAACGTCACTATCAAAGTATGGGACATTGGTGGTCAACCGAGATTCCGATCCATGTGGGAAAGATACTGCAGAGGTGTCAATGCCATTGTGTACATGGTTGATGCTGCTGATTCAGAGAAAATCGAAGCTAGTCGCAATGAGCTGCACAATTTGTTGGACAAGCCACAGTTGTCAGGCATACCCGTTTTAGTGCTCGGGAATAAGAGGGATTTACCACATGCTCTGGATGAAAATGGACTCATAGATAGGATGTAAGTGGAATCATTCGATTTTCCATCATCTCGGTGATGAGTTATACGAGGAGAAATGATCGAAAGAACTCTTTTGATAAAAATTGACTCAATTACAAAAAAAGTTCCTTGACGACTTTCATTTGATGAATTTAAGCAATGTAGAGAAAAAGTATCAGAATATTTTCTCAAAAAGTTAATAACATCGAAAATTATTCAAAGGGATGTGAGAGAAAATAAAAGGAACAATTCATTTTGCTTACTGTCATTCTGTAAAACGACAATTAGATGAATATTGCTTTCATTTTCCACAGCATATCTTGGAATCATTTTGGATATTTGACAATGAAGATGAACCAGAAAATTAATAATAATAATTTCAGCTGAATTTGATTGTTCATGAGATAATTGGTCAACTGACAAAGATCTCCTAAAATGTGAAAATTGAGAGCAGATGTCAATTGAATCATTTAACTTTCGTCTAATTCATCTTTATAACACTGATATGGAATTTTATACTCATTTTCATACTGTTTAAGCATCATTCCATTTGATGAATCTAAATGTAAAATTTTCATGTGTTACGGCTTGTGGTAATATTGTTGCATTGTTGAGGAGTAATGTTGAGAAAATGATGGGAATATTTTTTCAAAAGGTTAATGACATCGAAAATTATTTCAAGGAATGTGAGCGAAAATGAAAGGAACAATTCATTTTTCTTATTGTCATTCTGTAAAATGACAATTAATAATAATCATACATTTATAATAATAATTGCAGTTAAATTTGATTGTTCATGAGATAATTGGTCAACTGACAAAAATCTATAATGTGAAGTTTGAGATAAAATGTCAATTGAATCATTTAACTCTAATTAATCTTTATCAAAATGCTCTTTCATCCTGTAAAAATTGATTCATTCCCTCAAAAACCTTCTCATCCCGCGGATAATGAAATGATCAGCGAGAACTTCAAAAAAATAATCTAAAACTCTAATTTCCACAGGAATCTCTCAGCAATCCAAGATCGTGAAATCTGCTGTTACAGTATTTCATGCAAAGAGAAGGACAACATTGACATCACCCTCCAGTGGCTTATAGCTCACTCAAAGGGTGGCGTTCGCTAATCCCCATTGCAACTTCACACCACAAATCAATATATATTAAAAATCGATGAAAAAAAGAAGTACCATGGGCGTAATGAAGAAGCTCGGGAACAATGGGGGCACACGTTCGGGAATGTTTCTGATTCATTCTGTTTCATAGTGCATCAAATAGCGTAGAGGAAAAAAAATAATATGAGGTATAAAATTTTTTTATTTTGTTCTCGCTTAAAATCGTGGTTGAAGGATGCTCATTATTAAAATTCATTTTTTAATGAATGAGAGAAATTGCTTGAGGAGTGAAGCTCATATTAAAAAGCGGCACAATTGCCGATGGCACGTAGTTTGTAAGTGAACGAATAATTTTTTATATTTTCCGGTCGATTATGTGCCTGAATGAAATTAGGAGATTGGGTAACTTTTTTTCTTCATCATTCAGATCACTCTGTCAATATCTGTGAAACTAGTCGGCCTAGGGGTAAATGTCGAGAGGATTTGTTGTAGGACATTTCTACGATCCACAAAGAAATTCTTTTGACATCTCATTCTCAATCCACTAGTGTCAGATGAAATTGTGAAATATCCGGCAGATATAACTTTAGCTGACTGGGGGATTCAGAATTACTTCATAAATGCTTATGAAATTTTTAGATTTATTGAGTAAAGTGAAAAGACAGTTTTTGGTCAGAAAGTGTAAAAAAAACTGTTGACACTTTTTCCGACATTATTGATCATCGAGATAATACTACAACTAATAATTCAGTTTTTTAAATTTTTGTTAATCGTGTAATTATCTCGGTGATGAGTGGGTTAAAATTTAGATTGATTAATTACGTTCTGGGGCGTAAATTATTGTGATTATGTATCGAATCGATTTAATGACTCAATTGAATGAAAAAGTCGATGGCTTTTCCACTGACAATTGCAGCTTTCCTCCTAATTTAACTTAGAATCCCCCCAATAATTGATTAATTTCTTCTCGTGCTCCCCTATTTTTTCAATAATTATATTTTTTTTACTTCATGAGTTCACTGAATTCTAGAAGAGACATTCAATTTAAGAGCTTAACTAATACCAGATAGTTATATATAATGATATAAATAACTACTGAGAGAACTACTGGCGCAAAAAAGTCTCAACAAATAATTTTTTTGGCATACACAGAGTCTGTAACGAAAATCTCTAAATCTAGATGATGAAATTATAAAAATAAACGAAATAATTAATGAAAAAAATATTGAAGAATTAATTAATCATATACTACACTATCAAGATTAAATCTTTGTATAATTTAGAATTACTTGTGAGAAAATAATATAAAAAACCAAGGAACTTATTCGTAAATTACCAGTATGACTGTTGTGTTATGTATATATATATTATAAAAGCATAAAATGATTGTAATTGATTTTTTGAATGTGGTAATTATTTGGATTGTTCATTCACGAATTGAAATTTATTCCCAGGATTCGATGGAAAATTCATTCATAACATTGCAAATGTCTTAGAAGGATGAGGTTTCGAAAAATTTATAAAAAGACGTTTTTAACAAAGAATTTAATTCTTTACAAAAAAGATCAATTGATTTTATTATAGAATCATCATTTTCTAATTACCCATTGATAATTTTTTCTAGATGAAAACTATTAATTGTTGGTCATTGGATTATCATTTTATCAATTTGAATGGTTTTCTTTTTTACCCCCATGACGTATACGTTTATGTTTTTCGTATCAATTTAATGCTTAGTATCAATGCTGTATACAGTAGAGGCTTCGTTTAAGATACCTCGGTATACGATACAGTGATTTTTCAACGGCAAGAGAGTAGTTATAAGGATCAAACGGCAGGGGCGAACGAAGTGATCGTGAGGGTCTAACGACCTTAAGGGAGAGTCACATCACTTTTCCCATCGAAAAATCGTAATTTTTCGTCTGTGATTATTCTCGAGTCCACCAACAACCCCCCAACATCAGCTGCCATTCTATCACACGGGCTTATGTTTAGAGAGAAAAGGGAACGCGGGCGATGAAAATTCAAAACATTAAACAAATAAATTAATTAGTTATCGATATTCATTCAGTAAAAATGAAAATTTCATTGAATTCGAGCGCAACAAGCGAGAATTCCCGGAATTCCACTCTCCTACTGACCCTAAGGTATCTTATGCGAAGGCTCTACTGTATTTATTAGTTCAATGCTTTAGTATCAATTCAATGCTCTTTATTAATTCCTCTCTCCCTCAAATACAATCGTCTACAAACATCAGTAATAGGTACATCAGAGACTGGTGGAATGCCTCCAGGTATGTGCTCACTCTGTACGAGAGAGTACTGATCCTTTATAGTTCTAATGTCATCGATATCCGGGGTCATTAGCATGTTGATGCCGGGGTAAATGATGAAGGCGAAAATTGCTATTGCAGTCAGTGCCCAGATGGGAATAGCCACTGCCCAGTATTTTAGTGGCCAATATGTTAGGCCCAGTTTCTCGTGGAGGAAATTCTCGGGGACCACTCCCCACACTAGGTACAGGAAGAATAACATGTTCGAGCCGATGTACAATGCATAGCCGTAGACAGAACGAGGTCTGTAGGGTGCTGGTGTGTGCTCAGACATCCTTTGGTGTCTCATGAACTCGATAATTAATTATTGTTGGATTTCATCAATTGTTATTCATTATTCATCAGTGGTAGTGGCTGTAGACGGGCTCTGGGGGTCCGAATTCACTCATCGTCTGAGTTACCAGCGTTAAACTGTCGAAGAATGACGTGAGACCTACTCTGACTTTTCGTGCCTCTTCTCCGGTGAATTTTCTGTAATTGATCGCATACTCAACATCGATACGGTATTTTCTCGACAAAGTGATTTATTACAGACAATGGAGTCTATTTACATGAAATGCATATTGAATTCTACTCATGGGTTGAATGAATAATGAGTGGAATTGGAACAAATCTACTGTTCCGACTGTTGGAAAATGTCAGTTGAAAATTTTCTTGATTGGGGAGGGTGGGGTAAGATGCACACTTTAGACTTTTTTTAAATTATTCACAACTCAAACAAATTTATCAATTGAGCTCAGTTTAGGCTTATCACAAAGGAAAAATTGTTCCTTGTATTAAAAAAAAAAAATTAAATTTCATCGATATTTCAACCGGTCATTAACATTTGAAAAAAGTCAAAAGTGTCCATTTTAGTCGATCCTATACGGATTTATCAGGTCTCCATATTACGTAATGAAACAATTTTCAAAAATTAGGATTTTGAAAAAAAAAATTGTCGCAAATTTTTTGAGTGTCTATTTTCCCCAGATGTCCATATTGCCCCACCCTCTAATTCCATTGGATTGCACTTACGCATTTAGAACGTTTCCATCAACGCCTAAGACTTTTTCAACTCCGCTCCTTCTGGGCTCACTGTCAACATTCAGTACCTTGTAGGCAATTTCTGCTTCTCTACCAGTTGGGAATGGCACTGAAATACTCCTGTTGCACAGTTAAGGTTATGAATCAGTCGATCAAAGGAATCAATGAGAGTTTCTCAATTTTTTCGAAAGGATACACATCTATATTCTTCATTGCCAGTAGAATTGCTTGTTTTGATTGTTTTATTAATCTGGAGATTGTTGTTTTCAATCGTTGAGAAGTAAACAGTAGCAGCACATCCGGAATGTATAACATATGACGTCGATTGGAGCATTGTGGAAGTTTCCCGGGTTTCTATTGGGCGCCAGAGAAATGGGCGATGTTTTAAAAAATATCAATTATCGAAGAATCGATGTTGTGAATCGAGTTTTCTGAAAAATATATCGATTATTTGAAAAATCGATGTTTTTTTATAATACAAGGAGAAAAAAACAAATGAAAATTTATTGTTCTCGTTTTTATTGAAAAAAATATATATTTAAAAAATACAACCCGAGGAACTGACGTTTCAATGATAGGTACTGCTAACAGCTAAATTTTATATCTCAAAACTGGGTTTTTGATTAAGTGAAAAAAATATATTGAATATTGTCCGTGGCTGGACGTTAGCTGTAATCAACATTCTTATTCGACAAATAATGAAGCATAGCTTGGTCAGAAAAATTGATGTGTGGAAAAAAAATCGAAAATCGATTAATCGGCGGTTGAAAACATCGAATGAAAAACATCGCTGTTGGTTATGAAAAATCGATATATTTAGATTAATCGACAAACATCGTCCATGGTTGCTCCAATGTCAATAAAAATACGACTAGAGAGTTTATAACCTATTCTTCACTCCAATCTGTAAGTTCATCCGTAGATGAGAGGTTTATCATCCCACGTCTAATTGAAGTAATAATTCAGTAAGCAAAATGACCTCTAAAAAATCGGGTACGATGATTCCAAAGGATCAGGAGCAGAAGGATAACGATGGACGAGGTCAGATTAAAGTTGTCGATCGTCCTACATTCATTTTAAAAACTAGAGAGGGTGAGAGTAGAGCTGTATCGCCAAGTCAGAAGAATGGAACCAGGTAAAAAGGCAATTTGAGTAATTCACGATTTCACATGAATTGATTTTTCTTGAATTATTCATTTTTTGTTTATCTAGTAAAAAAGAGGGGGAGACGGTGCAGGCCACCATCTGCAAAGCACCAGAACGTGAGATTCTCTTCATTAATTTATCAATTAATTGGCATGTTCTTTGTTATAACTCTGAAGGAAAATGGTTTTGAAAATCTTGTGCAACTTATTTTGTAAACAACAAGAGGCCTTTCTTCAATTTCCAATGAACAATTTCACTCAACTGATTTCTTTACTCGAACATGAAAAAATTGAATTTTTTTTAAACAGATAAATATCCCTCATCCTTTGATTCTTTCTGCAGCTAGAATATTGCTCCATTCACCTCAAGAAATGACAGGATGCATGAAATTCATGGACGAAAATATGCAATTGTGTGAGAATGCACTGGATTATTTACACGATCAACAGGATTTTCTGGTTGTGGGGGTCGCAGGGGGCCAAGGAGTTGGAAAATCAACTATTTTATCTCTGCTGACGTCTAATTATGGGTAAGATTATCTGACGTGTAAATAATCATCCAGAATGGATGGGAATTATGTAAATGTGATATTTTTTCTTGCAGATCTGACATCTTTGCAGCGCAAAGTCAGTCTCACCATGAAAGTGGCTCGAATTGCACCTCTGGAATAGACTTTTACGTCACTAAAAATCGAGTCATTTATTTAGACACTCAGCCTATTCTCTCTTGTGCTGTCATGGATGCAACTGCTTCTTCTTTCGAGCAGAAGAAAAACTCTACTGATTTCGGTAGTACTGAGTACAACCTGGAACTTCAGTCTCTTCAGTTCATGGCATTTTTGTACTCTGTGTGCCATGTCATCATTTTTGTACAAGATTGGTTCGTGGACCCAAATTTAGTGAGGTAAATGCCTTGAATTTTATTATAATTTCAATTTTTTTATTGAAAATTGAGAAAAATTTTGTGGAATAGATTTCTGCAGACTGCCGAGATGCTGAAGCTCCCGTCAACGTCGAATCTAGACCAGGATTACGTTGAATATTATCCACATATTTTATTTCTTCATAATAAGGCAGAGTTATATGATTTCCAGCCTAGAACTGTTGAAACCATGAAGGTAATGAATTTAGGGCAGAACATTAAATGATTTTTTTTCTGACAGAATTCAATTATTTACGTGAAAGTTTCAGTAATAATTTATCCTATCGCTTTAAGGGGAGATTGCGGTGAAATTTGAAAGTTACAGGGGATTGTCCCTACCATGTTGATTTTAGTATTCATTTTTTGATACTCAAAGAATGAGAAAAAATCGGGTTTTTATTTTTTTCATTTTCATTGTATAATGAAGGGGTAGTGCTAGAAATTACATTTCTTACTAGCACAGAGAATATTTTTTTTTTGAAAGGACTAAATCTATTTTTGCGATAAAAATTTTCAATCTCGACGCACGCTTTGCCTGTTTGACACAAAAAATCCTTTTTTTGATCATTTTTAACAAACAATTTTGTGACATAAATTAACCTTGTTTGAGAACTCTGCTGTTTTTAAAGATTTTATGCCTGCACAGCAATCTGCCATCATTGGAGAAAATGGAAAATCAATTTTTCTTCATTTTTTGAGGACAAAATATAAGTACTAAAATCACCTGTATGATAGAGACAACCCCCTGCAACTTTCAAATTTCACTGCGGTCTCCCCTTAAAAAATTATTTAAATAATGAAGAATAAGCTACACGAGCTCTTTGTAAAATTTTCTGAATGAATGATGAGATTTTTGAGCAATGATGAAAATCAATAATTGTTTTTGGTTTCAGAATTTTTATAGCAAAGTTTTCTCGAGCTCCAGACTTCAGATTCACAGTGGGCTGGACATGAGCACTTGTTCCACTGAAGGACAATTGAATCTGTTCCTAATCCCTTCAATTACATCTGAAGGTATTTATCGACAATAATCCCTCTATTAAAGTGGATGACTTCGGAGCAAAGAGGAAGAAAGGTTGAGAGGAATTCTCCAAAAAGCCATTTTCGTAGGGAAAGTCGTCATTTGCGAAAAACAGCTTCTGATATTTTCCTCTGAAGCAATCCTTTGAAAATGTTCTGTTTTTTTGAGAAAATGTGAAAACGGTTTTAGTCGACTCATCTCCCAGTTGAGTTTTTGAGGAATATTTCCGAATCTAAAGGAGATAGCGAAATTTTCGCCATAACATTTGTTGTAGCTCTCAATCGGCTCTACAAAAAAGGTTATAACAAAAATTTTGCTATCTCCCTTAGATTCCGAGATATTCATGGAAATTGGTCAATAGTCCAAATTGACTTGTACCGTTTTACCACTTCGCTACTGAACCATTTTTACTGGAAACTAGAACCTTTTTTCCTCAGTCTAAATTTAGAGGATATGTCCGCCAATTTATTTTTAAAAAATTTGCATTAATGGAAATAATGGAAATTTCAATGATTCAAGAAACCCCGACGTTCCACGAGAGTTACAAGAACTTGATAGAAAAACTGCGATTTAAAATCCACGGAATATCTCGCCATCCCATGACCCCAGGCACTCTAACCGAGAAGAATTGGTAAATTAAAAAAAATCACCAGAATATATAATAATATTAATCAAGTTTATTGACACTCTGTTTCATTCTCTAAACTACAAATCAATTCCCTTTTCAGGTATCACTATGTATCAAAAGTAATTGAAGGTTTGAAAAAGAGCCACTTGTCCCTAGAATACGGGAGACTGATGCCTTAGTTTTTCCTATCGAATCAGCAGAGATAACGGAAAAAACAGGTACATTCACAATTAATTGTACATAACTCGAATTGATAAAAATCTAAACTACAATTAATCGTAATTGAACCGAAGTTAAATATTCTATTCACAAATTTATCGTAATTACTGAGCCATGAAAACAGGGTTTATCACGGTCGTGGCTGCTGTGGCATTATTACTTTTGAGTGAAAATGACCAGAGATTTCGAAAGTTTCCTGTCATTTTGTACGTGATATGTCTCCACAAGATGGTTTACAATGAATACGAATCAATATTGAATCAGTTGTTTCTTAAATGTCAGGAGTTTATTCCGTACAAAATCTATTCATTCACGAAAAATCTCTTGACATTTTCATCCTAAATATTTCCAAGCTGGTTTAACAGTTATCAATTCATCACCAATCAAAACCTTTTTTTCCGCTGATGCTGGGGATTGTTGTCTCAATTTTTCAATGAAAAAATGCCGACTAGAAGATAATGTTATGTTGAAGGGTTCTTCACGTTCTTTGAGTATGCCAAAGGGCGATTTGGTAGCTTGAAAAAAATTGCTTTTCGGGCAGAAACTAGCAATGTTCAAAAAATCATAATCCCCTCAATTATGCATATTTCTCAATTGTCAATTTTTCAAAATTTTAGTCTAATCGCCATCGTTTCAGAAAAAATTGAGACGAAAATCCCCCGGCGTAGGTTTGTTGAGTTGGCAACAATTAATTGTCTGTCATCACGTGGATGGCTCCAGAAATTATGATGAATTCTCCTCAGTCCTACGAATAATCCTCCTGCTCGCTATCAACCTGCTGCATCGAAGCCATCTGAGCAACAGCCTGCAACTGCTGCCACTGCTGTTGCTCAGCGACAGCCTGCTCCTCCCTCGCCTTGGCAAACAACTCCTGCTGTTGCCTCAACAATTCCTCCTCAGGTATCCCAAGATTCTCGAGACGAGTGCTCTGCCGTCTCCTCTTAGCTGCCACAGCCTTACAATCCCTCAAGACAATTTCAGCCTCAGCACTGTAATCCCCAAATCCCAATTTCTCGAGTGCCTGCAGCACGTGCTCAGCATTTATCGTCTTCTTCTGCTGCTGATTGCATATTTCATTTGCTTCAGATGAAATCAAATGGATGAACTCGGTGCAGCAGTTGAGAATCAGCTCGCGAGATTCGTTGGCCACTCGGACGTGGGGGAGGATCTCTTTGATCATTTTGTTGATAGAGGCGCGTGGAAGGGTCAGCTCGTCGTCCTCAGTGGGAGATATTGCCGCCGAGGCCATTGTTTATCTGATAAGAATTTAATAAAATTGGAATTTATCACAACTGAAATGAATGTGATCAATAATGATAGTTATCAGGAATTTTCGTTGTTTTTCTGAAAAGTTTTCACTTTGAGGATACTATTGAATTTTGTTTTTTTTTTCAATATTCATATCTGAGGAATAAATTGAGGTCTTGGTGCACAACATAAAATGTGCCAAAAAACGAAGAGTCTATTATGTGTAACAGTTGATTTCGTCGAGAAAATGATGAGTTATCACCATTTAAAAAAAAACAAATGTATCAATTTTTCGTGAGTTTCTAATAAAGATGATGAAATGATTGTAAGAAATCTCTGTGGGGAAATAGAAATTGATATTAGTAATAAACATGAAATGTTGGGAATTTTCACGAGTTTTTATTGATTTTTGTCCTGATTTTTTTCAAACTTTTTCTATAGCCCCTATGGAAGATATGAAATCAAATGCCATTTTGGATCTGCTGATCTCATATGTGAATACTACTTTTAATTTAGTTATTTTGCCATGGATATTTATCTCTGTATATTTTCCATCCTATTATTGGCTTCGGATGTTGGAGACGTATTTTAATCAAATAAATAAATAAAGAGATAAGGGAGGGTGGGGTAAAATGGACACTTGTTTTTTTTTAAATGTTCATGACTTGTTGAATTGTTCATGAAATGGAACAATTTTATTTTTCAGTAGAAAGAACAATGATTCCTCTTTGTGATGAGCTTCGACTGTGCGCAATTGATAAATCTGTTTCTGAGTTATGAATATTATTAAAAAATTCAAGTGTCCATTTTACCCCATCCTACCCTAAAATAAATAAATATGACTTTTTTCTTTTTCTATTTTTTGTTTTCACATAACTCGTGTTCTAGTCGACTGATTTCAATTTGTCAAGCACCGAATATTTTTTTTCCTGCTTCCAAATTCTCGTCGTGTGCTCGAGTATGAAGAGGAAAAAACATTATTGAAGATAGTAACTGAGTAACTAGAGAGTGGTTTAGGATGTAGATGATAAACAATTATTTACCGTTGAAGTGACAATACTGGCAGGTTAGGTTTATGTGGAATTTTCAGTAAATTGCCCAACACTTTCTCATAATTTGATGAGTTATCAACAATTATTGATCTCAGCACTCAGTCCTCACAACTGTGGGTGATTTATTGTTATAATTTCGGTTTTTATTCAACAAATGGGCGACTAAATACGATTTTTGGAGCAGATTGTTTCTAATAGTGTTTTCGTTGGACTGAAATTGAGAGAAGGGGAGTTGGTCGGTTTCTCATTGGTTCGTGTTGATAGAGCATGACACCCCTCCCCTGGTGGCCTCCAGGGGAAATTCTAGAATTATTGGCGTCCATTTTCGTGCGGCTGTGACCCATGTGCAAAGAGTTTGACATATTTATCAATATTTGCGGACATAATTCTGGTGATTGGAACTTTGAAAAAGTTCTAACAGCAATTTGGTAAGTTCTTCACACTTCCTCAAAGTTTCTTGAAGGATCTATTCGTAAACTTGATCGACTATTTATTATTGTACGGAGAGGAGTTGAGCGCTGTAGACGTTTTCGCACGTGAAGCTTGGGCTCCGTTATTTTTGGGGATTTCGGGGACGTTTGAGAATTTTATTGGATTATTTCAAGTGTTTTTTTCAGACTATTGAATGTCTTTCCATTTTGGTGGAATTTTAAAATTAGTGGGTGGAGCTCGCTTTCAGAGGCGATTCTAACCTAGAAATATTTCAGGGTGCGATGTCGCGAGGTAGATAGTGTCTAAATTAAGGTGTTTCGTGGGAAAAGTCAAAATAATTAACAAAAATGGGAAAATTCATGTCAGAAATGCAAGAACAACCTCTGAAGATGAGGCCCAGGGGTCTATACTTTTCAATCCGATAGTAAGGGCGGGTGGGGTAAAACGGACACTTTAGACTTTTTTTTTAATTATTCATAACTCAGAAACAACTTGAGCAATTGAGCTCAGTTTAGGCTCGTCACAAAGGGAAAGAATTGTTTTTTCTGTGTTGAAAAACAAATAATTAAATTTTGTCAATATTTCAACCCCTCATTAACATAAAAAAAAACGCAAAAGTATCCGTTTTACCCCAACCTCCCCTAACAGTGTATCTTGTTCCCTTCTAGAAATGCCAGTAGCTTACGAAGTCAAGTCCTCCTGGGCAGACGAAGTCGAGGAGGAAGGTGGAACCCTGCCCTCTCCCACCGAGGTCTACGAGAACGGTTTCAAGGTCCTCACAGAGTACAAGTACAACGACGATAACAAGAAAGTCAAGATGGTTCGCACCTACAAGATCGAGAAGCGAATAGTCTCCAAGACGATCGCCGTTAGAAAAAACTGGGCAAAATTCGGGGACTCGTCGGACGACAGACCAGGGCCCAATCCAGCAACTACCATTGGCGCTGAGGATGTCTTCATGCAGTTCATCTCCAGCAAAGAAGAGGAGAACAAGGTTGAGGATGAGTCCCTGGATAAACTGAAGAGCATGGGCGACAAGGGAATAGTCAAGTGTCGTAATTGTAATGGAGACCATTGGACATCGAAATGTCCCTACAAGGACACTGTTCTTGCTGGTGGCAAGGTGCCTGATGACAAGAAACCACCGACACGTCCTGGGGCACCGGAGCCTGCACCACCGGCCGGTGGTGAAACTCAAAAGGGAAAATACGTACCACCGAGCATGAGAGATGGTGGCAACAGGCGTGGAGACTCCATGCAGATGCAGCGACGCGATGATACCACTGCCATCCGCATTTCCAATTTGTCGGAGAGCACCAACGAGGCTGATCTTGAAGAGCTGGTCAAACCATTCGGCTTCATTCAGAAGCAGTATCTCGCTAAGGACAGAAACACTAATCTCTGCAAAGGCTTTGCTTATGTTCACTTCAAGTTCAGGGCGGAGGCTGCCAGGGCTATCAGCCATCTCAATGGCTATGGGTACGATCATCTCATTCTGAATGTCGATTGGTCGAAGCCACCTGCGCAGCAGAACTAAGAGGATTTTCATCATCTTTGGGTGGGTTAGAATATGGGAGAACGGCTTGAGCACGTGTGTCTGGGAAATGTCAAGTGGTTTTTTATGTCTCGATGGTTCTCTGCCAATGTACATGGTTTAGTGTTTGATACACTTTTCCATTGATGATTCGGCGGTTGTCACGGACGTGAGTGGGTTCGGGAGGAACTGACGAAAATCTTTTTTGGTGGAGAATTTCGTAGGGTATGAGAAAAAATTGTCATGTTTTTGGATAGAATCATTCGTTCTGGGGATAGGGGGGTAATGAAGGAAGAATATCATGTTGTGCTCGAACCGTTTTACCAATGTTCCATGCTGATTGATTGAGGGGTGAGGAAATAGGTTTTAATTGCAAAATTGTGTATTTGAAGATGAAGGTCAATAAAGATATTCCATTTAATTAAGTACAGTTTTTGGGTAATAGTGTTTCGTATTTTTAACTGAGCGAATTCGCCAATTCTGTATATGAAAACTGTGTGGCTGATGCAGTTCAGTTGGGACGATTAGACTGATGGTTTCAGCTACGCAAGTAGCTACAGGAATAACGATACAGGAGTTCACTTTTCGTCACAGCGTGATGACAAATTTTTTTCTGTAGTTAGTACATTGAGGGAATCAATGAGGAATAAAGATTTCGACCCATTAGACTTTTTGTATTTTTTTTATTAAAAAATCCACTCAACAACGGCAAAGCAAAATACATACAGCATGATTTTTTACTACAATTATTTCGAAATATGTTCTTTCTTTAATAAATATATGGACTATGTATACCAAAAATCCTTAAAATTAGGTTCTATTATCTATGGCGGACACTGTTGCAATATACCCATGCTCTAAGTGCAGGGATTAACTCCGAAACATTAACTTAACAAACTCTCAATTTGTTAATTTGCAAATTTGTCAATTCTTGGTTGGGTATTATTCGTCTTTTCTGTCCTATCAATTGGTCTTGGTAATTACGCAAATGCGATTTTCTATGTCGTTTCTATTATCAGTTTGGATTATTAAAAAATGTCATTTGTTCGTTTCAACGTAATAGCTCGTTTCATCAAAAGTAATTAATCAAACCCTCATAATGCATTAAAATGCTGATTTTTGTTGATCAGTAATTTAGTCGTTACGTGACTTATTGTCGAATCAGAAATCGTATCTATATACAAAATCCTTAACATTTTTTATTATTATATTTAGTCCTAAACTAGAGGCAAAAATGCCTGTATTCTCCAGCTCTACAAAATTCGCAATCAATTTTATTGGAAGAAATGAAAAATCAAGATTGATTAGATTTCTTCATACTCATTATTTTGGAAATAGGAATATTTCTGGAATTGACAGGTTAAAAAAAAACGTTAAAAAACCATTTTTGCAGAGTTGCAATTCTCTGCAAACAAAGGATTTTCTGATAAATTTTTTTAAACCTTTCGATTCCAGAGACATTTTCAAAAAGAAATGCAAAATTATCTTTGGAAAATTTCCTTTCTTTCCCAATAGATCACTGAATTCTCGTAATTCGAAATATATTTTAAAAAATCTCAAGGTGAATCGATTTCGATTGTGAAGCTTTGGAGAGCATGAAATCACAAAAACTGAAGATAAAACAACTTTATTACCTCAATAACATTAATAAAAAAAATTACCACACAGCACATTTGTTCTCTGGGTTCATTTTGGAGCCCACGGGGCATTTGAAGTCTTCAGCAAATTCTGGCATATTGGACAGTGGTCCTAAGATACGAAATTCTCCAGGACTGTGGAATCCCGTGGTGATGCGGAGTTTGAGTGCCTCAGGGCGGTAGACGGAGCACCAAGTGTTAGCTGCACTTATCCAGAACATTTGTCTTGGGGTGTAGGGAAGTCCAGGGAGCATTGGCTCTTGACCATTGCGTGCAGACCAGTCGTTGTAAGCTAAGTAGGCTTCTTTGATACCTCCATTGTCCGCAATGTTCTCTCCTTGAGTATTTATTCCATTCAACTGCAGATTGGAAAAGAAAAAACGTGAATTCATTAAATTTTTTCATAATTCCTTCACTTTATATTGACATTTTACCCTTACAGTTGAATGGAAAAGAAGAGCGTAGGAGAAAAAAAATAATATAGCAATTGGTAATTAAAATTTCTCAATTATTACTTGATAAAATAATTCGGAATTTGAATATTTCAATTGATGGCTAATTTCTCGTTAATTAAAAATTATGATTATGCCGATGTATGATGAAGATGCGAGGAAACAAGATGAATCAATGTGAAATAGAACTTTCAAATAATGAATCGATAAATTTGGAACAATGGAGGAGAATAATAAATGGCCAGAATTTAAACATTTCTCCAAATTACACCTCTGATTTGGTTCCACTGGGTCCCACTGGACAACTACATCGAAATTAAATTGAAATAACTAGTTGATAAGTCAATTCGTCGATTTGCTTTACTTACGTTCAACCCAACTTCTTCGACTGAGTAATTTCCATATTGATCGATCATACATTGTGCCTTAGCGAGGTATTTTTCTTTAGTGGAAGGTGCCCACCAGTCGACAAGATTTCCCTCTTTATCGAACTGTCGTCCTTGATCATCAAATCCATGGGTTATCTCGTGCCCAATGACAAAGCCAATGGCACCGTAGTTCATATACTTTGGACGATCGTTGCTGAAGAAAGCACCCTGGAGAATACCCGCCGGGAACTCTGAAAATTTTTTGAATAAACATCACCGTGAACTCCAGTTTCACAGGGTAGCATCGCTTTCCCCCTTCTCAATTTTTGGGAATTGATTTGACATTTTGCGGCCGTGGTATTAGAAATTCCAAAGAAACCTGGTCTCATATGCCCAAAAAAATGTTCACATTTGGATGGCTCCTAAAAGAAACTACGTAGTTCATAAAACTTTGTATCTCAGAGGAGATGACAGAAACTAAATATTTCCGAGAAAATTCAAAAATACGTAACTCACTAACTCCGATTGAACACCGTCTAATTAGCCTGATGCCTTTATCATTTTTATTTTAATTGAAATCAATTACTCACGTATACTATTCTCAATTGAAGAGTAGAAAGCATTAACAATGGCAGGTCTTCCATGTGTCACCCAGTCGCTCTTATTAACCGGTTTCCTCAATTTGCTGAATGAATACTCAGTTCCGAATAACGTGAGATTCAGAATATTCTGGAGATAATTCTCATCGCTGAGCTCCAAATCCTGATAGAACTCCTCGAGTTTTCTGTCATCGAGAAGTTCATCAGGATAGGCAATATGGCTGGTCATGGAAGCAGCCTTCTCCAGCGCACTCTTTCTCGTTTCGTCGTCCATCCAGTCAACCTTCTGCAGGATCTGATTAAACTGCTTCCGGATATCCTCAACCATCTCAATGGCATTCTTTTTAGCATCCTCATTGAAGTACTTCCGAACGTACTGAGCTCCGACGCTTATGGAGAGACTTCCTGAGACGATATCAACGCACTCTTTCCACCTGGATTCCCTTTCCATCCTTCCACTGAGGGCAGTCGAGTACTGAAGCTGTCGTTTTCTTATTTGGTCATTCAAATAGCTGACTGATGCTGCTGCCGCCCTCCACATCATGTAGTTGGCTTGAATTTGTTTAGGAGTGTCTCTCATGAGTTTCTCGAGATTTGTGATAAAGCTGGGGACATTGACGATAGCGATTTCGCTGTCGTCCACTCGGATGGAGGGTGGGAGTAGGCGGTTGAAGTACTCCTTCCAGGGGATGCTGGCGTACGTCTGCGAGAGCTGGGCGATTGTCATAGGATTGTAGAGAAGCGTGGCATTACGGCGTTTCTCATTTGGTAGAGAAATCTGGAAAAGCGAATTGTTAGAAAATATGGATCGCAAGATTATGTTGGGGATACCTTTGGGGAACACGGTAGGGAGACTACGGAAGTAATTTCAAAAAAGGCTTACGTTAGCTAATTTAATTTCAAATTTGAGAGACTGGAGCAGTTGCTTCTCAGCGAATTCTCGTTTGGCACCAAGGATCACTGCAATGTCCACCATGTAACTGTAATAGGCCTTAACTATTTTGTCATCTAAACCTTTGGATAAGTATTCACGTGACAGCCCCAGGGATGCTTGATCCAACTGAAAATTAATTTTTTTTTAATCAGAATTTGGTTTTTCATGGCTCAATTCAATTCAATGCAATTCAATGACGTACATCAATAACTCGCTTTGTACTATTCTTCAAGTCCACACCGATACTAAAGTCGAGGAAGTAATCGACAGAATATCCCAGGTCCTTGAATTTGTAAACCGATTGAATCCAGTTGAAAGTCTCTTCGTTCCACTGGTCTCCCTCTAGAACTGGCCATCCTCCAAGTTTCTGCAAGATACTGAGAAGTGGCTTGAGACCCTGAGCTTCAATTGCAGCTGAAAATCATCACAGATATATCAATTAATTTTCTCTTACGCTTAGTCATTGTCGAAATAATTACATTTGTAATTGGACAACTTAATCGAAATGTTCAATAATCAGTTGTCTAATTTGTCTGAAAAATGTTTTTGCACTCACTCTTGTTCATGCAGGATTTGTACAAGTTCTTTGCAAGTCTGAATGGTTTCGCTTCCATGGGAGAACTCGGTTCCTCAATACTGATCCTCAACTGCTCCTGGACTTTGTCACCGATGACACTAAACGTGTTGACACTGACTTTATCGTCTGGGATAAGTGTATCCTTTAAGAATCCACCGCAGGCGAATTTGTAGAAGTCGTCACAGGGCTCCACGTCTCTGTCCATGTTTTTTAAGACCTTTGAAGCTACAGAATAGAAAAAAATGATGGATTATTGTACAAAAAATCATTCTGTGAAGAAATATCAAAAGGTTTTTTGTGCAGATGTTTATATTTTCTAGAAAAGAATATTTTAACAGTTTCCGAACACAGAGAGGAGATAATCGCAGGAAATAAGGAAAATTTCCTGAATTATGGAATATCTAATTTCTAACATTCATTTTGCTGAAATGAATGAATTCACTAATTGACTCACCAGCATGAATACAAGCCGGGGTTGTGCAGGTAGAATCTGGTCCTCTGATAACAGTTGGGGTTGCTTTCTCAAGTGGCCGACCAACGGGTGCTGCGACTGCGAATGGTAGCATCTCGGTTTTAGCAGAAACTATTCTCGAGCGTTTACGAAATCGTGTGCACGTGCAGAAAAAGCGTAATGATGTTACATTAATGAATAATGGTGACATTAGGATGTAGAGGGTCATGCAGAACTCGATAATTTCGTACAACATTCTAGGTTGAAGTTTCATGTTTCTTTTTTTATTTTTCTCATTCTTTTGCTCGTTTAGTTTGAAATCAACTCTATTGTCAACAAATGAAGATCTGATCTTCACGTTTCCTTGTCCGGGGATTGGTACTGGCCCCTCCGCAAACTCGTAAAACTCAAAATCCCAACGGAAAAATATCGTTCACGACTAGTGCTATGCACCGACACAAACAAAGGTTTTTGAGAAATACGGCTCTACTTATATCAAGAAACTTCTGACTCGAAAATTTTCAAGAGTAAAATATCTTGGACTAAGAAAATAAAAACGTGCGTCAAGTAATTCTGTACTTGTGCTAAAGGCGAGGACAATTTCTTGATGGTAAAAAAGCAATTTCTCAAACCAAGTAAAATTGCCTCAATTCGCTAGTCTTGTAGCCTCAATTCTAAAATATTTCAATGCAAAAACCACCTCAATTGATTTGAGAACTCGTTTTCGTGATATGAAGAAATTGCCCTCATCCTTCGGACAAGTATAAAATTTCTTGGCGTAAGATTTTTTTTTCTTAGTGTGAGATATTGTGCGCTTGCTAATCTTCAAGCCACGAATTTCTCGATACAACAGTAGAGGTACGCGCTTCCATAAAGAGGAGAAAAATATAAATAAAGAGGGTTCAGCGGGTTTCAAATAAGATACCTCGCTCGTTGCGCCTGAATTCAATGAAATTTTCATTTTTACTGAATGAACATCGATAACTAATCAATTTATGTGTTTAATGTTTTGAATTTGTATCGCCCGCGTTCCCTTTTCTCTCTAAACATAAGCCCGCGTGACAGAATGGCAGCTGATGTTGGGGGATTGTTGGTGGACTCGAGAATAATCACAGACGAAAAATTACGATTTTTCGATGGGAAAAGTGAGAAAAAAAATCGATGTATATTTCTAGTACTTGAAAAAAGTGGTGTGACCCCCCTTAAGGTCATTAGACCCTCATAATCACTTCGTTAGTCCCTCCCGTTTGACCCTTAACACCGTTTGATCTTTATAACTACTCTCTTCTCGTTGAAAAATGACCGGGGCCATAGGTATCTTATAAGAAGCCCACGGAACATGAACATTCGGGAGGCGATAAAAGCGTCGAGAGTGGGGGTAGGCCTCGAGTGCTCGGAGAGCGAGGTATCTTATACGAAGCCTCTACTGCACTTCTCAAAAAACACTTGTTTTCTCAGTGCGGGGTTTTTTTACTCGCGTGGTTGGCCAGTCCTCGCCTTCGACTCGGCCGCCAACTCGACGCGAATAAAAAATCCCATGGCACTCCCTGAATTCGTATCATTTTATCACTTGACTACTGAGTGATGAAATCATCGCAATGATGATTAATTTCATCAGAAGTAATCAGAAGATTTTTTTGAATCGGGAAGCTAGTCGGCATCAAGAGTGTTGCAGACTTTATGAGATAAAATCCCCCATTCCAAAGGCAATTACGTGTTGCAGAAACATTTTTAACTTCATGAAAATGTTTATTAACTCCTAAATCATCTTGTCATGGAATCACGAGAGAAAATCAAAGTGTAATCATGATATGAAATATTCGTGATTACTGCTAGATCTGTTCCATGTCTTTAAGTATGGAAATTGCATTGTAACTCAACGAACTAAAAAAAAATATAATGGCAGACATTTAAACTCGTGAGAAAATCGTGGAAGGTCGGTAAAAATAGAGAGAATGATCCAAGCAAGATGAAGCAAAAGGTCGATTTTAGTTATGACATTCGTATGAATTTATTTTGATTTCGAAAAACGGATCAAATTTTGCGATTAATTTCGAGCATTTGTTCCCCCTCAATTTCACAAGTTTCGATGGATATCTATTCGATGACATCAATTGAAGCAAATGGCAGATGTAAGTTTGCAAGTAAAATGCCAGGGAAAAGGTTACTCACCTGCTCCGTTATTGTTAACATCGCACGACTTGGAATTCGCTACCATGACGCCAATACCGATTGCCAGGGCAATACACAAAAGGATGCCAGATACAGCGACAACCGTTAGCCCACGCTCCATTGCTGATCTGCGTTTCCACCATGTTGGGTTCCTGAGAATGAACAAAAATTATGAATTAATCATTGCTACACTGAGAGAGAAACGACAAAGTTCTCAAACAAGTCTTACTTGTGCCAAGAAAATAGTTTTTTGAAAATGATCAACAAAGGATTTTTTTGTGCCAAACATGCAGAGTGCGCCGGAATGAAAAATTTTTGTCGCTAAAATAGATTTAGTAGTTCAAAAAAAATTGTATTCTCCGTACACGCAAGAAATGTCATTTCTAGCACTACTCCTTCGTTGTTCGAGACTCCCATACGTATTTTGCTCCCGAAAAATCTTTGTTTTATGCGAAACAAGGGATAGTAATTTTTTGTTTAGGCTGTCTAATAATCACAGACAAGAAATGAACCCTTAAGTGAAACAATAACAATGATATGATAGCAATCTTGTAACTTAGGGATAAAATATTTGTTGATAAATTTTCCTCTATCTGAGATATTTTCATCCTGAAAAGTCACCGTCTGGTGTGAATTATCCGCCTCTTGAGCCGAATATTTCGTTGCTGTCGAAAGCAAACTCGTAGAAGTGAAAATCACTACGGAAAAATATCGTTCACGCCTATTGCCATGGGGTTTTTTACTCGCGTGGTTGGCCAGTCCTCGCCTTCAGAAATATACTATTCCCTTCATATGGTAAAAGGATATCAGGACTCCTTATTCCTATGATCGGATTCCAATTATTATTATGAAAAGGAAATGAAAAAAGATTGAGAAAGGGATAATCGGCCAGAAAATGGATTTTTTTCTTCTTTTATATCGGCCGAAACTTCGAATCACTTTTTTTCTTCAAGGATTAGAGGAATATCAATATTGCAGCAAGAAGAAATTCAAAAAATGCAAAGAAGTGAGCGTGAAGAACTAAAAAAATTATGTCTCAATGTCTCCGGAATGTTTTAAGATCGATATATTTGTTCGAATAATAAACACCCATAAATTTGATTTCTATCCTTGTCTATTCATAGAGTGAATAGAATAAATAACAGAAATTGAGAATTGAAAACTAAAAATTTTATCGGATTATTATTATGTAATACTACAAAGCTTCGGTCTGAGAGCTATAAAAAATCATAAACATTGAAAAATAATTGACACGTCGTAAAGTTATTTTTATTATTATGAATAAATTGGATTTTCATTTCATTTCAAAAACACTACAATCGACAAACAAGTGATTGTTTTCTTGACTACTTCAATTTTAAGAGCGAATATCTTATTTACAAATCAAATTTTTTTTACGTGAGAAATTGAGTAACAAATATTGTGACGCCTGAACAAATTCCTATTTCAAATGATTCCATTTATGGTTCATGTTTCTACCATTTCTACTCGTTCATTTCAAGTTGAGTAACTGTTTTAACGATGACTAAGTAAAGTAACCCAACCACATAGTTCTTTTTGTTCTGGATAATTATAAATTACAGACGTAAATTGCAAAATTCCAGGGGATAATAAATCGGCCTTGCTCATAGAAACGCGAATTGATTTTTCCCGTCTCACGTTTTACGAGTTCAACCGGTGGTGATAGTAGTAGTATCGGTTATCGTTTCTCGTTAAATTTCAAGTGAGGATTAATTTTATTTGACAATGAGAATTGAATTTTTACACTTGAACTTTCTTCGTAGAGGAACAAATCTCCCGCAGAAGAGGTCCTCTCGCATTTCTATCTGAAATCATTAATTATCGAGACCACTTAAATCCGTCGTGGGGATCTCTCATTTTTAAGTTCATTTCTGATTTCTGCTTGAGGTATTTATGATGGGGTCAGGGGGGGGGGAAGTCAAGAAATTGATGATTTTTGCGTCCGAATGGAGCATTGCAATCCCACATTCTCTAATTTTGATTGGAAATGATGTAGAATGGCCTGAAATTTTGAGCTATGATTCTTTTTTATTTTAGGAAAAATGTGTACAACAACAATTACGAATTAGTTTTTTGAAATTCAACTCCTAAACAGCTAATTTCGTTTTATTTAATATAAAAATCTGCACCATTTATGTAAAATACGCAGGAAAATTGTTGTTAAAATATTGAAAATATTTTACATGAATGGTGCAATTTTTAATTTAAAAAATAACGAAATTAGCTGTGTAGGATTTGAATTTTCAAAAACTAATTCGTAATTGTAATTGTTATTGCACATATTTTTACAAAAATTTTGAAAAAAAACTCTCTAGCTCAAAAATTCGAGGCCCTGGACTATTTTCAACATTTCAAGCGTCTGCGGGGCAAACGAATGATAAAAAATCATTTTTTTCTGTTGATTATTTATTTTCAGCCGTACATAATCGATCTTCAATCTATGAGAAATCTCATTCCAATAACTCGTGACTTTTAAAACTCATGGTAGTCTCCCCTTAAAATGAAAGTCCTGAGAACTCCGACAATTTCACTTTTCCTTTAAAAAAAACGATTCTCCGAGTAGAATGAATGAAGAAAATTTATTGTGCAAAACAATCGATGAGAACAAACGTCGCAATTGTTCTACCATAAGTCCTAGAGATTAATCGAGTGAGTTGCAATGTAGTACTTGTTACGGTTCATAATCATTAACCTCATACTCTACATTTATATTTTCTCATTCCCTTGACGACTGTGAAAATAAAAACTGAGTTTCATTCACCCAGTGACTCTCACGATAAAACTATTAAGGGGTACTCGATAGTGAACACTAAATTCTCTTCACTTGTGAACAAAATAAGGGATACTTAACAAAATAAGGGATGATTAACGAAGGGTCAATGCTCGGAACTAATTTCCAATTGATGAAGATAATTTATTTCCCTACAATAGGAATGTTATAAAAATTTTCTCAATTTACTAGCTCCCGAGAAATGAGAGATGACTTTAATAATTTTGTTGATATACAACATTATTGAACTCATTTCCTTTTTGTGACTTCGCTCTACAATTCGATCACTTCCCCTTCGAATATTCTATCAAACCTCGGCATTATCGACGGCATTTAATCTCCAGTTCATCGAGCCGCGAAATTTCGAGATTAAAATCACTTTCTAATGCCTCGCATCGCTCACCATCACAATTTTCGTATCAAAAATTCTAAAAAGCCAATATAGTACACAAAATCAGGTGGCGAATCTGATATCTAAAAACCCGAGAAATAAAAATAAATTTAAAGACGGAGGGAAATAAAGGTTCAGTTTTTGAGGATATATCTCTGGTTTATTAAAAGTTTCTATTTTAATGACTATTCACATTGAATTTCTCATTTGACCCCCATTTGACCCCAAGTTTCTGGACATTTTACAATAATTTTATTATTCAAACATTGCTGGCTGTCGGTCTGACTTTGAATCTCTATATTGAATAGTCCGAAAACCATTTTAACCCTAGGTTGGTCACCCGTGTGAGGGAATCCCCGCTGCGCGTCGTTTTTCTTTACTTACAATTGACTGGCTAACCGGAAAAATTAAAAAAAAATCGACTTTGTCAACTGAACTTTGTTACTTTGATCCTGCATTTCTGACCGTTAGGTTATAGTCTGAATTTTGAGTACCGAATTTTCATCACCAGAAGTCGATTAGGATTCTTCGAGGGATTTTTATAATATTGAGAGATATTTAATTCGTTAGCACCTTGTTGTATTATTTTCACTATTGAATGCCGGCAATTTCGTATTGCAGCCAGCACTCCAATCATTTGATCCTCCCGTGTTGCCCTTTCATTCATTTATTTTTCATTTCATTGAACTTTTTCCAAATGTCAAAGTTCCTTTGAAAATCCATTTTGCTAGAATTAATTCCACAATATTCTCTACAACCCGGCGATCAGAAGGAAATAGTGTGGTTGATTTTTTAATGGCATTTTCGTGATCAATTATCACTGATTGATACTAAAAATCTGATAATTATCTCGAAAAATCCGTAACACAGATATTTTAAATTCAAGGACTGTGATTAATTCGGATAATTGGCGATGTATCATTACATCCTGATTCCGCAATTTTGGTAGTTGTCGTTTCTGTTACGTTGGAAACTGCATTTGAAGACGCTCTCAGACTTATCCGTGGGCGGTTGTAGATCCGCTAACGAGCGTAACTCATTTCCGGAAATTTAAGGAGAACTCTCAATCATAAAATTGACTCATACGACGTAATGAGCATTCCGGTTACGAAGTTTACGCAATTCTTACATCCACAATCTGACATTTCCATCAATCTAGACAAATTAATTTGTGAAATTTTTCATCTCACATTTTTTTACTTTCAATTTCATCGTTTTTTTATTTAAGCAGTTTTAGACTTGAAAGTTTACTCTGCTCAATTTCATCTTTCTGCGGAGTTTTTCGATAAGTCATGGACACTTATTGAATCTTTGATGTTGATGTGATTCGAAATATTTACTTTTCTCAGTAACTTGAAATCCAATTATCGAATTGTGTCGCGTTAACGTGGATTAGCCTCTCTCGAGGCTAAACAGCTTTATTTCAATGATTTTGTTGTTGTGGAAATTCAGGCAATTCCGTTTAGAATTTTAGGAAGACTTCAGTCGTCTGTAAGTGGGCGCAGATTTATCACTGAGTGATTTTTTTAAATTGATCAAATTCATTGATTTTTTAGGGTGCATTAGTGTATAGATTTAATAGATGTTACTAATGCGTGAATATGCCAGATCGACATTAATATCAATTTGGGGGGGTAATCAATTCCGGGGAATTTATCGCGGGAGAGAAAAGCTCAGTAACCTCTTTTTGTAGGTTGATATTTATCGTAGTCCTGGGCCATTGTTCGGTCAGTTGCAGGAATTAATCCATTTTTTTTTAATCCAGTGTAACGATTTTTGAAGACTCTATTCCGCTTATCAAGTACACGGAGAGAAATTTTTTAGAAAAATTCTAATGCTAGCACGGGAAAAGAGGCGCAAGGTGACGGCCAGGAAAAAATTCCAGTGCCGGCACTAGAAATTTTATTGGGGAAAATATGAATTTCGTGAAAATGTCAGAAATCTTCAAAAATTTTACCAAAAATATCGAG